TCTCACAAACTCGAAATTCCTTATCAAAACACACAAGACCTTTTACAATGGGTGAAGGCAATGGAGGTCGGAATAACCTCCCAGAGAACATGAAACTCTGAGGAGAGGAGAATTACATACAATGGAAAACTGCAATGGAGGACCTCGCGGATGCCAACGACCTTGTCCGTTTCGTACACCCAAAAGGCAAAGCTCCTCCACAAGCAGATGAGTTCGATGAGAAGGTGGACATTGAGAAACTCGCCACATGGAAAGCATGGAAAGCAGGAGATGCATCGATGAAACTCATCATCCAAACTAATGTGAAGAAAACACCATCACAGCTGCTTGCAGGTTGCAAGTCAGCACGCGAAATGTGGGTGATCTTACAGTCTCAATATGAAGGAACTGGCGCAGTTCTCAACTTCAATGCAATTGAAACATACACCAAGATCAAGTACGAAGACTACGAAAACATTGAACAATTCATCATTGGGTTCAAGAAAGCAATTGAGAAGCTCGCCAACCTCGAGATCTCTCCACCAGATGCATGACACCCAATCCTCTTCATCATGGCACTTTCAGATGCATGGCCAATCTGGGCAGAACGCCAGCGCTCGAATACACGCAGTGAAGCCACAAAACTCACACTGTCTGCACTCATTGAAGATATCACAGATGAGGCTCGCAAGAAGGACAAGAAAGCAGATGGAAGCGCACACTACAGTGGAAAGCCAAATCAGAAGGGCAAGCCAAATTCGAAACCCAAAGATAGTGCAAAGGGCAAAGGGGGCAAGATGTGCAAGAATTGTGATAATTCAAATGCGAGGCATGAACCTGAAAACTGCTTCATCACAAACAAGAAGCTCTGTCACGAATGGGAACAACCTGAAAACTGCTTCATCACAAACAAGACGAATGGGAACAACGGACTGGAAAGAAGTTCATGCCATTTAAGCCGTCAAACTCAAGTAGCAAATCAAACAAGCTAAAGAAGGCAAAGAATGACAACTCATCAGATGAAGAAGATGAAGATCGTCAATTTGGCAAGAACGCCACCACATACATTTGTGTTCAACTCAACCACTCAAGGTCGCCAATTCAAAATGGCACATTATTTGACACTGGAGCAGAGACACATATCGCCAGCTCAATCGAGGAATTCAACAGTGGCACATACGAAACCTCATTGACTCTTCCATCCATTGACACAGCAAGTGGCATCACCAAGCCACTTGGCCAAGGCGAAAGAACATTGCAATGCGCAACAGATGATGGAGACATTCACACCCTACACCTCACCAAAGTTCAATATCTTCCAAACTGCGGAATGAACATCTTTGGAGCTCGAAAGCTCTTAGGAAGGGGTGAATTGCATATTACGGACAAGAACTTGGTTGTAAACAAGAAAGGTATTCCAATGTTCCGTTCCGTTTCGATGAGAATATGATGATAATTGTAGCATCACCTCGAGCCTATGCATTCCCAGCAACTACTCACAAAAATGAGAAGAATCCTCCACACTCAATTCGACTCTGGCATCGCAGATTTGGACATCTTGGCCTCGCGAATGTACAGAAGACCTCAAAAATGGTAAGAGGCATGGCGATCTCTAATGAGGAAGACCTTACACCAAAAACAAGAAGATGAAGATCTCCAATTGTGCGATCCATGCGAGAGAGGAAAGGCGAAGAAACACATTCGCAAACAAGCTGTAACTCGAAACTTGCAACCGTTCGATGAAGTTCACATTGACGTGGTCATGATCACGCCAGAAGGAATTGGAAAGAAGAAATATGCAACTATCTTTACAGAAAAGGCAACAACTGTTCGATGGGCATACTTTCATCGCTCGACGAATGAGGCATATGATGCACTCATTAAATATCAGAAGATGGTTAACACACAATTTGGCAAGATCATCAAGAAATGGAGAAGCTCACTGAACTTGCAGAAGAACTTGGGCAAGTCGTCGAAATGACAACTCCTTACAACCCAGAGCAGGATGGCACATCAGAGCGGTCAATTGGCATTATCTGCGAGCATACGCGGACTGCGATGATCGACATGACTATTCCACAGTTCCTCTGGCCTCTCATACTTGAGTCAATTGTACTTATTACCAACCGCACAGCAACTTTAAAGTTGAAAGGCAAGATGCCATACGAAGCTCTTACAGACAACCTTCATCCTGGACAAGACAACCGCCCATCTGTAGCACATTTTCGAGTGCTTGGATGCAAGACTTATGTACAAATCCCAAAGGAAAAGAGGGTCACAAGTGCAAAGGTTACAGAACGGGCAGAAGTTGGAATTCTTGTTGGATATGAAGGCACACATATCTTTAAAATCTATGTGCCTACATGCAGAGGACCACTCAAAAATCGCATAGTGCGATCCTCAAATGTCCGATTCGACGAAGGAGGACTCATTACGGAGCCATTCCCAGATGAGGACGAAATTGAAAGCGATAATGAAGATGCATCTATCACACTGCCTCATAGAGCCAGGGGTGAGGCAAATTATGACAGAGATCTAATTCAACGAGTCTCTAAAACACAGCATGAAGAGCATCACTCAGAAATCGAAAATGAGAGCGAGATCTCAGAATCCGAAAACTCACCTCAGGAACTAGAACTTCATGAGTTGGATCAATACTCAGAAGTCGATGACGAGGATATAGAGCTGATGCCCACTATCACAGCGAGGAGAACTCAAAAGGTTTATATCCCAAAACCTGAGTTCAACAGGGTCACCCGCAACCAAACCCGCGAGCGACCACAACAGCCACCGCAAGCTATGAAGCTCACTCAACAGTCACAGAACCAGAATTCGAGCTCAGCATTCATTGCAGCATTCACAGCTGGAGCACATACATCTATCTACGATGATCCAAATACAATTGAAGAAGCAAAGCAGCAAGCAGACTGGCCAGAATGGCAAGCCGCCATCCAAAAGGAATACTGAAACCTCAAACACAAGGGCACTTGGAAGCTTATGCAGCGAACTCAACTACCATCACATGCGAAAGTGCTACCAGGAAAGCTAGTCCTCAAAACCAAGAGAGACAAGAATGGCTCTATCATGAAGCGCAAAGCGAGATGGGTTGCAAAAGGTTTTAGACAGAAACAGGGAACTGATTTTGATCAGACATATGCTGGAGTGTGCAAGACAACAACATGGAAACTTGCAATCGCAATCGCAGCATTTTTCGGACTTGAAATTGAGCAAGTGGATGTGGTTGGAGCCTTCCTCAATTCTGATACGGACACAGAAATCTTCATGGATGTTCCACCAGACTGGGAAGTCAATGGCAGCATACTGGAAAATGCGCCAAATTGGATGTGCCATCTACAGAAAGCACTTTACGGATTGAAGCAAGCGCCTCGACTTTGGCAAAGAGAGCTTGCAAAGGCACTTCATGGACTTGGATTCACTACATGCGCAAGCGATTACAGCGTTTATTGCAATCAGAAGACTGGAATCCTCATCGTCACATATGTGGATGATATGCTGATCATTGGCAAACAAATCACAACAATCCAAGGGCTGAAGAAGGAGCTGATGCGAAAATTCGAAATTGAAGACCTTGGGCCAGCAGCATACTTTGTAGGGGTGAGGATCACACGCAACAGAGAGGCAGGAACAATTTCCCTGTCAAGATGCATACATCACAAAGATTCTGCACCGCTATGGCATGGAGAATTGCAAGGCAGTGGACACACCTGTGGCTACAGGAGCTGCAGAAGTCATGATCCCATTTGAAGGCAAGGCTTCACACGCAGAAATTGAACTCTATGGATCGAAGATTGGATCGCTCATGTACCTCGCTGTCCAGACTCGACCAGATATCTCATATGGAGTCTCTGTTCTGTCCAGATTCCTCACCAATCCTTCGCCAGCTCACATGAAAGCAGCAGATCGAATCCTTCACTACTTAAAAGGCACAAAGATGCTTGGAATCGAATATGGCATGCAAGGCGATACGCAGCTCCATGGATACTGTGACTCAGACTATGCAAGCGATAAAGCAAACCGTAAATCGGTCCTTGGAAATGCCTTCTTCTTCGCCGGAGGTGTGATTTCACACACTTCAAAGCGACAGCAGACCGTGGCACAATCGACCACAGAAGCAGAGTACTACGCACTCGCAAAGGCAGTGTCAGAAGCACTATGGCTACAACAGATCATGAAGCAGATGATGTACACAGGAAATGACATTCAAGCTACGAAGATCTATGGAGACAACCAAGGCTCATTGAGCTTGGCCCAAATTCCACCAGAGAACCAAGCATATCGATGTCAAGCACCACTTCATTCGGGAGCACATTGAAAACGGGTCAATTGACCTCTGGTATGTGGAAACAGCCAACATGGCAGCAGATGGATTGACCAAGCCGCTACCCGCCACACAACATGAGAAGTTCATACAGCAGCTTCAGATGAAGGTGATCATGGCCTAGGAAATGGGAATGGCCTCAATTCAGTCATGCAAAGGGGTGTGTTGAAGGAGGAGGTTGCTCAGACTGATTGGTTGGGCGTGTGGCTCGCCAACCGAATCGGGTTGCGGACCACCCACAAATAGTTCCGTAGATAGCTTCACTCAGAAAAAACAATACAACACATATTACAGTGAACTGTTGTTCAACTCAACTTGATGACTTATACTACCGCTGCAAGTGATATCATACACTTCAACATTTGTACAAGCCAGATTTAACTCCAGCAACAGCTTCCGCTAATAAGACTTCGAGTTCCTGAGCTTTCACGTTATTTTTTAGCACCATGTTGGGTTGGTGTTGGTTTGTCGATGCATGGCAATCCCTCACTATCCCGGTTACGCCATTATCCCGTTTACGCCACGACTTACGTTAGCAGAAACTCTTAAAAAACTCGAACCGACCCGTCCGCTATAGGCAGTGATTACTGTACCATGGAACTGTTTGGATTATGTGGGAGGGAAAGAGGCACTGTGTCACGATACTCCAAACAGAACTCATGAATTAGCAATAATGAGGCTGCTTGTTACTTTCAAATAAAGATACTGCGCTTGTTAACTTGTTGACTACAGTTAAAACTACAAACCAGAACCCCGGAGTCAGCTGCTCCATCTCCAAACCTGAACGCCCAAGCCAATTTCGCCCTCGTAGAATATGCTGCTTTCAGCCAATGCATTTCGACCATCCAGGAAGGCCGCATCCGAAGCCAACAAACAAATATATCAAGAAGATGGCTACCAATACAAGCAGCGCCATCAACTTGACATTCTTCCACCACATCCTCCTCCTTAGTCCCTTACTTCTAACCCTGAAGTCGTGTGCGCTTCCCCCGAGCCTGTCGGTTTTATCAACCAAAAGATCAATTCGCTCGCCCCTCTCCAGAACCCTCTCAATGTTCTCCGTCATGATGCCTCTCACATTCTCGATTTCGTTATGCACGTTGCTTATCGCATCTTGCTTCCCACTCTGTGTCGTTCCATAGTCAACCATCAACTTCTTCAGCTCGCCATTGAAGCTCGCAGCCCCATAATTTGGAAGGGAGGCGAAATCGGTTGCTGAGGGTTCCAACTGAGAGAGAAAGCGGTTCTTGATCTCCACGAGGAAGCCAAATGGGATGCGACGGCCAACAGATGAGTGTGCGACAACGAGGTAGGTAAGGCCGCCTGTCGTGGGGCTATCTGGGTACTCTGATGGGGCCGAGGCTATATAGTGGACGAAGTTGTCGTTATGGGTGTAAGTCAATTTCTGCGGAGTTGCGTGTGATATTTTCGGAAGAATAAGAGAGGCTAGAGACGAAGTTGATGATGCGCCAGGTGTAGTGTGTTCTGAGAGGATGGTGGTGTTATGGGCAATGCAGGCGCTGGAACACGGTTAGAACGTTCGACTTGGGGTTCAAGAGACTCACTACAAGAGAGGCGTCGGGGGAGCAGATGAAGATGCCATGGTTCCTGGTTTCCGCTATTTAACCATGCAATTCTTACCTTGTAGATGTCTTGTTAGTTTGAACAGTGTTGTGATTAAGCTGGTCTTGTTTTTGCCTGGTAGAGCAAGTTGATGAGAGGTTGCTCATGACGTCCATCATGGAAATTAGTTATTCCGCCCCGAACATTTATTTCCCTTGGGTCCCTAACTTTTTTACCACTCTGGCTCGCCTTTTGTCGTGGGAATAACATCTATTGTACCGAACGGAGAAGAACTGCCAGATGGTACTGGCCACACAGAGAGGCGGGGTTTGCTTCTTTTGCACCTTTGGCTCTGCTGAGTTACGATTTATCAGGCCGGCCACAACCAATGTCAAGAGACAGTTTTCGACTGGGCCCGTTCAATCGGGCATATTGGACGACCTATTGAGCCCCTCACGAAACCCACCGCCCATCACTCGCAGTGAGAAGAGAGACATTGAGCGAAGTCTTAGGGGCAAGAGAAAGGAAGGCCGTCACACAATTTACGATGGTTCGAATCCACGGGGGTTTGCGGCTGCAAATAAAGAAACAAAGAGGGAGCCGAGAAATGATCCTGTGATAAGAATTCCGGGCAAAGGAGCCCATTCTTTATTCCTCGGACCCAATGATGTTATACGTTCGTCAGATAGGCGTCATATCCCAGTCCGCACTCCCCAAGCAGCATCGCACAGCATCTTCGGCGGTAGCACACCCCGTCGAGATTATGCTTATATACCACTCGAAACTATCCATAAGCGCATCTTAGGAGAGTTTAAAGACTTGCGATCCGAAATCTCACAGGCGTATGACCCGCAAGGCCCAGCGGGTTCGAATTCAGATGGGTTTACCGGACTCGCAACCGCGGAAGAATTTAACAGGATGGCGGATGATTTTGCTGCCTCTCTCACAAGAAGTTATGTTGCTACAAATCCAAAGAGTCAGCAGAAGTCCGGAAAGAATCCTACAGGCAAAGACAAATTATCAAAGACTAGCAATCCAGAAGGCAGTGGAGTCAATAATTCCGATGAAGCATCATTGTTTAATGAGTTGCGGCAAGTACTTATTATTGATCCATATGACTTGCCCGGTCGAATCAAATATTTGTTTACGAAGTTTGTATGTGACGCCAAAGTTTCGTCACAAACATTAAGACAACAGCAAAAATTCGTGGATTTACGATACCCCATTGAATGGTTCCCTGCTACTCGAGCGTTGCAACGCAAAGTACATCTACACGTTGGGCCAACCAATTCCGGAAAGACCTACCACGCCCTTCAACGTTTAGAGCAAGCCGAGTCTGGCCTTTACGCTGGCCCTCTTCGTCTTCTTGCTCACGAAGTTTATTCTCGCCTCAACGCAAAAGGGAAACCTTGTTCCTTAATAACCGGCGAAGAACGGCGGTTTCCAGAAGGCCCGACACCCACCATGAGTAGCTGCACGGTTGAAATGGTTCCACTGAACACCGAGGTTGAGGTCGCAGTGATAGACGAAATTCAAATGATGGGCGATGGATTTCGTGGTTGGGCTTGGACGCAAGCTTTTCTTGGTGTCAGAGCTAGAGAAATCCACATTTGCGGTGAGTTAAGGACGATTCCGTTGATACAGAACCTATGCAAGTTGATGGGGGATGAATTGACGGTACACCGCTACGAGCGTCTTACCCCCTTGGAGTGCATGGGGAAGAGTCTCCACGGGAAGCTAGACAAGCTTAAGAAGGGAGATTGCATCATTCTATTTTCAAGAGTTGCCATACACGCAATGAAAAAGGAAGTAGAGAGAGCCACCGGAAAACGATGTGCCGTTGTGTATGGTTCTCTTCCTCCAGAAACTAGGGCACAGCAGGCTGCGTTATTCAACGACCCGGACAACGAGTACGACTATCTCGTTGCCAGCGATGCTGTTGGCATGGGGTTGAACCTAGCCATCAGGCGTGTCATTTTCGAGGCATTGTCTAAATTCGACGGGAAATCCCACCGCAACATTCCTATTTCTGAAATCAAACAGATTGCTGGACGTGCCGGCAGATACAAGACTGCGGCAGAGGCTATGAAAAGGAAAGATGGCCCTACAGGCGAGGTCTCTCGACAAGTGGGAAGGAATGTTGGCCTGGCTACGACACTTGATGCCGTCGATCATGCTCTTCTAAAGCGAGCTATGGGCACCGACGTGGAGCCTCTCAAAACTGCAGGGATTTTCCCTCCATCAACGATACTTCAGAAATTCGCAGCTTACTTCCCAAAAGGCACGCCCCTAAGCTACATAATTTTACGACTGAACGAGTTCGCAACTCTTAACCCTATGTTTACCCTTTGTGATTTCAATGAGCAGCTACTGCTTGCTGATATGATCGAACCGTTCAACTTGACACTCCAAGATCAGCTGGTTTTTATAGCAGCTCCCGCAAATGTCAAACGGAGAGAACAGAGACCGATTATAGAGGCACTAGCAGCTATTATCGCAAACCGGAGTGCTACAGACCTCCTTGAAATCCCTGCTCTGAATCTTGAACTCCTTGATGAGACTCTGACAGAAGGGAAGGAGTACCTTTCCAAGTTAGAGGCACTTCATCAAGGCATCACACTCTATCTCTGGCTCAGCTACCGGTTCGCTGGTGTTTTCCGAAGCCAGGCGCTAGCGTTCCATATTAAATCTCTGGTGGAAGAAAAAATTAATGAGTCTCTAGCCAACGTGCCATTCGAAGAGAATCGGAGACGTGTGGTTCAAGCTCTCAAATTAAAGGCGCTTCAAAAGCAGGCTGAGGAGGACGCTTTAAAGGCGCCGGCTGTGGAAACTGAAACTCACACGCCCATGAGCTACGAAGATGAGGATCGCCAGGAGCCGTTGATAGACGTGGCAGATGAAGAAGCGATTTCTGAAGAAGCAGTTGCCGACGAAGCAGAAGACGATGACGAATATGTGGAGGAGCCCTCGAATATACCCAATGCTGAAAACTAGTGGTGACAGCTAAACGACGGCAATACGCCTGACCAAAGATCAAAGATCAGTGTTGGCTTTTATATTATATGTATGATAGTGAGTGTATATTATTGTATCTGTTGGATTATATAGCGGCATCTCCGGAAAAGGAGCAAAGGACATAGAATGTAAGATAAGGATGGATAAAGGCTACGGGTAGCCATGTATTTCTGAAAGCGGACAAACCTTCCAATTATTATTAGTCTACCTTCGCATTTTCAGCTTCTTCATATAAGATTAATTCAATAGATTATGTGAGAACAGTTCATAATTTCCAACGTTTCTATTCGTCACAAATTTATCTCTCGTGGTTTATTTCACTTCAATAATCCACCGCTGTAGATTTCTCTTGTTTAATAAATTTCTGTGTGGGTAAAAGGGATATGAGTGATATTCACGTTCCTGACTTGTGTTCTTTGTTTGTGGACATAACTTTACCCATAACCAGCTGTTACAGCTGTCTTCCACATCTCTGCAACTTTTCTTATCATCACCTGTGACAGATGCGTCTTACACATCTCATATAACCTCAGCAACACCCTATTTATACATATGCTACCATCAATAACATTATATTTCTACAACACAGGTACTACAGAGCATTCTGTCAGCACAAACCCTGAGCACCCCTCGAGCTTTTACTCAATTTCACTTACCATGTGGACAAGGTGCTAAAGCCGACTCTTACCATCTTCCACTGCGAGGATCAGAGCAGAGGTAGTGAGTGAATAGGACGTTTAGAGTCACATGGTTATTCCACGTTGCATAAAGTGAAGTGGTAAGCATACGCGTGTGCTTTCTTTGCAAATCAATCTAGGTGATATTAAACTAACTTATCACACCAGCCCAAAGTAAGACAGCGGGCTACACTAACATTTGCGCTTTGGTCATTCCTAATCGATATCAAGCAGAGTTCAAAGCAGAGTTCAAAGTAGAGTTCAATACAGGCTACAGTTTCTTGATACTCACAATATGGCTGGGAGTACCACTTCACGCGAACCTGGCAGCTCGCCCCAGTCATCAAAGACTCCAGTAACAACAAACTACACCAAATCACCCCAGGATGCAGAAGAAGCAGCAATGGAGAGGCGAAAAAAGGCAGCCGCAAAAGCTCTCGCTGAGCAGTCCCGATTGAGAGCAAAATCTTCTCAGAAGTCTTCTGTGAAGAATTCGAAGCTTCCTGAAGACAGTCAGGAGCCTCGAAATATCAGCCCCACCAAATCCCCTCGCACATCTCGCAGTGGCTTTGCTGCAGTACCTAGGCCTGTTGGTTCGCACGCTATTCTCAGTTCAACTTCAGAACCGGGTATACTACCTACAGCCCGTCACGGCCATAAAATCTTACTCAACGAGACCAACTCCACCAACAATCCTTCACAGGCAACACATACAGACTCTACAACGAACAATTCAGGGCCCACCGCAGCCGCAGCCACACCTGCACCTGAACCGCCAGCAACAGATGTCTCTCCAAAGAAACTGTCGCCGAATAATTATGCAAAGAGAGATGCCCGGTTCGAAGTTCAGCTTCTGTCAACGAAAGACGAAACGGTAAAACGCGATAACCCTAGCTACACGTCAAAGCAGATGTTTCTTGAATGGGATGGAATTGATAGAGAAGCTTTAAGGGTTGTCAATGGCGACAGAGAGTGTCTTTTGGTCGAATTCGGCACTATTCGGAGGATTTCATACAACCCCACCGGCCAACATCTTCAGCTCATATTTAATTCCACAACACAAGATGAGGCGCAGACAGTTGTAATAGCTATGAATGCCCTTCCACATGAAGAATGGGTACAACTTCAGCAACTATTCCGGCAGGTGGAGAGAAAGTGGCGGATTAGATGTGATCAGGAAGGCATGAGTTTCTTCATGATGCAATAAAATCTATGAGAAAGAAGCCATATAAAAAGATGGAAACTCCTTACCTCAACAGATCAATGTTACGACGGAGCAAGAAGGCTGGCCAACTACAGGACAGGAAGGAGGGAGGTCGCATGAGACCGGCCCTGGTACCTGGAGGGGCAGCGGGGAATAGTAGTTCCGAAAGTATCACGTGACGGACTCGCAGGATGATGAGAAGAGTCCTAAGAGTCCAGGACTCCGAGGACTCGAGTGAGTTCCCAAGAGTCCACTAGGCACGACGCCACTATATAAGTAGATAGTATTTCCTTAGATAGGAGCTTCGTGCTCAACTCAATACAGTATTTGTTATATACTAGTAACGTGTTACTTGAAGCCTTTGTGTCTGATCCCCTGCCTCCTCTGATAAGTAAACCCTTACGCAAGAGAACCTCTGTGTCTTCTATCGTTTAGAAGTCAGCGTTACACTTTGAGCACCACTTCTACGAGGCACTGGCTCATACACAAAGCAACATGTCTGTCGTCAGTTCGAAGGGGAAAACCCCCACCACGCCAACTTCGTCTCAGAGGTCTAAGCCTGAGAATGAGGAGATGCCTGACGCACCCACCGTCAACGAACTCAAGGAAACTCTACGCGTCAAGTTGCCCGACACTTACTCCGGCAACCGAAAGGAACTTGAGGTGTTTTTGCTACAGGTCGAACTGTACCAGCACTTCAATGATGAGAAGTTTCCCACCCAGGAGAGCTATGCCCTGTGGACTGCGTCCTACCTTAGGGGGGAAGCCCTGCGATGGATCGAACCATTCCTCAAGGACTATTTCAAATATGAAAGTACCAATGGAAGCATGACAACTACGCAGACTATGTTTGGCAGCTGGAATGGATTCTGTAAGGAAATCCGACGCATGTTCGGAGACATCGATGAGATTAAGACCGCAGAAGACCATCTGTTTGCACTTAAGCAGACTGGCAGCGCCCTCACATACTCCACAGAATTCCAGAGATACGGCAATCAGACAGGATGGGACGCCAGCGCACTCATCAGCCACTACCGACGTGGGCTGAAGAGCCATATACGTATGGAACTTGCCCGTTTGGAACAACAACCAACGGACATGGTAGCGCTAATCGAACATACGGTCCGAATCGACAATCGACTATACGAATTCCAGAAGGAACGTCGGACCTATGACAAGCCCAAGAAAAGTTACCCCTACCGGGGAAACGAGGGCAGACGACGGGATCAACACCCGCGAGACAACCGTTGGTCGGACCCAATGGAACTCGATGCCACGTTCAAACCTGGACGACCCCGTGACCCTAAGAAAGACAGACAATTCAAGGAACGACTCTGTTTTAACTGCGACAAGCCAGGCCACATGGCCCGAGACTGCAGACAGCCAAAGAAAGGGAACGGCGGACGCAAAGTCGGCAAACAACTCAATGCCACCTGGACAGGACAGTTGAACGCAACGTTTGTGAGCAAACAGGACTGGGGAATAAACGGCGAAAGCACCCCAGAAGACGAGAGCTCAGATGAAGGGTCGGAGGCGGAATCGTTCACCCTCTCGGAACAGGAGACCTTCGATGAACTCGCACCTACGGAACCAATGAGTCCACGGTGCAAGAACGTAGTAAGACGCATGGCAAAACACGCCCACGCGAAGATTAGGGCCGAACGAGACAAACCCAATGGCCAGAGGAAAATCCCCATGCTTAAAGACCTCTACGGGAACCTGTTACAGGAACTCCCGTTAAAGTGCAAGGTGGACGACTGCAAGGATGACCTCTGGAGATACTACGACCAACTAACGAATACCCGCAGGCTGCTTGGCACGTCCCAAGACGTAGCTAAGTTGGAAGCCCAAGAAGCGGAAGAACTGGAGAAGGATGTCAAGCATATGGCTAAACTGAAGTATATGAAAAGCGTCGAACTTTACTACCAGGACCGCAGGAGAGCCCTGAAGAAGTACGACGAGAAAGCCAGAGATATGCTCCGACGGGAAAATGCGAGACCCACTCCACGCATCGAAAGGAGAGCCATGGAGCAACTAGACACGTTCTCCACGCCTCCGAGGGAAGATAGTGCATGGGTGAGAGGACAGCGGGAACTATCAATGACAGACGCAACAGAGACTGATCATCCCTGGCACGCGTATGTCTACTGGGAGTATTGCAGCGAAGATGACTGCAAGCTCCACTGGAAAAAGAAACACCAGAATCAGTTGTTTCCCCGATCCTCGCCCAGGATACACTTCAGAGACGCAGAGCAAGTTCACGCCCTCAGGCGAAGCCAGTCTGAAGGGGACTTGCCTATCAAAAGCGAACAGGTATACGAAAGATATCCACACCTGCTGAACGACGCAGCAGAGACAGGGAGACGATCTCCCCAAGGACCACCATTGGAAGCGGATGAATACTATCCTTCCTCGGACGAGTCAAAAAACTAGGAGTCCTCGACGGTAGGCCACCGGCGAGTGACACGAAGAGGCCTAGTACAGACCAGCTATGCGCCACGACGGGCAGCATGCAACTATATGTGGTCGCTAGGATACAACAGCGACACCTCCGAGCAATGATTGACTCAGGAGCGACGGGCAACTTTATGACAAAGAAAGTAGCAGACACGCAAGGTTTCAAGACGCAATTGAAAACCGAACCATACCCGTTAATGGTCATAGATGGAGAGCCCATCTCGACTAATGAAGGAATGGTGACCCACGAAACGGTCCCATTGGAAATGGTCATGCTACACGGGCACAAGGAAACGATTCAGTTTGACATCGTGCACATGGACAACCATGCATGCATCCTTGGTGTGCCATGGCTCAAGAAACACAACCCCCAGATCGACTGGTGGAACGAGAAAGTTGTGATGAGCCAGTGCGCGTGTGAACAACGGACGGACACGCGACAACGGGAGAAACCCTCCCAGGGCCGGAAGGAGTTATGTGCAACCTCCGAGCTCGATGACCTAGCCCAGGCATCCTCACCGACGAGTATACCGGTGGAGTACAAGGAATACGAGCAATTATTCCAGGAAGGCCCTAAGAACGAGGCGCTTCCTAAGCACCAACCATGGGATCACGAGATACCTTTGGAGAAAGACAAGAGTCCACCGTTCGGACCAATATATCAGCTATCGGAAAAGGAGCTGAAGGTACTTAAGGAGTACATCGATGATAACCTAGCGAAAGGATTCATCAGACCATCCACATCACCAGCAGGAAGTCCGGTGCTTTTCGTACCAAAGAAAGACGGCTCCCTACGGTTATGTGTGGACTATCGAGCGTTGAACAACATCACAATCAAGGACAGGTATGCCCTGCCGTTAATCAACGAACTACACGATAGATTTCAAGGAGCAAAGATCTTCAGTAAGCTAGATCTGCGAGGAGCATACAACCTGATCCGAATCAAGGCTGGGGAAGAGTGGAAAACAGCATTCCGCACCCGCTATGGCCTATTCGAGTATCAAGTCATGCCCTTTGGGCTAACAAATGCACCCGCATCCATGCAACGACTGATGAATGATGCTTTGCATGAATACTTAGACATCTTTACCATCGTCTACCTAGACGACGTCCTGGTGTATTCAGCAACCAAGGAGGAGCATGTCAAGCATGTCAAACTCGTCCTGAAGAAACTAAAGGAGTACAGCTTACTCCTCAAACCAGAGAAGTGCGAGTTCCATAAAAACCAAGTCGAATTCTTGGGTTACATTATTGGAACGCACGGCATCAAGATGGACCAAGCAAAAGTAACGGCAGTGTTGGAATGGCCAACACCGACCACGGTCAAGGAAGTGCAAGCCTTCCTAGGCTTCGCCAACTTCTACCGAAGATTCATCTCGGGATATTCCAAGGTAGCTCAACCACTCACGGAGCTTACCAGAAAGGATCTCGAATTCAAATGGACGGACAAGGCAGAGGCTGCTTTCCAGGAACTTAAGACGAAGTTCACGGAAGCACCTATCCTTGCTACATTTGACCCTGCAAAGAAGATCATCCTCGAAACGGACTCTTCTGACTTCGCAATTGGAGCATGTCTGAATCAACCAGACGAGAACGGTAAGTTCAAACCAATCGCGTACTACTCTAGGAAACTGTCACCCGCGGAACTCAATTACGACATCCACGACAAGGAGCTACTGGCTATTGTCATTGCCTTTGAGCAGTGGCGAGTATATCTTGAGGGATCCACCTACCCTGTGCAGGTATGGACGGATCACAAGAACCTTATATATTTCACCACGACCAAGGTTTTAAACCGCAGACAAGTCCGCTGGGCAGAAACCCTCGCAGCCTACAACTTCACGATAACCTATCGCAAGGGCTCCGAGAATGCAAGAGCAGATGCTCTCAGCAGACAGACCGACTACGCCGGCCCAAAGGAAGAAAGACCTAGAGCAATTCTGAAGAAAACAGATGCAGGAATACAGTACAACGAGTTACTAGCGACGATCTCAGTCATCGAAGATACAGAACTCGAGGAAAGACTCAAGAAAGCTTACGCAACAGACGAATGCGCCAAGCGAGTCTTGTCCAAAGTTGAAGGCGACTTCGCCATCGACGAACAAGGATTGATTCGATACAAAGGGTTAGTGTATGTCCCAAGTCAAATGAGACGCCCGCTGGTGCAAGAACAACACTCGTTACCAGCACACGGTCATCAGGGAGTAACACGAACCTTCGAACGAATCACCCGACACTACTACTTCCCAGGTATGAGGAAGCAGGTAGAGACAGTGGTAAGAGAGTGCGACATTTGCAGCAAGTCAAAATCCAATAGGCATCTGCCATACGGACAACTCAAGTCGACACCAGTACCAAAAGGAGCGTGGAAATCAATAGCTTTGGACTTCATCGTCAAGCTTCCACCCTCCAAGGACCCGTTAACAGGAATAGAATACGACTCTATCCTCGTCATCACGGAAAGACTCACGAAATATGGGAAGTTTATACCATATCTAGAAGCTAGCGACGCCGAGGCGCTCGCATATACCTTCATTCGAGTCATATTAGCCGATCATGGGATGCCAGAAGAAATCATCTCAGATAGAGACAAGCTCTTTACTTCGAAATTCTGGAAATCATTGATGGCGCTACTGGGAACAAATCATAAGCTATCAACAGCTTTTCATCCCCAGACAGACGGCCAAACAGAAAGATTAAATCAGACCCTTGAACAGTACCTGCGAAGCTATGTCAATCATCAACAGGATAACTGGGTTCAGATCTTACCCATCGCACAGTTTGCATATAACAGCGCGATGACAGAAGCAACGAAAGTCTCATCGTTCTTTGCCAATTATGGCTACCAGCCAGAAGCATATAGGCAACCAAGACCGGATGAATCACGAGCTGAACAAGCCCTGATCGTGGTGGAACAACTGAAATCGTTCCACGAACAACTTGCGACGGACATCCAATTCTTAAATGAACGATCCGCTGCATACGCAAACAAGAAGCGCAGTATGGAACCTGCCTTCAAGGAGGGGGATAAAGTATACCTACTCCGGAAACATATCAAAACGAAACGACCAAGCACAAAGTTGGACTTCAAGAAATTGGGACCATTCAAAATATTGAACAAAGTCAGCTCAGTTAATTACAGACTGCAGCTACCCAGGAAGTCTAGACTACACCCGGTATTTCATGTCTCACTACTGGAACCAGCAAGAGGAAATACCCCAGTTGCGACCGACACCGAACTCCAACCCGAGAATGAGATAATCGAATATGAGGTCGAAGCGATCCTAGACAGAAGGTTAGTAGGACGTCGAGAAGAGTTTTTGATAAAATGGGAAAATTACGAACCTACGGATAATTCGTGGGAACCAACAAGGAACATCAGTAAAGAACTGCTGGAGGAATATCGACGCCGCCATCCGCCAGCCATTGATCCCAAGATGCAGGGGAGTAGGCCAGTGGATCGGAGGAAGCGGGGGTCCCGGTCACAGACGAGGAGGCAGCGCTAACTGCCTGTTCCTCGGCCTCAACAGCATCACGCTTCTCAGCAGCCACACGTTCGGCCTCCTCTGCCGCATCAAGCTCGTCGAGGGTTTTCAAACCTCGCCGGAGCATATCTTTACCACGGGTTCGGATGAGGCGTTTCTGCTTTCGCAGACGAAGTAACTTCGAAAGGGTTTCTTCCTCTTCGCGATCCAGGCGATCCTCCTCCCGTTCGAGCTTCACCCAGTCGGGATGCTCAGGACCCATACAGTCACACTTTTCTTTCAAGTTGCGACGAACGCACTCGGCGCACCGCCGTGAATCATTTGGAGACGACACGCAAGTAATGTTTCGCCTCACGCAGTTCGAGCAAGAATCCATTTCGGGTAGTTCGTATCCGTGGTTCTTTATTCGACGGACAAGATCGTTGCGTTCCTGGAGTTTGCGGGCAGTGTCAGTAGGCATGTTGCATGTTGAAGGACTCGCTGAGGAGCAGCAGAGTCCCGGGGACATGGACGTACTTATAGGATTCGAGACGAATGCCCAGGGGAAGGGAGCGAGTGTTACGACGGAACAAGAAGGCTGGCCAACTACAGGACAGGAAGGAGGGAGGTCGCATGAGACCGGCCCTGGTACCTGGAGGGGCAGCGGGGAATAGTAGTTCCGAAAGTATCACGTGACGGACTCGCAGGATGATGAGAAGAGTCCTAAGAGTCCAGGACTCCGAGGACTCGAGTGAGTTCCCAAGAGTCCACTAGGCACGACGCCACTATATAAGTAGATAGTATTTCCTTAGATAGGAGCTTCGTGCTCAACTCAATACAGTATTTGTTATATACTAGTAACGTGTTACTTGAAGCCTTTGTGTCTGATCCCCTGCCTCCTCTGATAAGTAAACCCTTACGCAAGAGAACCTCTGTGTCTTCTATCGTTTAGAAGTCAGCGTTACAATCAAATGCTACCGGGCAGAAAATTGCAGAAAGGCTCACACAAGCACCCCGCCGGCAGTCACTTCCCAAAGCATCCCGTAGGCAGTCAGTTGGACCAAACCTTAGCACCGCGGCAAAAATAGCCAAGACTCCAAAAACTAAAGTTGAGCGGCCAAAAGCGCACTTATCAGTCGAAGTGAAAAACATCATGGCCGCCAAGGTTATTGATCAGCCGCTTCAGATACCCCGTTTGTCGACGCCCTCGAAGCCTCCTTCTGTCACTAGCAGACTTTTATCCAGAACATGTTGACCTAGGTAGGTCACTGTTTGGGGCAAGGAATGCATGAATTGATTGATTGATTGAAGAGCATCGTAAGGATGTTCTTCTTCTGAAGCTATCTAGTGATGCAGCTGATGCAGGAGTAGGCTGCGCACTGGGTACTCACGAGTCGAGTAGTAGAATTTTTACTCACCCAGCTGAGTTACTCGCTCATGTCCCGAGTATTGTTGAATGAGGATTACTCACTTGCTGAGTACCTAGTATGGGTCTTGGCAACTCAGTTATATCACGTGTTTGATTAGCCATTACTTACCTAAGTAGATCAATGAAGTCGCACCTCGTTTTTAACATACCTATGTTAAAAACGGGGTGCGACTTCATTGATCAAGACGCCATAACTCCAACTCCATTCCCATATTGTTGATGTCCTATTCCACACTATAACCTTTGGCCTTTAGGTACCAGGTTACCAGATGGTTGCCAGAACTCATCTGGCCTTCATTCCTGGGTGAGAGACATTTCCATCGATTAAGCCCACAGCTTAAACATCATATCCTGCAAACGCCGAACCAATATCATACCCTTTGCCTGGATTGTCACTCTCTTCGCATGAATAGTGAGGAGGTTTGTCACTATAACTGTTAGTATGTCCCTGTCACTATGTTTAAACATCATACTCTCAAATTCTCGAATGAGGAAGCATTCAGCAGCTTCCTAAAGAGCTAGGATAGCAGATTGCTGGAAGCGAAGATTGGACTTGAAGTCTTCTGTGATTTCCCTAACAAGACGCTGGAATGGGAGCTAGTATCAAGTTGCTGTCTTCTGATATCGCGGAGAGCCTTGGTGCCTATATGTTTATTAGAGAGTTCTGGTAATCCTCTGGTAATCCTCTGGTAATCCTCTTACTAGACTTTGTGCAGCGCGTGGCCTTCTGAGCATGATTGTTGCTAGCTTGAGATGAGCAAACTGGAGCTTTTCTTGCTGTGCCCACAGCCTTTTCCTGTCCCTTTCCGCCAAGCCCAGAGCCAGCCCGTAATCCAAGTGGCATCCTTGGTGCTATGCCGCCAGTTGATCTCCTAGCAGTTTGCTTGGTACGAGTCATTTGCTAATATCAAGGTGAGTTAGTAAAGTAAACACAAGATAAAGAAGTAGATCAAAAGATATGTGTACTTACAGTGAGTTTGTAGAAAGAATATTGCAGAAGAAGAGTATAGTAAAGAGGTAGAGGTTGAAAGGTATGTGTTTTATATGAAGGTGCGCATTGTGGTGTTGTTTTTGGAACAGTAATTCTTTGTAGGTGAATATTCCTTCACAAATATTTTTGTTTGCAACTTTAAAATAACCATGACCTTAGAACCACCTTCCTTGGTTACTCTCCGATCTACATATTCTTCTTCCCTTTTGAGCCTTTACCTCTTCACTAGGACTTCAACTAAGTTTATTATCTTGATTCTATAGCCAGAACTTCTGGAGATCTCTGCTAATCACGTGTTTAGTTAGTATGGCGAAACTCAAGGCACATGAAGAACTCTCCACTAATGCGAATACTATCAAAGCTCGCAACTGCGTCTCCAACCTTACTGAAGATGAGAAGGCTGTTCACTTAGCACTCAAGGCTGACCATGCTGATCTGAGCTACTACTTAAAGAAGTTATATAAGTCTGCAAAGTGTAAGGATGCCTCCTTACCTAGATACTCGAAGAACCCGCCTCAGAGCTGTTACGGTCACCACAAGCATGAAATCCGACTCGGTGTGGTTTCGGACCAGTAGAGGAGGACATAGCGAGTTACACTATAGTGGGGGACAGTAAGGGTGTAGGGTTCAGGGTCGATGCGGACCTGTTGCGGTGGAAGGTTCAGGGCTAGGGTTGGGATAACCGAGTCGGGCCCGTTTCGGGTACTTAAGGAAACAAACTTAACGGGGTTCCCCCTTCATCTTTTTTGTATCCTTCGTAGTAGACCTATAGGATAGCATCCTTTTAGCCTCCAACTCGCACTCTCATATGCTATTACTGTGAGCTGGGTGCCCTGTGTCATTACACAAAGTATATCGCTGCCTCTACTGAAGACAAGACACGTCTACAGAATGAATTGAAGGTTGAGCGTATTTGTGTTCGGTAAGTTCCTTCTGGTAATCTCTGGTAGCCTCAATCTAACTATAAACAGGACTGAGAAGGGTACCCATGCATCTTGCATTGCGAATCAGAAAGTCAAGAATATTAGCGCCTCTTCTTCTCCACAAGCCCCACCATCTACTCCGCCCAAACAACTTCTGTCTGAGCTTGCTGCATTTGAGGGTATCTCAAGTATTCCAATCGATGACAATCATAACAGCGAATGGGAGGATACTGAGGTTGAAGACGATTTGGAGTTGGAGCTTATGTTACAGCGCGAGATATTTTAAATGACGAGGCTGTTCTACCAGATGAGCTTTCCGATGAAGAGATCACTAGCACCCAGGCTCTCTTAACTCAAGCGCACATTGATGTATGCTACCTCATAATCTGGTAATCTTCTGGTGATACTAATAGTTGATAGGCCCATGAAGAGTCCAATTTCCGCAAGTGGCAACATTTCTGGGATAGCTGTATCCACTCATATATGAGAAAGGCTGGAAAGCTGAGAAAGAAGCCTGAGCGTCTCTTTGAGTATATGCCGTGGATTGATGTAGAGGAAGGGTACGTCTCTGATCATCCTAGCAATCTTCTGGCAATACTAATTGTTTATTATAGCACTTTTCACGAGGTTATCCCACCACATAAATATTTCTGTTTGTACGAGCAGGCAGTTTGGAAAGTGGGCCTAATTACCAGGACCTGTGCAGTGGTATCCAAAGTCTTACAATCTTGTCGACAATGGATGGTTGCAAATATCCACTCATAGTTCTAGCTTCAAAGAGGCGTTCTTACTTGTCTACTCTAAGAAATTTGATAAGGAAAAGTGGGCTAAGGTATCAGCTGCACAGGATATGTTGTTCCTGGAGCTAGAGTAGAGGAGAACTTGAGTTGCTAAAGTTATAGCGCTGCAGTACCTTTCGCGTTGGAAAACCAGGTATTTAAGTACTTCATCGTAGCCAGACTTCTGGTAACCTTCTGATAATCGAGCAATTTGCCAAATGCCATCTCAATACTCAGAGTTGTTTGATTCTGACAGTATTCTCAGACTCTTTTCCGTCTTCTCAACGACTATCCTCATTAAATCAAGTCTGTAAGGACACAGGGCACCCAGCTCACAGTAATAGCATATGAGAGTGCGAGTCAGAGGCTAAACGGATGCTATCCTATAGGTCTACTACGAAGGATACAAAAAAGATGAAGAGAGGAACCCCCGTTGGGTCAATCTCCTTAAGTACCCGAAACGGGTCCGACTCAGCTAACCTGCCTTAACTCTTATCATGTGACCGTAACCTGCCCGACTCAGATCCTTTCCATCACTGAGGGACAGGCATCCTTACAAAGTCCCTGCAGGCCTTGAATATATTGGCAAGTTAAACCAATTCGTCAAATGGACTAAGGATACACACGATATATTCATTGAGTGGTGGAAGCTATCACGATGGTATGAACAACACTCAGATCATACTACAAAACTCCTTATGAAGATTGCATGGGATTCAACCAACTGGAGTTCTCAATACTGGAGAAGTTATCACCAAGGAGCAGACTGGCTTTCTGGAGAACCATGTGTTATTTGTACTTATTGTTCGAAGGCCCTTACGCATCCTGCAATCAAGTCTGCTGGCCCAAAGTCTATGGCAACACATCTTGCATCAGACATTTGCAAAAAGAAGTCACAGATGGGAAGGATAGTCTCTATCAAATGCGAATCAATCAAATGCAACCTCAACAAGTAAGGATTACCAGATTATTACCAGAATTATGTAGGTTAATACCTATAATAAGATCATATTCTCACACAAGAGACATTTTATGAACAAGTTCTATACACAGTTATCTTGGCTCATAGCTCGTTCCGCTCAGTCGAGGATCCTCATCAAGACCCTATAAATACTTTAGGTATTAGTAGGTCTGGCCGGCCTCATCAAGCAAGGTGGAGGGATGTTCTTAAGCATATATAATAGATAATAGCGTTCTAATAATCTTCTGATAATCATGGTACTTAGATAGAGGAATATACATGATTCGTTCTCACAGCTTACTAGAGATGGCGAGAGTGATGCTAATAGATGTAATACTTTAACTTAACCATAAAACAGTATTAATCGTATGAGGGACTGTTCACATGATGCATAAATCTTACACGTGATAGCCGAGTACTCACCGGGTTTTTACAGAGTAACTGAGTATTGACCTCACTCACCGAGTCGAGTAAAAGGTTCAGCTACTCACCCAGCTGAGTAACCCACTGAGCGAGTGAGCCGAGTATTGAGCGAGTAGTGCGCAGCCTATGCAGGAGCGACGGCGTTGTGTCGCCTAATCGGGAAACCACGCCCTGGCTGTTTGAGTCCAACAGAACAAGCCAATCTCTTCTAAAAGAAGGGACCGATTCCCAAAGAAACATCTCTAGAAGTTACGGCGACAGAGACTCACCAACAAAACGTAGCATTGGGCCTCAAAATAGAAGCCAAGTTCCACGGTCATCAGCAACTCTCGAGCCGGATAGTAGCCCTCATGGCCTTTCCAGCCTGTTTGGTTCCGACGACAGCGAGCATGATTTTTCGGGCTTTGAGAAATCCTCGCAGCGGTTTACGGATAAGATGAATGAAGCCAAAATGATTTCTAGTAAGAATTCACTCCTTTAAATCTAATTTGCTTTGGACTCACCACAGTATACAGGCAGTCAACCAAGTGAGAGTCCAAAAATTAGCCCCAGCCTCTTTGCTCAATCGTCTTCTACTCTGCGTGGCGGCACTCAGGAACCAGAGAAGCCAGAACATGGATTCGAAGAGTTTATGGACAGTATTCAAGGTTCTAACCGAATTGAGAATGTCTTGATCTCATCATCTCCTAATATAAGGCACAAAAGGGACAGGTCACCATCGTCACCAACATTACCACAGCCGTTGAATGTATCACCTGTCAAGCTGGTAACCAAGGGCCTGCAAAATGCTGGCAGTATCGCAGGGTCCGATCGCCCCCCAAAGAAACTCAAGGAGTCGCATGCGGAGCCAGAAAGTGAAACACGGTTTTATTATCAGTGCAAATCAGGTCAGGATTTGCTTCTTCCAGTTGCTGTTAATGACACAGTAATCCGTCTCCGAACGAAAAAGGAGATGGAGGAATCTGGAAAGCAGTCAAAATATGATGTTTTCGATGGGCCTTGGACGGTCCTTGGCATCTCAGAAACATCATTCCCTCTTAGCTTTGACTTCTTTGTTCTCGAGGAGGAGGATTCTGATTCTACAGTATCTCGACAAGCTAAGTGGGACAAAATGCTGACAACTAAGGTCAAACTGAACTTCCCAGAGGGATCGATGGCAGACTCGTGGGTGGAAATCTCAAGGCTTCTTCCAGCCATTGATCACAAGGCTGTCGGTGATTCATATGAGGTTGTTAAGATCCGGCAGAAGCGCCTTAGATTATACACCAGGGCTGAAGCCAAACAAATGGAGGCTACACAATACGATGACAAGTGGGTAAAGACGCTTTTGGCTGTATGTATTCAGAACTCAAATATTGCCGCCCAAACACTAATTATCGAGTAGCAACATGGCCATATTGCGCGGAATAAGATAATCGTTGACGAGTATTTGTGCAGTTGGGCTGGATGAGCAGTTGAAGATCAAACCTGGGTTCCGAGGGGGAATTTCGGCAGTGATGATCTCTTGAGACTCTTCGATGATCAGAACGATCCATTCAGAGATATTCCAGGTGGTATTGTCTTGCCCGTCAAAAACCTTGTCCACGAAGATGATTTAAAGAAGACCCGAGCCTCACTGAGGAAGAGTAAACGGAGCTCTCTTGGGAGTAGTTGTCAGTTATCCAGCAGCGCTCGAAGAACGATTAAGAAGTGGGGCACGGCAAGGCGAAGCACGAGATGAGATGGAACATTTATGCCAGTCATTATCTGGTTATCGGCCGCAAAATCACGAATCCTACTGCAGTGTTGGTTATGAATTTCTGGATTCGAGCGAAGGCTAGCTAGGCACTCACCCGCAAAGCAGTAGCTATGAGCACTGATGGTCAAAAACTATAACAGCTTGGAAGAGCAGTTTAGGGGATATTCTGCGCAGCTCGTTAAATTATCCCTAGTGGCTTTCTTTTATTGTAGGGAGCTGATATCCGTTTGTTATAGAGCATTGCAATTACACTGGGCCGTTTCTGAAATCCACCAACGAATTCTTCCTTATTAAGATCACGAACAGAGAGTTAGGTTAAAACAATACTCGAAGACCTAGTTCTCTTCAAATCATAATTTCTCGTGACAAATAAACAACTAGTAAAAGAATGTCGAAAATAAAATAAAATAACGTATTTCAAGGTGAAGCGATAGCGATCACTGAACTTCCCACCTAAAATTGAGAAATTAATTTACAAGATAATAACTCAACAACAACTTTATAATATATATTAAAAAATGTATCTCTAGCCTTTCCTATGTAGTTGAATTTGTACCTAATCATTTAGGAATAATCTATTCAGTAGTTCTTAAGATATTAAGTTTAGGCACTGAAATCTAGACTAGGTCTTTATATTTCAATATCTACTAGTCTAATTGCTTTAAAGCTTAAAATAAAGGAATCTACGTGTATATATAAGGATACACACACATTTTTAGAATATATTATGAAGTTGTTGTTGAGTTATAATTTTAGGTGGGAAGTTCGGTGATCGCTTCGCTCGGTGATCGTTTCGCCTGTGAAATACGTTATGTATGTGGGTGGCGTCGGGCATAGCCTTGTACCCAGCCTTGTACCCAGCCTTGTACCCAGCCTTGCAGCAATCTTGTGGTTGGGTGACGGGGTTGGGTAGCGGCCGAGATGGCCGAGACAATTTGATCTCTAGGAAATTCCTCGGTGTCGCAGTGAAAACACGCTACGTTTATAAATTGATTCTTTTTCCAGCGTCCCCTTATTTCCCCCCCAAAACAGCCTGTCACTCGCAATGTCGGAAGGCCCAGTTCATAGAGTCATTTCGGCCGCTGAGGTGTATAGTTTTCCTCAGGGGCACCTGGGGCACCTCACTGACCTTGAGGCCAATGCTCTGGACGAATTCAGAAAGCTCTGCACTGAAAAGAATCTCTACAGTGGAACTAAGAAATATGATTTTGGCTCCCACGATGACACGACTCTACTGTTCGTCAAATCCTTCTCTGATCTCGGGGTTCAGCAAACTAATCTGTCAAAGGCGCTTCTTGAGAGCAAGACGTTTCAATGTCCAGGGTGCTTTTCAGCAGTACAAGGATACCGAAGAATGGCGCGCTGCGAATCAACTGGAAACACTATACGAAACTATTGATTTGCAACATTTCGAAGAGACACGGCGACTTGTAAGACAAGCCTTCTTAGCCTTCTCACATCCTATACTCCGTTGCATAACATACTAACGGCGGTTTCGTGACAGTACCCACAGTGGACCGGCCGACGGGACAAACGCGGGATCCCTGTATATATATTCGAAGTGAAGCATCTAGATGCAAAGACCATGGCAACGTATGAGAAGAGTGCAGCTCAGACGCACAGCAAGGCGAAAACAGACGGCAACACGGCACCGAAACTGCTCAGGCTATTCACTCTCTATGAAAACTTGACACGCTACGTTCTACCATTATCGACAGCTATGACTGACCGCCCATACCCCACCACGCCGATCACACAGTCAAACAACATCGTTGACATCTCTGGTGTGGGATTGAAGCAATTCTGGAACCTCAGAGCGCACATGCAAAGTGCCAGCCAGCTGGCAACAGCACATTACCCTGAGACCCTCGATCGCATCTTCATCATCGGCGCACCATATTTCTTCCCGACAGTATGGGGCTGGATTAAGCGCTGGTTCGACCCAATCACCACATCGAAGATATTTATCCTCTCGCCGAGCGATATGAAGTCCACGCTGGAATCATTTATTGAACCAGTCAATATCCCCAAGAAATATGGCGGCGAACTGGAGTTCAACTGGTGCGACCCCCCTGTTTATGATCCCGCTCTAAACGATGTCATCACTTGGAAGAATGGCTATGAAACCCTTCCTACCGGTCCCATGTACTGGCGCGACAAAGGCGACCACATCGAGTTGGAAGCGGTCGCTGCCGCCGATGGCAAGCAGCGACGAGATATTGTTGCGACAGTACGCAAAGCCGCGGCAGTGGCGGAGACGGAGGACAAGACGACCGAGGAAGTGCCACAGACACTTCCACCTGCAACGGCCGAGGCCATCAATGCAGGCTCTGCAGGCCAACCTAAGCCCGGCTCTTACGTTGTAGCCCCAGAAGGCATTGCGACAATCTCGCTCCAAGACGATAAAAACTACACAGACGTCAATGAGAAGCAAGATGCTGCTCCGGATGCGTCGGCAACAGGAGAAGTTAGCAAACCTTAGTGGTCGATTGCACAAGCTATAGAAGCATTACAGAGGCGCATATACGAGAGAAGCGGCAATGAGGTGAGCAGTGAGGTTTCAGGCGGGAGGTGTAGCCATAGAGGCGAGACGGCGTATATATGGATATACCCAATATTATCATGCTTGGAAAGACGAATACAAAGAGCGGTTGCATGTCAAATGTGACTGATTAGCCAACCTTTAGCCTTATTATTCCACTGTTGATCTTTATATCACACAATTCATTCTCGAGCCAAGTTAAGTGTCATGGATGTTATCGTCATAATTTTAAAAGTAAGCATGCTTTAGTTAAGTAGAGATTGTTGGAGGTAATTGTGGAAAGTGAGGAATTACACACGGATTTGTATGGTAATCCCCAACCACCGTAATTGATTCCTTGCGGGTAATGGAGCAGAAGCTTCACAGTAGAACACGGTAAATACAGTATATAAGTTAGATCAATTGAATTACTACCTAATCTACGGGCTTACGTACGCTATTTGTAGCCCTGGGGGAAATCCCCAAAACCCTGACGAGCTGAGCTTTCCGGGCTTCAGCTGGGTTTGGATCAGTGGCTTCCAATAGTATGGCGCCACTGTCTCACCCGTAAACTAAACCGGGAGTTGGATGGTCCCACGGGGATAACCTGTTATTTTGGGTGTAAAAAACCCACTGTTTCCCAGCGGGAAAGTCCGTTTCCCTCAACAGAGATTAAGTGGTTTGTTTCGCACGTGACAGCGCGATGCGGGCGCGACATTTCGTGCATCCGAGAGGCGACCGATGCGTGGGAACAAGGCGTGAAATACTCGTATTACGATGACCGCCTGAGAGGCCGCTTTGGATACTTATTTTCTCGCAAATTCCAGCACCAACATTGTTTATGAATGACCACTGTCTATGCTGGAGCAGATTAATCCCATGACAAATGTACCTCAAGGAGCCCGATCAACTGAGCTGAGCGTGTAGTTATGCCTCCATTCCTCCCGCGCAAGCGCCTGAGGTCCGACTCCCCAAATCCCGGACAAGAACTCGAGCCCAAGCCAGATGCGCCGAAACCGAAGCGCGGCCAGACAGGAAATAGGGACAGGACGCAAACGAAAGAGGCAAGCGGGAAATCTAATACTGCCATTGCGCCACCAAGGAAGAAGACGCTGTTTGACGAATTAGATACGGGGACACAACGCTCATCGCCGCAAACGCCGAGTGAGTTGTTGAGGAGTTTGGGTGGGGGAGAAGAAGATGAGGAAGAGAGTGATAGCGAATATACAGAATTCGAGGATGTCGTAGCTGAGAAGGAGGATGAGGATGACGACGATGATGTCGAGTTTGAGGATATCCCGCAGGCCGGCCCCTCCAACGCCGACCGACCGTCAATATCAGCTGCGCCTGCGGAGCAAGAAGATCTCGATCTCACCCTTACGAGAGAAACGAGGATTAGTCTTGCGAACCCGCACAACAAGAAGCAAGGGCCAAGTAAGATTGAACGTGCGGTTCGAGTCGCGACCCATCAGATGCATGTGCAGTTCTTAATGTGGCATAACTCGGTTCGAAACCGATGGTGTTGTGACAGGGCGTTGCAGGAGATCTTAACGGGGGAGTTGATGAAGGGGACTTCGTTCGAGAAGGATCTAAAGAGGTGGAGAAGGGACAGCGGGTTGGGAGGGGAGGAAGTTGAAGAGAATGAAAAGCCAAAACGAAAGGGGAAGTCTAAGGAGGAGAACAAGAAGAAGGAGAACGAGAAGAAGGAGAACGAGAAGAAGGAGAAGGTGAAAAAGGGCAAGGAGAGAAGTCAGGCCGATTGGGGTAGCTCTGCCCAGCGAGCGGAAATCGGATCCGTCAATATGAGCCACGGCGATCCGCTATTTGCTCTTCTAAACCGGCTGTCGTCGTATTGGAAAAAGAGATTTACGATTACGGCTCCGGGATTAAAGAAGGTTGGGTATATGTCATTACAGCGCATAGACGATGAGATCAAGAGCAACAGAGCTGAATACGACTTTGAGAGGCATGGTGAGAGAATTGAAACTAAAGACTCCTTCAAGGAGCTAGCGAATGGACATGAGGGCAGCAGAGATGTTGGTGCCCAGCTATTCACGGCACTTTTGCGCGGCTTAGGTCTTGAGGCTCGGATGGTGGTTAGTCTGCAACCAGTGGGGTTTGGATGGAGTAAAAATGAGGAAGCTGTTGAGAGGAAGGAGAAGAAGATTGTCTCGGAAGAGCCGGATCTTCAAAGCTTCGACGAATCTGATGACGAGGGATCGACGCCGACTTTGAAAGGAAAGGCCCCGATTAAACCTAAACATAGGGCGCCTCGATCAAAACAAGTAAGGGCCACATCTCATATATCGAGCAATAGCACACGCCGAAAAGGAACGAAGGATCCCCCAATTGATTTATCTGAAGCTGAGCAGAATGATGACCATAGCGAATCTATTGGAATGGTAGCCGATGCCTCTCCAAGCCGGCCACAACGCAAGCAACCATCAAAAGTCTACGAGAAAGACCTTGCGCCCAACTATTGGATTGAGGTACTATCACCGGTGACAAATATTTGGGTACCGGTTAACCCGTTCGCACCAAGCGACCCAGTAGCAACGAACCCAGAGCTTCTCCTCGGGTTTGAACCTCGTGGCGCTAAGGCAGAGAAAGCAAAACAAGTCATGGCCTACATTATTGGATTTTCTTCAGATGGCACAGCCAAGGACGTTACCGTCCGATACCTGAAGCGACATACTTGGCCGGGTAAAACCAAGGGTGTGAGGATGCCGGTTGAGAAAGTGCTGGTCTACAATCGTCATGGAAAGGTAAAACGCCATGAAGAGTATGACTGGTTCAAGACCGTCATGAGTGGATATGAACGGCGTGAACAACAACGCTCTATCATCGATGATCAGGAACAAGCTACCGACTTGAAAGCCGTCAAGCCACAGAAGAAGGAAGCTAAGAAGGGCGAGGAAACTCTACAATCGTATAAGCAATCTTCGGAGTTTGTGCTACAACGGCATTTGCGTCGAGAGGAAGCCCTACTACCAACCGCCAAACACGTCAAGTTATTTACAGTTAAGGGCAAGGCCGATGCTCCAGCTACCCAGGAGAAAGTATACCTGCGAAAAGATGTTGTTAGCTGCAAAAGCGTGGAGACATGGCATAAAGAGGGCCGTGAGCCAAAAGTCGGGGAGCAACCATTAAAAAGAGTGCCATTCCGTGCAGCGACTACTAATCGAAAACGAGAACTTGCAGAAGCAGAATTGGCGAGTGGAGGACAGAAGATGCTCCAGGGGCTATATAGCCGAGATCAGACGGGTTGGATAATCCCTCCACCGATCGAGGACGGTATTATCCCGAAGAACGGGTTTGGAAATATGGATTGTTATGTCCCGAGCATGGTGCCGAAAGGCGCTGTCCATATCCCGCTCCGTGGCACTACAAGAATATGTAGGAAGCTAGGGATTGATTTTGCTGAAGCGGTGACCGGCTTCGAGTTTGGCGCGAGGATGGCGATACCAATTATTTCAGGCGTTGTTGTGGCGGAAGAGAACGAAGAAATGGTTATCGAGCATTGGCGTGAGTATGAGGCGGAAAGGTTGCGGAAGGAAGATGACAAGAGGACGAAAGCTGCATTGGGGATGTGGAGGAAGTTTTTAATGGGGATGAGGATTATGAAAAGGGTTAGAGAGGAGTATGGGGAGCACGGTGATGAAAACCCAGATGTGCTGAACCCTTGGACGAATAAGAATACGATGGATAATGTCAGAGCAAACGTCGAGGGAGATATGTCGAGGCAGCAAATGGAGCAGGCTGACGAAGACATGGCTGGTGGTTTCTTCCCCGAAGGCCATGAGGGGGAAGACGTACCCCAGAGCTTTTTCCCGACAAGGCATGAGGAAAGCGAAGATGACGGCGGTGGCTTCGTTATTGGGCAGGAAGAGCCAGACAAGAAACCTACGAGAAATATTCCGAACACCTACCCGACTCCTCTCTCCATCCAGCACAATAGAGCCGGCGAAAGTTCAATTGAAGTTAGTGGAAGGGAGTCCTCTCCATCATCCAAGCCGGTTGCACAAGTGGCGCCGCCGATAAATGGGGCTACAAGATCTACCGCACGACCTTTCACGATATCGAATCGTATGGGTGAAGACAACACGAGAGATCCAGCTGACACAGACGCCCAGCCCGCCCCGAACCAACGCAGACATTCTCTTCGCCGAGGAGGACTAGGGAAACGCGTACCGCCCAGTGATGACGAGGATACAACCGCCGTAGATCTAGAGGGTGACCATGAGGAACGCGATGTGCACATTCCGGAAGCAAAAACTCCTGCATCGAGAAGGAAAGGAAAGTCTACAAAACTACCAGTTGAGAGTCCGGCTACGAGAGCCATGCCAAAGAGGAAGGCTACGAGGAGAAGTACGGAAACTAAAAGTCGATACTTCGAGGCTGACGACGAAGACGACTTTGAGTATACGGATAGTTGATATTCAAGGCTGGTAGGCATAGGTCGGGCATAGGTTGGGCGTAGGTTGGGCGTACGGTCAAGAGCGAAGCAGGATATACATAGCACCTGTTTCCTTGGATTAATAAGCCGATGTTCTCAAGACATATATCCGCCTCCGTTGTTACATTATACAGATTAGGCCATCTACAAGGCTGAGGAAATGGTCATATATTCACGAGGTTAGTGTGCTGTGACCGGTGGTGGTGCTGTGTTGAGGCACATGTCGCCCAGTTCAAAAATCATGCGCACTACTGCAGCTATCCCCACATCACAGGGACAGCCTGGACTCGGCAGTGGCTCAGCCGCAAAGGCTGGACTGGGTTAAAGAGGGTCAAAGGCACCGTCCAGTTCGTAATTTTACTTGGATATTTGAGATGTTATATGCTACATTCTAGTTTGATGATCTGATATGTGACTTGGTTGTGTTCAGCATCGCCTAGATGCCTAAAGAGAGACTTTCTGACTACCAGTGGCTATCACGTGCACCCCGAACGGATACGCGCCCAGTGCGTTTTGATCTCGATTTGGAAAGAGAAAACGACCGGCGACGAGCGGAACGGTCATTGAGGGGATCGAGGGATGCATCGGGCTTTGTGGACGAAAACTTTCCCTTCGTTCCTGGGAGGAGCAGAATAGGTCGGGACAGGAACAAAGATAGGATCATCGAGGATCGAGAGAGGTCTCTGAGCCCGAAGTTCACCGAGGAACCCATCGCGAGTGATAACAGTGATATTATTGTCACGGCAGGCCCTGATTCAAATGATGATGAATATGGAGGCCCGGCCCATTCATATCGGGGGCGCAGATCATCGAATTATAGCCCGTCGCGCTTCGATGAAAGGGAGAGCAGCCATTTTATGAGACAGCGGAATCGACGGCGCCTAAACCGTTTTTTGGGACAGAGGCGAGACAGTTTGGAAAGTTCAGCTTCGTGCTCCGCATCGGATTCGGACATCATTGACGATGCCTACTCATTCACGTTAACGCGTCACAAGCGCACTACATCGGGAATTGAAATAGTATCGGACGCCTCCGAAGCTTCTGAAGGAGATGTTGGAGGCGTGGAACCCGAAAAAATTGTTTCTCAGTCCCTTCTCGCTCCAAAGATACTGAATGTCTTCGATAGCAGGTATACAGGAGAAGGGTCGGTAGGAGGTGTCCAGAGTGCCCGGATTACGGTGCTGCCTACGCCACCCCAAAGCCATGGCCAAAAAAAGAATCGTCCCCCATTGTTCACATGGATACATTTTGAAGATTCGGCTATGAACTTTGATGATTATCAGAACGGGGTAGCAGCTGTGGGGGGACTCTCAGATATCGAGCGTCAGGCCATCTCACGTCTCCTAGCGCGTGTAGGGAAGCGGTTTGACAAGCCTTTTCAGACATCGAGCGGTATGAAAGCCAAATTTTTGATGCCGTCATTGACCGCTGAAAATATTGTCAACCAGACGGGATCAAAGACCTCGAAGCCGAGGGTAGTGACATGGATGAGTCTCCCGCATTTCACGTTACAAAAATATAAGGCTGGCCCCGCCAGGGCAAGGCCCGCAGACCATCCAATTCGCAGTCTCATGCAGGCGCGTTTTTCACTGGTCCAAAAGGGACGAGATATGCAACAGGCAGTTTGCCACTTGTTGGATACCCCAGGCGATTATTGTTTCCATATTGCCCAGACGTGGTATTTAATTCTTGATGACTGTAAGTTAACACGAAATTACGGGCGAATGTAAACTAATAGATACAGCGCTCCTCATCACCTGCGCTGGGATCCGCATGTCCTCCCTTCAAGGTGATGCGATTAAAATTGCCCCCGAACCTTCATCAAAGCACCACGGAACTTGGCCTCCTTTTATTTTAGTTTCATCCGGGAGATGCCTCCTCTGGTGTTTCAAGGTGGATGAGTGCCAGACCTGGTTTGTAAGTGCTTTAGCATGTGCCATTGTATGAGCTGAGCTAATGTGACCTAGGGCTTTGTCCTGCTCTTTGGAGAGTTCTGGCCTGGGAGACTGGAGTTCAAGCATAATGGTAAAACCATCAGGGCCGCTGACTGGCCGAGAATTATAGCCCAGGCGAAGAGAACAAATATCAGGCTTACGGTCGATCACAGGTATGATATCTCAGTGGACTCAGTATGATGTGAATACTAAGTTTATCAGGGCTCCATTGAGGGACAAATTTGAGGCACCTGACAATTTCATACCAGTTATGCGGGATTATGGAAAGGCTGCTTCGGCGTCAAAGCCGACTGTGACATCGAAAGAACAGCCAGGCGCTAACACATCGTCAACCATTCCAGGCTTCATCATTCATGAGTATGATCAGCCGCCCAAACAAAACATGCCAGGTCCACCATCAGATAAGGGGCAGCAGCAGACTGCTAAACCGGCCACCGCTGAGGATGCCCCTGAGAAATCTAGTGCCCCATCGACAGAGGGCTACTTCGATAAGCCGAAACCTAACCCTGCAACGCCCGCCAGGCCAGAAGAAAGTCTCAATTTACTGGGGGTTCAAAATTCTCCCCCCAAGCCTAACAGTATTTTCGCTGGGTTTTACGTGTTTGCTTGGCTAAATTCGCATCCAACGGCCATGTTATCTCCCCCTCTATTTGCTTCGCCCTTAGAGCGACCTCAATCATCTCGAAATCGCAGCTCTAGTAGCCCAAGCGGTGTTCGTGAGGAGACTCCAACTCCAAAAGCCACTCCTGATATTCAGTGGAGGGTCGAGGAGCAAGATATAAGAGATGACCTTAGGGAAGTCGACGATTTCCTGAAGGCTAGGTCGAGCGTCGGTGACCGTATCGTCTATCAGGAGTGTCCTCTTGGCTCACGAGACTCTATTGTGGAGCAATTGACGAGAGTTAAGACGAAGCTTATGAGTTCAGAGAAGGTAAATCCAGAGAAAGTAAAGATTCTTGGGACGAAAGAAGCAATAGCTGCAGCAGCGGATCAGATTTTCCAGTTCTTCCTACCTATTACATTTGAGGGACCTACAGTACAGAAATACTGGGGCGCAATCGACAGCTTAATTTTGGTAACAATATCCAACCAGAAATATATGGTGCAATGGCTAACCCACTCAATAGCCCGATAAATCACAGAAGGTTAAAGCACAAGAGAACACTTCCCAGTATTACCAGGGTCGGCAGTACCGGCCAAAAGAAAGGAGAATGAGAAATTTCGGTTGTCGTAATGAAGATGTCCCATACATCGCCGAGTTTCTCGGTCAAATCGCCAGGCAGGTTCAGCCATTCAAAGAATTCTACGCGGAGGCACGCCCCGCGGATAGACTAAATATACACCTACCAGAAGAGTTCCCAAAGGCTTGGCTATATCTTTTGATATCTGTAGCCTCGACGACGAAAGACATGGCGGTTTTTGAGGACCACAATTCTGTAGTTCATGATTTGCTCGATAAGGGAATGCGGAAGGTGGTACAAGAGACGTCGAAGAAAAGCTTACTCGACAGCCTCGTCTTCACACCGTTTGAGCTCGCAACTCTCATCAACTTTCAGCTCCTAGAGGGCGTAACTCCTTACTCCCAGGATATAATCGAGCCATATTGGCAATATCTTCGGAGCCTGGTACGTTAACTAGCTATGCACCAGCTAAAACTTGCCTATACTAATTCACACCTTAGGAAGCCGACATTGCCGCAAATCCTGTCGACCGCAACCACCAAGACCGTATTGCGCTATTCAAGCAAGAGATATACGTCATCAACGATATACTAAACCAGCAGCGGCGCCTCCTCATGCTTGCTTCTCCCTCTGCAAGTTTCAGAAATAGCGCCGCCGCCTTCCAGAACACTCATCTCAACAAGATAGCAAACGACGACTACCGTTCTGTGGTACCTAATGTATATACCCAACAGCCAACAATGCACGGTTTTAATAACGCCACCCACCATACACGCTACGACGTCGCGAACATTGAGCCCTTCGACGTGCCCATCGTTGTCGACAACCAAGGCCGCTCGCGTACAAGCCAGCTCGCACCCACCCACCCGAACGGCGTCCTCGGGATCTTGATCTACGACGCGATCTCACTCGTAGACCACAAACTGCGTGACATACGGGAGATGCACGACTGGGTATCGCATCTTCAGGCCAGCAACCTGCAGAAAATTGACACGAACAAGGACCGGCAGGAGGCCGCCATCTACGCCTTCACCATTGTCACCATTGTGTTCTTGCCGCTCTCGACCGTCGCTGGGATAATGGGCATGAACACGGTCGACATCCGTGATATGGAGTTTAGCCAATGGGTATTTTGGGCTGCTGCCATACCCCTCATGATTATCGTAATAACTTTATGTCTAATCTGGGCGGGTGAGCTGGGGAATTTCTGGAAGGGCTTCAGGGACTTGTGGAGGGGAAGGGAACGGGCGAGGAGGAAGAAGGTAAGGAAGGCGGCAGTCAACTTTGCGCCTACTATGGCCTATACCCCGATGGATAGGTCGAGTATGTATAACACCGGATCAGCATCAGTGCGTGACTTCGACCGTCACTCTGTGGTTGTGAGAGAGCGCAACCGACCCGAATATGTGCGCGGGCTTTAAAGAGGTGGTAGTTATGGATATATGTCTCAATATTTTACATAGTGGTTACCCGCTACATTTTGGATTTGTTTTCAACGAAGTAAAAGACTGCATTCTTGCGCTAGTGTCATTCTCATGCTCAAAAATGGGGAGAAAACGACTGTGATATGTAATAATGCTTGATCATCGCTCCCAAAACGCCTTGCATATGCAAAATCCCTATGGTTCAAGCTAACTGCAGCAGATGTCCATGGCCATGTTCATGCCTCGATCAAATTCGGGATCGCAGGTCCCACGCCCCGTAACAAAACAATCGTGTTTCCACTAACCAAAGCAGCGCCGACCTTCTCTCCAAACTCGAGAAGTCGGCCGCCTTCCACATGAAAAACCCGTAGTTTCTCCCTTTCATCCTCGCTCTGGTTATTAACGTTCTGCACCTGCAAGCTCTTTGCCGCCGCATCCAGAACCCGTCCCACAACCCAATCTTTGCTGTAAAAGAACTCGCCCTTCGGAAATTTCGCTTTCGTAGTCGCCGCCTCCGCCTCAACATATATATACACCCGTTTCTCCGGCGCTAACTTCTCGTCCCCCTTCGCGGTCTTCTTCAGCGTATTCACCGCCACCAACCTTGCCGCCGTGCTCGACGGCTTCGGCTTAGGCAGCACCCTCGTCGTCGCCTTCTCCGCCTCGACCTTCCTTGCCGAGCCCCACGCCTTCAGTCGCCCAAACGCCAGCTTCGCTTTCTCAGTAGTCGCCGTGGTGTCGAAGCGCGAAGGCCGCGCCCCAATCGGCACCAGGTTCTTGCAGTCGTGGTCCTCCTTCAGCCGATGCTTCAGGCAGTACGTGCGATTACACCCAGAGCAGTGCACACCCGGATTACGGCCCGCGGCTCTCGTAACAGTTTTGCATGCTGGGCTGGCGCAGGGCCGCGGTGTGTCGACGGCGAGAGTCGTGTGGCCAGTGCTTGTGGACGAGGCTGCAGTGGCGGCGGCGCGACGCCGCGCCCAGTCTCCAGCCTTGCGGCATTTGTGAGCAGTTTCGGAGCGGTGGTCGAGGCAGAATGTGCCGAAGCAGGATTCGCACCGGAAGGGGAGGAAGTCGAGTTGGTTGCAGTAAGGGTCCTGGCAGTGGGAGCCGATGAGGGTTGGGTCTGATGTGTCCATTGTTGAGTAGGGGTCGTTTTTCGGTGGGGGTTTGGAGTCGGCCATGACGGCGTTGGCGGGGCGAGGTTTAATATATACGCTGGTGGGGTAGATCCATAGATCGGATGATAGACTAGGGCAGGGGCGAAGCTGACGACGCAGGACCGAGGGCTGAGGAAAGACGCTGTGATCGAGAGATGCTGACTTTAGGTCTTCGAGAAGGGTGTAGAAGGTAGCCTTGGCGACTGATGGGGCTTAGCGGCGGTTTGGGGCGAGGCTGACAAAGTTACGAATCGCGTGGCCTGGCGCTAATGAGGCGGGGAATTAGTAAGCGGCGGGAGGGTTTCAAGGTCACGTGGCTATTTTAATATCCGATTCTGTGAACGAATCTGAACTTGATAATCAACAGTCAAGAACGAATATATGGCAAAACCGCAAATAATTGTTCTTCTTGATTTGGGGGGTGTTTTTTTTTCATGCTACATAAGACGGTTGGCGATCGATACCAACTTAGTTGATGTAGATGGAGGAGGTGACAGAGAGTAGTCTCTTGTCCGTCATTTGCGCTTTTAGGAATGTGCCAAAGATATCAAAGGTGATGGTAATGTGGGCGTTTAGGCAGAGGAGTTTGACGATGAAGCTCTTCTATCTAAGGACCTCACCGTTTGAGCTCTCCGCTAGGCAAGAGAATGGTCTCGGCTTCTTTTGTGCCTTTTGCAGCATTACAGACGCTTTGATGCCTCTCCTAGCTCTCTACAACCTCAACCTAAGCGTTAAGGTTTGTCTAAGAGCTTAAGCTGAAGCTGAGTGTTGTGGTAGACAAATATCTCCCTGAGGTTCTCGCGATTCCTTTACATCCTCTCTATATGCCTTCGTTAACTGTGTGCTCGGAGGAGTAATTAATAGGGGTATCAGAAGGAAGATGTCTTAATGGTTTAAATTAGGTTCTGATATTAAGATGGCGTCCTTAGCTAACATGCTACACAGATCCCTAAGGCTCCTTGAATCAGCCAATCAGTAGTGTCGATCTGTCGGCATATACTCACATCCATTTAGCATTCGCGACAATAACAACAGGCTTCGCACTGGATGCCAGACAATATCTTTCACCGCCCCGGCCTCGGGGCCTTCGAGGTTGCAAAGATGGCACCCTTTGCCGATTATGTTGTTTATATGACTTATGATGTTGTCCTGGAGGCAATTGCCTCTGCTCCGACATGAATCTCACAGAGACCATTAGTGCACTTTCCATGGTCACCAAGGCAGGTGTGCCCGCGAACAAGATCGTGGTCGGAGTAACAAGCTATGGTCCTTCATTTCAAATGACTACACCTGGTTGCTACATGGAAATGTGCACATATACTGGTTCAAGCTCAGGAGCATATGCCGGTCTATGGACCCAGTGTGGAGTTCTCACTCCGTGCCCGGGATAAGGGGCAGCGATGCCGCCCAGGCCGCCAAGCGCCAACCCGGGGCCAAGCCCAGAATCATCCAACTCAGAAGATAAAACTGGGCACCACTGCTCTGAGACTAGCTCGGAAGCAGAATTTTTCTGCTATATAAAAGTAGTTACAGTGGCGGCATCAGTTTCGCCCAGCTCTACGCCTGGAACCCCGCCATCGGAAGCGACTGCACCAGTCTCTGGCTCGATGAAGCTTACTTGCGTCGGTGTTTCGGGAGGTTCCTCTACTACAGGCACTACATCTTCACCACATCGCCGGCTGTGACAGCGCCGGCACCAACACAATCTGGTATCACGGGTTCTTGCACGCAATACTATGTCGTGAAATCGGCGATTCATGCGGAGCGGTCGAGTCGGAATTTGACATTACATTCGCGCAGTTCTATGCGTGAAACCCGGCGATCGGAAACTACAATTTTTGATCTTATGTGATGTGTACCGCGTGGACTGTGCTATCGTATGATACCAGAATGCTTGCGTTAATGCAAGCACATACAGTAGAACCCCTGTTATAACGATGGCCGTTTAGCCAATAATCACGTATATAACGATATTTTTTAAGGTGACGAATTAGGCGTTTTTGTATGGTGTTACGCTACCATCATACCGATATTTCAATTATAACGATACTCAGGTCTGGTTAAAATTACATCGTTATAACAGGGGTTCTACTGTACATGTCTAGCATGCCGGCTATGTCTCGCCATGAAAGCAGTTCATAAATCCTCAAAGATGAATACGCAACTAATTATCACATACGACCATAGACTCGAGAGAACTGGGCATCTCTGTCGGAGATGGTCGCTGAATGAGACAACTTTGAAGTTCTTGTTGATGGAAACTTGATAACCTGTTGCTGTATTGCGTGAGTGGTTCTAAGGTCAATGCTGCTTTTATCTAACAACACCACCACACGAAACGGCGAGGTGAGTGAGAAGGAGAAGGATATCGTCTGCTCCCAACACTGGTTTAGCCTTCATCGTCCGTCTGAGTTTGAATTTGTCCTGCCAAGGTCGTATCTAGATACTATGATTACGACTAAATAATCATGATTATAACTGATTTTCTAACCCTGCTTATCATACAGCCCCAACTACCCCTCTCACATCCCTTCATCCAATTTACAGGGCCCCCTTACAACCATAATACTCTCTTCCCATCATCAATCGACCACAAATCCCACTCATCCTCCCCCTCCGCAATCTTCCCCGACAACTTCATCCTCAAGATCTCCTTCTTCAACGCCGCCCTAATCAGCTGACACGCCTCAATCGCCTTCTCATCCTGCATGTTCGCGGTCATCGACTCCGTCAGATTCCTCTGCCTCTTCTCATACGACATCATCTCGCTCGGATCCCGCGTCTCTCCATACACAGACTTCATCTCCGGGCGGGGCCGCGGGATGATATGGAAGTGCACATGCTTGATCGTCTGACCTGCCATTTTACCTGCCCGCCACAGCATCAGCATGTCTCCCCATCGCCCACAACCACCGCAGATGTAGCGGGGACTCACCATTCGCCTGCAAAATATTCCAACTCTCATCATGATCCCTCCACTTCGCACCAAACAACCCCGCCATCACCCCCCTACTAACAATCGGCAACCAAAACCCCAACACCGCGCTCCCCCCCGACGAGAGATCACTGATCTTGCCCGCGTGCTCGCGCGGTAGCAGGACGATGTGGCCGTGGCCCATAGGCGCCGATTCGAGGAACCCGACGACGCTGTGCGTCGCGAGGACGAGGTAGGCGGAGGCGACAGGGCTGGCGGCGATGGTGGGGTGTGGGCTGGGCTTTCCGGTTTTGCCGATGACGCAGAAGTGGCATTCGGGGTCGTAGGTGCCCCCCTCGCCCTCTTCGGGCATGATGGATGGGGGGGGCGAGTAAAGGGGCAACGGAACGAGATGTATGGCAAGCGCTTCGGACGGGAGATGGGGACAGGCGGGGGGTGTAGGCGGAGATGTCAAAACCTGGGGAAATGCCTTGCTAATCTGTTATCTTGGGGGGTTAGCTGATTATATTAAAAGCTGGGGAAGTTGCTGTGCTATGCTGCTCCCTTGGGGTATCGAGTACGTCAGCGTGATCTAGGACCCTAAGATATTGACCAGTCGTCATAGACATCACCAAAAACGCGGGAAGGCACGTGAACAGTAAGTTATAAACCCATCCCTCAAAAGAATCCCATCTCTCCCACAGACACCCAGTGCAAATCAAGACACATATCGATTGTCACTCCTGTTCTGTCCAGTGCGTATATATCGCGAAATGTAGTCACACCATCACCACCTCTAGCGCGAGGAGAGATTCACGGAAATATTGTAGACACCCTTCTATGCATTCATGAATACAGCTTATATGTACACATCGATATTGTTCCAGTCGTCGGACGCATCGTCGGGCCGTAACATCCTCTTTCCAATCCACTCTCCGTCTAAGCCTTCTGTCCCTTCTTCTCCGAGGAATCGATGTCGGCTAAGAAGTCCCTAACCCATCATCAGTATAACAAGTCCACAAACTCCTCCTTCGTTATTCGAAGTGCCGCCGCGGGTATAGGACTCACTTGATGAACTTCTCCTCATCATTGTTCTTCGCGTTGAGCGGGGGAGTCGTGGTCTTCTCAACCTTCTTCCCGCCCATAGCGAGGGCAGCACCGCCAAAGGTGATCGAAAGCGTGGCGATCGAGAGCTGTACATCAAAATCGCGTTAGCAACAATCCTTCAATCCTCTCCATGTATCCCAATGCCCCCCAATCCCTCCCTTCGTAGCCGATTGAAGAAATTTGCCCTCCCTCGGCATCCCTATTTTCCTCCACCACAGACGGGACCACTTACCCAGTGAGACGCGATCTGGCGACCGGCGATATTGTACATAACAACCATCTTGATGGGATTTGCTTGATTGACTTGGAGAGAGAGGTGAGGTGGATGTGTTGTTGCTGGTAGATTGACGATTTGGCTGGGCCGACGTTGGCTTTCCGAGAGCCCACTGGACAGCTTCAATATGCTTAGCGCCTTGGCAGTATTTTTGGGCTTTACCCGGGACCTTCCGCGATTTCGTTTCCCCGAACGCCGCGGCGGTCGGTGGTTGCGTGCTAGGCGAAGCCATTGCACATGTCCTACGTAGATGGTAGATTACCTTCGGAAACTGGCAAGCCTCTTGTCACTGTCACTGTCAAAAAAACCGTTTCGCTATTCCATATACCTCCTCCTATTACGATTCGCAGTTCAGGATCATTTCCCTATAACACCACCCTCGAGTGAAATAACCACCTTATCATGGCCAGCACTGGCCCATCCAATCCCGACAATGACGTTGTGAAAACCAACCCCAACCCCCCTCCCCCCGCCAAAAAGCTCCCCAAAGACCTCCAGCGCATGGTCGACCGCGCCGACAAAGATCAGCACATCTACGACGAAGTCCGGAGCGGAACGTAAGCCTTCCCCATCTCCTCCCGCCACCCCCCCCAACCCAGAACCCAGAACCGCAGAACACCCTCTAACACCCCCCCAGCGCCCCAGAATCAACCGAATCCTCCATCCGCTACGCCGCCTACGCAACCCGCATCCGCACCGCCCTCCTCTCCGCCCAACGCTACGTAGCCTACACCTCCGACGTCGGGGAATCCTTCCGCCCCGTCGCACACCCCAACCTCGTTCGCGCCGCCTACGGCATCTCCTGGGCCTATCTGGCGGGTGACGTCGCGCACGAGGGGTATAAAGCTTATTGTGCGAATCAGCGGACACTGCATCCGGAGGGCGTGGCGGGGGGGTTGAAGGGGGGGTTGGTGACGCCGGGGGTTGTTACACCGCTGGAAGACTACCGCACAGTAATCGTTCAACGCGCCCTCTTCCAAGGGATAGCCTCCATGGGCCTCCCCATGCTAACAATCCACTCCATCGTCCGCTACGCCGGGCGCGCAATGAAAAACGTCAAATCTCCTCGACTGCGCATGTGGGGCCCCGTTGGGCTAGGGTTGAGTGTGGTACCGGTGTTGCCGTATTTGTTTGATAAGCCGGTGGAGGGGGCGGTGGAGTTTGTTTTTCATGAGGGGTTTAAGGCGATTGGGGGGGAGCAGGCTGTTGGGGATGCGCCGGTGGTGGGGAGGGAGAAGAGGTTGGGGGAGGGGGTTGTGGGTGGGGTGAAGAGGGAGGGGGGAAAGGGGGATAAGGAGTTGTAGAGCAAGGGGGCTTGTGTATAGTACCCGTGTGGGGGTGGCTGTGTGTATACTGTAAATCTCGACCTCAATATTGACGTTCCAACTTCTACTTTGATGCGATTGGTGGCATCAGCAAAACAGGGCGACGAAAGGTATAAACTAAAAGAAAAGGGGGTCGCAGCGCCAAGACAGGAAACAGCACAGGGTATGGAAAAGCATATCTAATCTTTCTATAACCTCACAAACAGCAGTAGCAGCAAGCACGCACGCATGCAATGCACCTCAAAGCACCAGAGCATGTCGAAACATCTTTTTGATCTCCCCCTCCCCCCGGTCGCCATCTCTTCAAGCAAAACTCCCCTTCCATCATGTACGAACTCCACGTGTTTCAGCGTCCTAGCAATTCGATCTTCTTCATAGCATCTTAGATATCATCCTCCCCCTCCTTTCATCCCTGCTCAACCCCTAGGCCTCTAACCCCCCTAAAAAACCGAGGTCTTCAATAAAATCCTGCGCCCCCAAACCACGCCGGGAAACGCCCCCCCCCCACCGCCTGTCTCCTACCCCTCATCCCTAGTTGCGTCCCCGAAAGAAGAAGCAAGATAGCCCTGAGTATATATCCTCGCAATATGCCACACAAAAAAATGGGATATATCCTCATCCACTCCGAGAAGACGCAAGCAGCGCGCCCTGCATATAGGAGGGGTAGATTTTTGCTGAGCTGCGCTCCCGTTTTTGCCATCCCGCGGGTATCGAGGCGAGTATAAACATACCACACCCACCCAACAGCCACACACATCAGCATCGCGCACCGGCAGTAGAACGTCACTACGGACGCTCTCACTTATACTCCACAAAAACCACCAGCTTCCCCCCCCCCCTCGCCAACGCCTCCCCCAAATCCGCCTCACTCTCCAGAGCCGCCCTCCCCCCCCCCTCCTGCCACATCATCGCGATCTCCTCTCCTCCCGGAATCTTCAACCTCTCGCGGATCTTCTCATGCAGCGCCACATAGCTGATCGCGGCGGGTACTCTGATCGCAAACAAATCATCCCCAAAGTATATTTTCACCTTCATCGCTCCGCCACCCGCTGCTTGCAGCGAGGCCTGGGATTGCTGCTGTCCTACCTCCCGCCCCCCCGGAGCCGGGAACCCCCCAGGTGGACCCTGCTGGCGCGGCGGCGCGGCCCTGAGACCACCGTACCCAGCACCATTGAGATCGACCTTACTCCCCCCCCGATCATCCGCCGGCGTGCCCGTCGAACTCTGCTGGCTCCCCGCCGAATCGCGGTACCCATCCGGCGCATCGGGATCGATTTCGAAATCGCCTTCTCGGGGCGCAAAGAACTGTTTCACCAGGGTGCAGCGGCTGATATACGGCGGTTGCGTAAGGAGGTTCTTGACGTACGCGTCGAGATTGTGGCGGCGCCCATCGGTGATCTGGTCCGTGACGTAATTTACGGGTCCGGGCATGTAAGGGAGGGACCGCTTCTGGGTTCCCGTGTTGCCGGCCTCGGCGGGGAATTCGGTGAGGAGGGCGATCTGGAAGTCGTAGAAGTCCTCGTAGTAGCGCTGGAGCTCCCAGTGGCGGCCGTCCTCGAGCGCGGCTTCGATCACGAACCAGTACTTGTCTTCGCTGAACCAGTAGCGCGGGATGTGTGCGGAGACGGGGGAGAAGAGTTGGGAGGTTGCGGCGGCTTGTTGTTGTTGTGCGGCGTATTGCTGGTTTTGCTGTTGTTGCGATTTGGCTTGTTGGGATTGTCGGAGTTGTTGCTAGGAGGTGTTAGCCACATACGTCAATCATACGTCTATACCCAGCTCGCGATAAACTCACATATTGTCCATTCCCCGCCTGGCGGCTCTGCCGCTGCTGCGCCTGCTGCAAGCTCATCCGTCCCATATCCTGCTCCATACCCTGCTGCTGCTGGCTGGCCGCCTCGAACTTGCCGAGCGTAATACTGCTATTCTTATAATCCGCCGCCATCTTCTTCCACTCCTCCACCTTCGGCACCCCCGCCCTCTGAACCGCCTCCTGCGAATCCGGCACCGCCTGCCCCGTCGTCATATCCCTTATCTCAATAAAGCTGACGGGAATCAACCCCGGCCCTCCGAGCCGCCCAATCGGCTTCGCCACAAACCACTCCGGATTGCTCTGCGCAATCACAATGATCGCCTCCCCCGCCTTCGCCTCGAGCTCATCCGGTCGCTCGGCCGCAAAATCGTACATGACGATCCCATACACCATCGCGCCGCTCCCCTTCCCCAGCTTCGACAAGCGCTGCGGACTCGGCCCCGGCGCCGGCCCCGCCGGCCCTGTATTGGTCTCAGAGTACCCCGAGTCGTGGTCCGGAGCCTTTGCGCTCCCCGCCGACCCAGTGCTCTGCCCGCTGTCGCGCTCCGTCTTGCCGAGCGCCTGGAAGAAGTTCACGGGCACGAGGCCGCGCGCGTCGGGCACGGCGGGGTTGCACGCCTCGTACCAGTCGGTGTCGTTCTCGCGCGCGATGACGTGGAAGAAGTCGCCTTTCTGGAAGCTCAGCTCCTGCGTGTTCTGCGCTTCGTAGTCGTATAGTGCGCGAATTACCTGGAGGTGGCGCGAGGCACATGATCAGCTTCTGGTGGGATGGGGATTGGAGTGGCTCGTGAAAGAGGGGGAGGGGAGAGGTACCTTTTTCGGAGGGACGATGGCGACGGCGGACTTGGGGGCCACGGAGATGTGTTGCAGCTTTGAGTCATTCTTGTCGCCTTTGATGGAGCGGCGAAGGGCCTGTGTGCGGTAGTGTCAGCTTTCCTTTGTCCTCGACATTCTCCCCTCACCCATAGCACATTGAGCGAGTGTAGGACGTGCAGTCGCTCAAGATCAATTACCTTCATCGTGACCTAAGTATCTCTTCCTTTCTGGAGACGCGCAAATGCGACAGGAAGTTTCGCGGGGGTGGTGCTTTCACAGCAGGTTGTATCGTAAAGTTGGGTTGGGAAAGGGAGCGCTACTGTAGGAGTAGGAGGCGTATCTCGCTCTGGGTGACGTTTTTTCTCAACGGGTCTCGGCGGGCGTGCAGCGTGCGTCGCGCGTTTATAGACTGGCGTGCGCTGGGAGTCTGGCGGCAGCTGTTGTCACGAACCTAGAAGTGGCAGAAACTGTACATAAGAGTATCGCGATAGTGGGCGCGGGAAAGTCGGAGGGGAGAGAGAGAAGGGAGGGGGGGGGGGGGGGGGGGGGGTGGTTTGGAACAGGGCCGTGTCTTAGATGCGGGGTGGGGTTGGGAAGGGATAAGAAGAGGTCGAGATTGTGGGATTGTGTGTATATAGGAGTGTGTGAGTGTTTTTTTTGTAAATTAGGTATAGAAGGGTTTAGTCAGATGGAGGGAGTTATAGTGTGTGCAGTGAGTAGGGTGTAGTGAGTTGGTGTAGTGAGTACTGTAGGGTGTAGTGAGTTAGTGTAGTGAGTACTGTAGGGTGTAGTGAGTTGGTGTAGTGAGTTATGGTGAGTTGGTGTAGTGAGTTATGGTGAGTTGGTGTAGTGAGTTATGGTGAGTTGGTGTAGTGAGTTATGGTGAGTTGGTGTAGTGAGTTAGTGTGGTGAGTTAGTGCAGGGGGTGCAGTGAGTTAGTGTGCAGTGAGTTAGTGCAGTGAGTAAGTAGTACAGTGAGTTAGTGCAGTGAGTAGTACAGTGAGTTAGTGCAGTGAGTAGGGTGCAGTAGAGTGGGGGTGGAAAGTGGAAGTAGAGTAAATACTGTGGTGGGTGTACTTTGGTGAAGAAGGGACTTCCCCGAGATTTGTGTGGGAAAGGGAAGGGAAGGAGGGAAGGAGGGAAGGAGGAAGGAGGGAAGGAAGGGAAGAAAGGGAGGGAAGGGAAGGGAAGCGAAAGGAGAGTGAGGAGAGGGTGGAGTGGGCTGTGGGCTGTGGGCTGTGGGCTGTAAATGTGGGTTTTGTATATGGTGTCATGGTGTACGGAGTATACTGTACGTACTCCGTACTTTGGGTCAATACGTACTTGCACCTCGACGCTGGTTTGAAAAGTTGAAAAGTTGCATTACTCGGGTTTTTATTGGACTCCTCCAGCCCTACATTACACTGCCGTCAGGCCACACCCTTCACCCGCCTCAAACCGACCCTACCCAACACATCACTCAGCCATCTCTGCCGCCCGCCCAGCCTCTGCCGCCCGCCCATCCTCTGCCGCCCCCCGCCCTGCCATCCTCAACCTCCTCACCACCACCACCACCACAACCACCACCACCACAACCACCACCACCACAACCACCATCCATCTCCCCTCCCCTCCTTCCTCCCCGCCCCACCCCAGCCCCGCCTCCAGGGAAAAAGAAAAGCCACCCCACGCCATGCCATCCACATGGCACCCATCTCCAGCACCCCCACCTCCCAGCTCCGCCACATCCAATATGGGTTCATCTCACATCCACGGCATACTGCACGGATTGATCAAAGTCGACTTTTCTATTACTTCGTTCTTGTCTTCTAAAGCAACTTGCTATCCCAAGTGCGCCAGGTCAAAAAGGACGCAAAACCCCACTGTCGCCGCTGACGACAGACTTGATGCTTGCCTGGGTATATAGCTCAACCCCCCACAAAATAAACGCCGGGCCGCGCGGGTGGTCCAGCACCGGAAATCCCCAGCTGAACCACATGCCAACCCCCCCTGATCCCTCTGACCAGGCATGCTGCCGCTACCCCGCGTCGCGTCGTAAGGGATGCTCATGCGAATCCCATTCGTTCATGCAGAGAACTCTCCCCAACATCCCCACATCAATCTGTCCAAACTATGGCATTTATATCTCCTTTGCCCCTCTACCACCCAGCAACCCCCGAAACGGCGAAAATAACATACCCCTCATTTGCTGTTGGAGTATACATCTAAGCTAGGCGAAACGACGGATAGGAAAGGCAAAGAGGGAGATGCAGGTAGTAGTAGGATCCAGGGTTCGTCCTGGAAGCCTGCGACTTTGTGACAGAAAGAGGTTAGGTGGATTGAGGTATGGCGACGAGGTGCTTGCAAATAAATTAAAAAAGGGCTGGAGTGCTGGACAAATGACGCTGATGTGGACTTGTGACGCCGAGTGACGGGAGGACGAATGTGAAGACACTTGTGGCCGCTATTCACCTTTCGAGGAAGATCCAAGGCATGGCCATATACTCGAGCCAGAGTCGGCGGCATAGCAATGAAAGCCAGGGTATATCGTCGCCCGTTCATATCGTACTCTTGCAAGGGTCTCGTGGGACAATAAAACGGAAATCGAACACCAGGGTTTAGATCTGCCCCTTGATGTCAATCTTTTTGAACGCCGCATTCTTGGCCACATCGAACATGCCACCGGTCTTGCCGGTGAGTAGAAGGATGCCATCGTCTCGCTCTTCAAGTAACTCTCGGCCGCCTTCGTAGGCACAGATGAACTGTGCCGCCTCGGCGTCCGATTCAAAGCCAAGCTCTTCAGTAATAAAACGCAGTTTCACATGTGGTTTGTATCTATCAAGATGTTAGTCATGAACATATCCGAACGACGGGGTGGATGACTTACGCTCTGCAAATGTTAGACAGCGCAGCTAGACGCTCTCTTTCGACAAACATATCCATGAGATATGCGCCCATGTTCGGCGTGTCGAGGTATAATCTGAAAAATCTGTGGTAGTTTCCTAAAGCGAGAGCCGACCGGACGCCGAGCGCATGCTTGATCGCCAACTCGTCCTTTTCTGTTATGGTTAGATCCGCCAACACGTCGTTCAAGGCCGTCCGGTTGCACGTGTGAATAAAATAAAGTATACGGTACGCCTTGAATTCGGTCGGGTTTCCGCCGAGCTTCTGCGCGTACAGAGCGCGCAGCTGTGTTTGGCACTGGTTATACTCACCGAGGTCCCCCTTCTCCAGAGCAATCCGGGCATGAATCTCGTAGACTTCTACAGTAAACTTGTTCCGGATGTGCTGCACGGTAAGATCTTGACGGAGAGATTTGAACTGGTCGCAGATGTATGAATAATTGCTCTCCTTCCTCCACTTCTTCTTCAGGAAATCCAGTGTTTGTTTCAAGATAGGCTCCGGCCGGACATGATCGGGATTTGGAGCAGATGTAAGACGGAAGTATCTCTTTTCGAGAGTCTGGCAGCGGCCAACAACAGGACCAGAACTGGCGTCCAGAACGGGCGATTCCTTGTAGGTAGATTTATAGCCGCCATCAAATCGTCGTTGTCGCTTCTCAAGATTCTTCTGGGACTTACTTGCCTTGGTCGAGAGGCCATCCGGGAGAGGCTTGGCCGCTACATTGAGAGGGCCACCGTTCGGTGCGAATGTTATTCGGTCTTCAAATCCGGTGTGAGTGTTAGTTATACGCCATGGAGGATTTGAAGACACATCTTGCTCGTCCTTTCCATCCAATACCTGCGATTTCCGCTTTTTCGACTCAGGGCTCGAGATGAAGCGCCCATTAACCCAACGGGGAGATGGTTCCGCTAGAGCAGCTCTTTCTGTTCGCACCGTATCCTGAGGCAAAGGTAGGTTATCCCAGTCTACGCTCATAAGGGTATCCGTTTCAGTGGCGGACGAGATGGTCGCCTTGAGTTTCGCCTCCATATCCGCTCTCGGGACATCGGGATACAGGTTACTCGGATCGAAAGCCCTCTGAACATAGCTGCGCACTGATGTTGGCCATTCGATCTTCTTTTTTGTCGGCGGCTTCGTGGGGGCGGCCACGGGAGGAAGCTGGGGGTATTGGGCTACATGTACGAATTGTGGAGCTTGGGTTGGAGGATAGTTGAAAGATTGTCGAACTTGCACCGGTGTATATGCTGGAGTGCCTTGAATGATGTTAGGCCTTTCCTCGATTGATGCTTTTCGGGTGGACTCACTTGCCGCCATGGCTGCGTATGATGGCTGGGAGCCAGGTGGAGGCGGTAAGGGCGCCCACGAGTTGTGCGACATCGACATTTGGCGCGATGGCGCGATGGCGACTCTTCAAAAAATGCTTTATATGTTAGTAGAAGTGAGCGGATTAAGTAGAGCTCAGAGTTGATAATGTCATGGGAGATTAGACAAGTGAACGGTGAAGTAGGCTGTGGATAAAAGTTGGTGGAGGATCCATGCCCAAACCCTCGCCTAAAACCTGGGGTCACGTGAATTGACCTTGGGGTTTCTTATCGTGTGTGTGTGGCCGAGATGGCCGATAAGGATGCCATCATCGGCGTCTTCACCCAGTTGCCTTTTCGTACACCTTCCACGCTTCCTCACACAACTCCACTGGCACATGGATATCCTGGATATCCCGAATGTCCCTCAAGCAGATTGACCTCACTACTGCGCTGAGGCCATCTTTACTTCCAGACGAAGTCCTCCTATTTGTCCAGGACAGTGTTGGGCTCTATGAGGGGTAATTAAGAACCACATGCAACCCCAAACTTTGAACCATGGACACTTATTCTCTGTTCCAGGAAGTATAAAATACCAAATCACCAGGATGGGCATGTCTACTTGACGTCCCATCGGATCTACTATGTGGACAATGAAAACCCGCGAAAGAACTCCGTGGGAATCGACTTGAAGGAGGTTGAGCGATTTGAATTCTATGTAGGCCGCGCAAGTCACTGTAGAAGACCCCAAGCAGCGACTGACTTCCTGAACAGGCAGGCTTTCTAAAATCTTCACCGAAGATTACCCTCGTTCCTAAACCTTCCAAAAGGTTATCCACCCAGAACAGGGTCACCGTGCTGAACTCGCCCTCTCGAAGCGCTACATCCTCGCCAACAACCCGTACAGACAGTCCCTTTCACCTACCGCCTGCTGAGCCAACTACAGCAAGCAATGCCACTTGGATTTGCCCCATATGCACATTTTCGAACCCTGTACCGTCAAACTTCGACCCTTCTACGGCCACAATACACACGCCGCTGCCGCCATGCTTAGCCTGTGGTATAAAGCCTCCTTTAGCCCATGTTCTCAAAGCCGCTATAGCCAGTGCAGCGAATCGCCCAGCAGCTCCTACGAATACTTTGCGCACCCCAGTGCCAATACGAAGTCGAGATGAGAGTGCACGACCACTTTCAGAGGCACGTTTCCCAGAACAGGGGCGTCTTCCCCAGGGATCAGTTGAAAGTAGCAGTGACACGGATTCGTTTCAGTGTCCCAGGTGCACATTCCTTAACCACCCGTCATTGCTCTCCTGTGAACTCTGTGGTGCTCCTCTGATATCCAACGATGCTCCGAAAGGCTTCAAGCACCGGGAGGAGTTCCGACCCGAATCACCAGGCCCGACCCTTCAAGGCTTCAGTGCGTCCGGGGTCAGGACACCGGATAATCTTAAAATCTCCTTCCGAGCTGGAGGAGAGAAAATATTCCACGAGCGTCTAAAAGGGGCAATGATTCAGCGGAAGTGGCTTCTACATGGTGCACCGCCAGTGCCAAAGCCGAGCCCGTCGGGGGAACCCTTGCCGACTGATAGAATAAAAACAGTTGGTATTGCTGGGCTCGAGCAGCGACGTTTAGATATGCGCAGGAATAACGAAGTGGTAATCGGCAACGCTTTTGAGGACCTCGAAGCCCTCATGGCGTCGGCAAAGGAGATAGTCGCTCTCGCCGAAACTTTCGCCCGTCAGACCAACAGTGGCAGCGACACCGGCTCTTCTGAGGAGAGCACACTTCTCGCCCAGTCCGCCACCGCTCTCGGCCTTGTGACTACAAAAGACATGCTCGGCAGTGGCAGCAGCTCTGAGACTCTCTATCTAAGCGAGCTGTCGCGCAACCTTGCTGAGTTCCTCACCGACGACGCCACTGGCGTGCTCCGCAAAACGGGCGGTATCATCAGTCTTGTCGATCTGTGGGCGCTGTTTAACCGTGCACGAAATGGCATCGAGCTAGTCTCGCCCCGTGACCTTGAGCGGGCTGCTCGACTCTGGGAGTCGCTGAAGCTGCCTGTGCGACTTCGCGAGTTCAAGAGTGGGGTGCTTGTCGTACAAGGCAGGGATAGGACAGACGAGAAGACTGTAAGGGCAATTCTTGGGTGGATGCTTGAACAGCACACTGTGCTACCCGAGAAGAATGTTGCATGGGACTGGCGCACGTTTGGAATCGGTATCTCGGCACGGGACGTCGCAGCACAGTTTGGGTGGAGCATCGGCGTGGCGGTGGAAGAGCTAGAGATGGCAGAGGAGAGAGGAGCGTTATGTAGGGCTGAGAGCATAGAGGGAGTCACGTTCTGGGAAAATATGCTTGTGGATGATGATATTCCTGATGGACTGGCACGGACCAGCGTGGTTGAGACCATGCTAGGACATTCATATTGGGTGGTATGAATATTCACTCAGGAATGGATCTCCATATAACTCATGTTTCGCGGTCTTTACATAAATGTTGCAAAATGAAATTGAGGTTCACCGCAGCTTGCCTATCAAACCAACCGAACCCAGCCCCTTGCTTCGTTCCTGCCTGAGATCACAGTGTTTCCTCCAGATCACAAAAGGCATGTTATCACGTAAGACATAATCGTCGTGACCAAATTTTCGCTTCGCTCCTGACCCAGAAGCTGTCGAGAGCGAGAGCGAGAGCGAGCGTGGGAGTGGGAGTGGGAGTGAGCGTGGGAGTGATGAAGTGATAATTTCTTAAACATCACTTCTCCTCGTTTTGAAACCGCGCGGATCGCTTCCTCCAACCTTGAGCAAAGCGTAAAATTTGGTCACGACGATTATCATTCGTTCCACCTGGCCCGAAACCATAATCTCACAGAAAACAAATGGCCTACGAGTATATAGTGGGATAGCCTCCCGATCAACATATCAGTTGTCACAATGTGTAGTACATGTGTCACAATGGTGTATTTCGGTGTGCCAAAATGATTGCAGCTACATCAACCAGCACCGGTATGAATACACAAAGTCAGGTTCGAATGCTGATAAAGCCTCAAAAGTAATTAGACGGTAAAAAATTCTTTTCTTATATAGTCTCACGCTTCCCGGCTGTTACCAATGTAATCTATATGCACATCTTGTCAAGCACATCTTGTCAAGCATCCCAGATACCTTCAACGGGGTGACAAGAACCTCGTTTAACTCAACCTCATTGAAGCTCACGCCATACATATACTGTATAACTCTCCATATCACGTTATATATACACTGTACAAACACCCCACCTCAATGTCCCGTCCCATCCCTCCTTACCTCTTTCCCCGCATCGCCACGCTCAACATGGCGGCCCCCAGCAGCGCCAAGCACACCTCACCAACGCTCTACACGCGCCTTGCGTCGTTTGAACTCATCCGGAAAGCCCTGGTCTTCGCGCCGCCGCTGCTTGTGTTTCTCCTCTCGCTCTATTTCAGAAGGCAATTCCAGTTGTGGCGCGGGAAGATCGGTCTCGAGATCGGGGTGTGGGGATGATGCGTCTTTGACTGTCCATGTGTGGAGCGGATACACGTGGAGTTAGCGGCGGCCTGCCTACTGTTTTAAAAAGTGCTGTTGGGATTCGTAATTGTTCTTGGCCCGGCCTGGTGAAGGGATCGATTGGTCAGATGCTATGGATGCTCCATGGAAAAAGAGAGACTGTGACGACGGCAGTCGGTTATCCTCCTGGTACGGGCAACACTATTCTAGGATATAGTACCGCAGGGGGGCATGATTGCGACAAGACAATGAAGTTCAGAGAGGGAAGGGGGTATTGGCGGTGATGGAATGGCTACAGGAGGCGTTTACCGGAGGGTGACTTGTTTGCTGGAAATGATAACCACATCGAAGACTAGCATCTATCTGGAGGAGATAGGACTGTTAATGCCTGGATGCACAGGAGGGCCTGAGGTTTTGGGAAGGGGTACAGCTGACGAGAAGTGTCACCGACGAGAAGGCTTATTTTCTGGCTCACGTTCACAAAGAATGGTAGATAAAATAGGGGACATGGCGATGGCAAATGAGAGTTGGGATTGTCAGTTCATCGACCTTAACCTCGAGTGCTATAGAGACGTCCCCCACACATTAACCGGTCTCGCATGAATCGGTTGGTCGGTCCATCTCATTTCTGCTCAGCGGGGGAGAGAGTGGCGCACGTTTTCCTCGCGAGTAACGTTGATGCCATCCCTCGAGGGGGCCGTGGTTGCCAGTTCCGTGTCTTCATCCGGAAACCTATAAAGTTATAAAGTTAGCATCAGCCACATTCGGTGGGCGAAGAAGACTGTACATGTTGAGGGCCTGGTAAACGTTAGATCTCAAGCAGATGATGATTGTTTTGTGCGAGGAGAAACAAAGATTCGCGGGTAGAGTGCAGTAACACATACAGTATTCTTGATGAAACAGATGCCAAAGCAGAGCATCGCAATCCCAACGAGGAAGATGATGCAAACAATCACAGCCACGGTCTCTGCGGGAACGGCCATTGCTTGAGAGTTGATTTTCTTGTTCAGAAAGATGATTTGTTCTTGTGGATTTGTTTGAGAATGGTGGGATTGGTGAGTGAGGGTCGATGGCGATGTTGTTTTGAGGCTGTGGAAGGTGTGGCGCTGTCTGTGCCGGTCGAAGATGGTGAAGAGTTGGAGGAAAGGAGGAGGAAATTGTTTCTCTCGCTCCTTTATATAGGAGCGGGGCATTGTTATGCCCCGCAGGCGAGAGCGTGTTGACCTCACCGTCGCCATCGGCGCGGCGACGGTGAGGGTGCTTCCCACGTCTCCCCTGAGCCATAGGGGAGACGTGGGATGCGACGACAACGAAAGAAAAACAGACAAACAAAATAAACAGAAACATAAGAAAACGTGCAAATGCAATTAGTATAATCTTTAAAAACTCAAGATATGTAAGTATTAGAATATAATATTGCAATTATAGATCTTTTGGCACTTCAAACTTCGATATGGTGCGCGAAGGCGGGTGGCTCAGATGAGAAGTGAAAAATAAAACGAAAAGGAACAACAACATTTGATAGCCTACAAATACAATTAGTATATTCCTTAAAACTTAAGATGTGGAAGTATTGCAATATACATTACAATTATTGGACTCTACTCTTCAAATTCTGATATGTTGTATGCAGGATCTGGAATGGTCCTTGTCATACTTGTCACATCCCGCCTGATTTCGGGCCTATAACCCCTGTTTGAAAACAGCCACTTCTCCTAGGAAGCGGTGTAATTCGCCTGCATTATCTGAGCAAGGACCGGCCTGAGGTATGGCAGTGTGTTGGACTTTCCCATGGATGAGCTGGACGTACGTCGGCCTAAGGACTGGAAGTTTTGAGATCTCTTTGATGTGTTAGGTATTTATACCCCCGACCTTCTTCTCTCTTTTCTTCTTTCTTTCTCTCGATCCACCACCTTCTACAACTCATCAAGAGGTAAGATATCTCCTTTATCAGCCTTGTTTGTCACTCTTAGCTTCCAATCTTGATCTAACATCATCGTTAAGTTTGACCCTTCGATTTGAACAACAGCCCCTTTCAACAACTCCCGCCAGAGCACCTCTCTGGCAAGGTTTCTTGGTGAGCTAACCCACAACAAGCTCGCATTCAAACCTCAGCTAACAATCCAAGATCCAACCTCGACTTCAATCTTCCCTGAATCAAGTCAGTCTCATCACCGACCATCCACCCCCTCCAAACTAACCACCCCCACCCCAGAATGAAGTTCCACCTCCTCATCGTCTTCCTCGTGGCACTCCTCCCAATCGCCAATGCCTGCCTCTCCATCGCCGTCGAATGGAACCCCTATACCAATAGAGTGCAAGGTATCGCCAAAGACAACGGCGTGGTCTACTGCACCATGGACCAACGCAAGTACGAGAAGCAGCTCTGGTTCGACTGCCAGCCCGGCTACGCTGCCTACATCACCCGTGACTTCAAGCTCTTCGCCTGGCACGCCCACGGAGAAGACTACCGCATCGATGCCTACCACGGTGTCAATGTCGCTCGCACGGAGCTCCGCTGGGCCAATTCCTTTGGCTGCACTTGTGGTGGCTGGAAGTGTGAGTGCTTCTTTTGTTTTGGAATGGAGAGAAGAGACGAAACTAATTAACTTTGTTTATACAGGTCTATACAGCAAGGCGGACGACGTGAGTGATAAATAGGGGTCTGTTTTGGACTGCCGAGATCAGATCGTAGATTTCAACGGTAAACACTATGAGCGCATACTATGAAATGGGAAATGGTTTTTGAGACTTAAGAAGTGTAGGATAGGCACACTGGCGCTTAATCTATGGTATGTGATGTGATACAGATGCAGTGATTTGATTGTGGTGACATCTCGTCTGGAACTTTCACTTGTGTCTCTGTTGCGCAGAATCGCAAAGCGCCAAAATGCACAGTTTCAGCCAACTTTGGCCGACATAGGTAAAATAGAATCTATTGTAGTCGAGGGTAGAAAGTACTCCAATGTGCTAATAAATCAAAAGTCCAGCCCGATGATTATTACCCATCATCGCCGCTCGTAACCCACCCCCCTAACCCAACTCCGTCACCCCATCATTAAACACTCATCTTCATAGCAATACCCTTGTGCGGCTTATACCCCACGACCTCAAAGTCCTCCAGCGCCCACCCATCCACCTCCCCCCCCTTCTCCCGCTTAATCTCTAACCCCGGAAACTCCCTGGGCTGCCTCTCCAACTGCACCTCCAGCGCCTCCACATGATCAAGATACACATGCGCATCCCCCATCGTATGCGTGAACGTTCCTGGCACGAGGTCACACACATGCGCCAGCATATGCGTCAGCAGCGCATAACTCGCAATATTAAATGGCACGCCCAAGCCCATATCACAACTACGCTGATATAGCTGGCAATGCAGGTGCCCCTTCATCTTCTCTCCCTCCTGGCCCTTCTTCGTGCGCGGATAGCTGACATAGAACTGCGCAAACATATGACACGGCGGCAGCGCCATGATCTTCAGATCCGCTGGGTTCCATGCACTCAGGATAATACGACGATCATACGGCGTATGGCGCAGCTTGTGAATTACCTCTGCCAACTGATCCACGCCCTGCCCCGTGTAGTCCGTCTGAGCGTCCACGTACTTGGCCCCAAAGTGCCGCCACTGGAATCCGTAAACAGGGCCCAGGTCACCCTCCGCGCGCTCCGTGAGCCCAATGCTATCGAGGTAGGCGCGCGATCCATTACCGTCCCAGATCTTGATGCTGGCTTCGGAGAGGGGGAGGGAGGAGGTGGAGCCACTGATGAACCAGAGGAGCTCGGCGAGGACGGCGCGGAGGAAGACGCGCTTTGTTGTGAGGAGCGGGAGGATGGGGGAGCCGCTGGGGGAGGTGAGGGTGAATTTTAGGGGGGTGGGTGCGAAGATGGAGAGAGTGCCTGTGCCGGTCCTAGGGGGGTGTTAGAGTACTCCTGGGGTAGGGGGGGTGAGATGTGCTGTACCTGTCGGGCCTGTGCTCGCCGTTGTCGAGGATGTCGCGGATGAGCTTGAGGTATTGGTATTCCTCATGATTTGGGTCCACCGGAGGTTCAACTGGTTCAGAGATGATGCTTGTAGTCGCAGCGTTGTGCCCCAGCGCGTTGTCTACTGCCGCCGCCTTATCACTCGCATTCGTGTTCGCCACGTCTATCGGTGGCATTGCCTCTACTGCTGCGGACGCCATTATTTAATGTGTTCTTTCGCGATTGAGGCTCGGATTCTGTTTATTTATCAGAATTTTAATTCTCTTCGTCCCAGCCTTATCAAACGGGGAAGTTGCGCTGCTTAATATCGACTTTTATTATTTTGTCCTTGATGCTTTGGAGGGGCGGCCCCAGACGACCCCGCGACGCGTTTAAGTGCAATTTCTAGCGCGTCGCGACCGCAAGTCCCACAAATGTGCTCAGCCTCGCGGTGCCGATATAGGACAAGGCTGTGAACCCTCCCCAACTTTCCATTGTGATGGGATTAATGAATATTGATATACCTTGATGGAAAGATGGAAACCTGCAGATATTCCGAACTGTAAACACAGAAACACTCATAGCCTCGTACTACTATGCACTTAAAGAGTATCGATTCTGGTGATGCGATCCATTGCCAGTCTTCGATGCCTGGCATTCACAGTCTCACTAATTGGGAGAAGCAGAAGTTTTAGAGGAGGGTGGTAAGTCTGTTTCCGTCTCATTCGTTGTCCCCGGATCCTGTAGGAGACCCTATCTAATGGTCCCTCTTTCATGTTAAACCAGCCTCTACAACGCTGTATAGCATGAGTACGCTATACGCTATGCTCTATGTGAACTCCATCTATGCCCATGCTGCACCAGACCGCTCATTAACACTCTGCCGAAGCAGTCCCAAACGCCCTCAACGCCTCGCCAAACATCACAAGTCAAGTAGCCAATGAGCCCCTTTCTATCACGTCCACATCGCCATTCCCTTACTCCGCACGTTCTTATTGATCACTCCGCCAACGCCAAACGCCGGCACAATCCGGCACACTCGCGCCGCAGCACTGATTCCCCAATTCTTCCAGATGATCGAAGCCCTACTCCTCCACCCCTCGCCATGCGGCCTGTTATATAGGTCCAGGCCGAGCAGATGCATCGGCGTGCTGGCCAGCTGGATCGCCGCGGGCGCCGCAAACTGCGCGATTGTCTGTGCGCTAATTGTCTCTTCTAGCTCGCCCATGTGTCGCGACATTGACGGGCCTATTAGGGGCGGGATGTTGAACGACGCGAAGATGGTCATGCAGTCACGCATGGCGAAGAGTATCATGGTGGGCATCGGGACCGGGCGGGGAGGTCCACTCGGGCCAAAGAGCTGTGCGAACTTGCGGTCTTTGATGAGGCAGAGGCCAATGTTGGCAGTGGAAGAGGCGGCAAATTTTAAGGGGCCAGACGTCACGAGCGTCGCATCTTTAGCGGTCACGGTGGATGTGATGGTGTCGAGGGTGTTTGCTGTCAGGTAGGTGCCGCCGTAGAGCATGCATATTAAACCGAAGGGTTTCGAGAAGAACATCGATTTCGGGGATAGGATCAAGGAGCAGAAGGATGCCCTGAGGGAATCTTTTATCGGGGCACGGCCTGATGCATTTTCCATAATGGCTCTGTGGGGGAATGAGTCAGTGAAAGTCTTTCAATCGGTCAACGAGGAAGGGGTGACGGTGGCCTGGGTCAGGCTCAGATAGGATTTAGTAAGACAGCCTTCGCTGATGCTTGAAGGTAATGGCAGGTAAGGTAGCTTCGTAGCCTTTGAAGTTAGGCAGCTGGAGGTTACACCCCGAGGATGCTGTTTCTACGTACTTGTCAATGATTGTAATGAGAGGTGCAACTGTGACAGCAGATGCGAACGCAGCAGTAGCATCCGTAGCCAGCCGTGGAATCAGGTTCTTGGTGTTCCATTTCGCGTTGGAAGGGGCCACCTGCGGAGACTTCTGGTCCTCCATCTTGACGCCCATTATCTTCGAGTCCATCGTCGTTCTATGTGACAATATATGGAATGCATTGCACCGAGGACGGCGGCTTTCATCGGAGTTCAACTCGCTTATTGATTTTGTCGGAGTATCATCGGAGTATCATCGGAGTATCTTCGGAGTATCATCGGAGTTGGCTCGCCCAACAATAATTTGTACGTTACGGATACACCGGAAAAGCAGTTTCGCCGAATCTCATAAGAAAGTCAATCCCCAAGGTCACCATAACCTCCAACGAGCGCAGCACTGAAACATGACGGAACTCAACGACCTTATAGGCACAGTCTTGGGCTACATAGTCCAAGGCTTCGAGAACCTCAAGCACAATGCCGAACACTACGCATCCATGTCCCTCAAGGAATGGGTCCGCATCGTCACCATCATAGGCGCCTACCTCCTCCTGCGTCCGTACCTAAGTCAATGGGCCGCCAAACTACAATCCGCGCAGCACGACAAGGAAATCGTCGCCGACGAGATGGCCACCCCGGCCACCGGGCCCAAAGCGGCCATCAGCGCCAACTCCCTGCGAGGACAAGTCGAGGTGCCTGAGGATAGCGAGAGCGACGAGGACACGTGCGAGGCGGTGGAGGCGACGGCGGAGACGACCAGTGCAAATTGGGGCAAGAAGGCGAGGAAGCGCCAACGGGCTATGATCAAGCGGATTATTGAGGCGGATGAGAAGTTGAGGGCCGAGACGGAGGCGTGCGATGATGAGGAGGACAAGGACATCGAACAGTACCTGACGTAAGGGCGGGGACTACACTACGGTGCAGAAGGGTATATGGCTACGGAGACTGGCATCATGGCTTTACGGGATAGTGGGATAGCAAAGGGGGCGTTTGGAGATGGGAGTATAGAAATGAGGCATAAGAATTAATAATAATTATACTTTGCCGCCCTGCGAATATGCATTGCACAGTCGAAAGGCGGAATATGGGCGGGAAAAGAAGGTATGTAGATGGGACGATCGTCGCATCCAGCCACTAATAGCCATCCATTTGTTGTCGGTCGAGAAGTGCTTATGCGCCACTTCATCCTTCGGTGTCATGGCCCAGTTGACGCCACCGCCTGCGGGACGCCAAATCTAGACACTTGCTGGTGAAAACGTACTCGAGTACGGCGGCAACTCGTAAAAATGACCTCGAAAGGCGGCTTCACAAACCACTATAGCCCATCGAGCAGCTAGGAAACAAAAGAGTCTACCCCTTGCGTCTCGCTGCCGCCGCTTGAGCTCTAGACTCGCCTTCGTTGCGCCGAGCTACTGCATGTAACGCGCAGTCTCACGGCCTTGTCCCGCCAAACAAGGGCATGCATGCATCATCATGCATACAAAGAGGTCCACCTAGAAACTCAACACTCTACAGCCACGGTGCAAAATCTAGAACTTTGCGCAATACTGAATCATTCTCAATGACTTGACTTTACGACCTGCTTGTTGCTGTTTGTTATCGTAGCGACGGCGTTGAGCTTATCGACGCGGGCATTATGCCCCCCCCACCAAGATCGACCTTGGATGCTGACGACTTGCTCTTGAATGGCTTCTTCAAGACGTCGAGAAGCCGGCAAACGGTCCCGTCTTCGTAAGTTTGCTACTCCAGGTCCAGTGAGCCAAAACTGATCAGTACAGGCCACCCATCTACGGTTCACTGCCAGTCAACCTCAAAGTACCCTCTTTCTACGACACCACTCAACCCTCGAGACCTCGGCAGCCTCCAAGAAAGGGCTGGCCACCGAAGCCACACGTCGAAGATGAGAAAGACTCGCTACTGAGGGAATATGGGGAGGCACACGCAAAGGCTTTATACGATCCGCCCTCTAAAGGTGTGATAGATCAGCTACCTATCCTCTACGACTCTGAGCTCTCTGTCTCCGATTCTATGAAACCCGAACCCACGAAACCAGAGCCACCATGCCGGAAAGATGATAACGGCGAGCGACGTTTCGTGCTTGTACCCAAGCCGGACACCCCCTCCTCGTCTGAGAACGACACTGCGGGGAAATACAAGAAGGTGCCTGTCAAACCTGTCGTCGTGCAAGAACAAGTGAAACCAAGGCACCAAAAAGATGGTCGAGATTCCCCTCCAGAACAAGCGAGACCAAGGCACCGGAAGGAGAGTCGAGACTCCCCTCCGCCCATAACTCGAAGAAGTCGACAGGACCTGCCTGCTCCCACCACGAATCTCGAGCCTCATCCCCCACCATTCCCGACTTCGGCATACGCTTACAATCCGAGGCACGATGAGCCTGGCCGCACCGTTAGAAGTCCGTCTATGAATCCGTCAGCGAATGAATTCGTATCTCCTGGGTCGTCTGTGGGAAATGGAGGTCTCTTTGATATCGCTGCTCACTCACTACCAAGAAAGTATGGCGGCTCCTCCCCAAAGCCTAGCTCGCCGATCACCGAGAGGAAACCAACCCTGGGTGGACGGTTGCAGCCACCTACGCTAGGTCATGATAAGAACCGCGGGAGCCTGGACAACAGACCTAGATCCAGGGGAGACCCAGCAGAAAGACCACCACGGCCGCAGCCGTTGGGCGATGATAGTAGCTCGCGCCGCCCAGAACGACCAAGCTCGCGGCTCAATCGCCATGACAGCTCTGATCGTCGCCACTCACGGCAGTCATCAACTCAGTCAAGCAGGAAAGGATACGTCAGCAGCGATCTAGATGACAGAGACTCGTCAAACTCGGACAGGCGACGCCGGCGCCACCATCGTCACCCATCTCGCCATGGTGACAGTCTCTACCTCGAAATTGAACCTTCACGATATCACCGAACCGGTTCTAACCAATCAAACCTTGATTTCGGTACTCCCAAGAAAACATACTCCATGACACTGCCCAGCCCACGAACAGGGGGAGCAGGGCCGCTTGCAGCAGCTGGTCTCGCTGCGGGGCTGTTAGATAACCAGAGGAAGGATACACACCCACCTGTCTTCGAGAATACAACAGGGTCACGGCCTGTCTCTCCGTTTTCTCCTTACGATACAAACCCGCAGACGCCGTATACCGCACCAGGTAGACAAAGAGACCCGAGTCCTGTCGACATCGACCCGTTATCCAAAGAACCGAATGCCACGCTGCCGATGCCTATCCCGATGAGTGGGCGGGGACGTGGCGACGTACAATTTCCCAGTCCCCATGGCCAAGGTAGCAGCTACCACTCTGGCACGTCTCCCACTCAAAAGGATTACTGGCAACCGCCTCCCTTCCAACCTCCAGCCATAGCTCCTCACATCGAGGTCCCGAACATGGGCTACGTCCGCCGGTTCTCCGAAGACATGGGCGGCGACGGAACCATCGCCCCCCTCCTACCATGTCCGCGCACATCTCCCGTCCGCGGCAAAGTCGACTGGCTCACCCTCCCCAAATGCCGCGGGTTCAACATCTGCCCCTCCTGCTACCAATCCTCCATCGAACAAACCCCCTTCCATACCTTCTTCGTCCCCGCGCCCTTCCGCTCCCTCGATGATGAGATAAGCTGCGACTTCGGCACCCAGCCCTGGTACCGCATTGCCTGGCTCCTCCTCAAGAAGAACTGCGCCAAGGACCTCGCCCTGCTCCACCAAATCGCACACGTCTCCGCCACTACGCCCCCATGTCTCGGCGGCCACGAGGCAACCCGCAAATGGCACTCGGTACGCGACCCCGACTCGGGACGCCTCGTTCACAACTTCAATGTCTGCCACACCTGCTCTCAGGTCGTCGAGGCTCTCCTGCCTGCTACCCGCGGCCTCTTTGTGCCAACCCACCCTGAGGGCGCACCGGCTCCGAGACGCATGTGCGATCTCCGCTTCGACAGCCCGCGCTTCCCACACTACTTTGACTCGCTAGAGCTGCTCGCTGACCGGGCTGGTGCGTCTGGACGCGCGCTGGACCCCCGCCCGTTTGCGGCATTAGCGAAGCGCTTCGTTGCCACGCCGCCGTGCAGGGGGGATAAAGAGGTGTTTGATTCGCGATGGTATTCTATCGCGCAGCTGCCTGAGCTCTCGGTATGCACTGAGTGTTTTGAAGAGATTGTGCGGCCGGAGGCAGAGCGGCGGCGCGCTATTGCGGCGATGTTTGCGCTGGGGAGGGAGGTGCCGGTTGGGAGTTGTGGGATGCATTCGCGGAGGATGAGGGAGGTGTTTAGGGAGGCTGTTAGGGAGGATGATTATGTGCTGCTGGCGAGGGCGGCGAGGGAGAGAAGGGAGAAGGAGGTTAATAGGTTGAGGAGGGAGTAGAGGGGGTGGGAATAGATCGGGTGAGAAATGAGTTACGAATATATGAGAGAACCGGCGTATTTCGGGGTGAAACATACACCATAGACACTGCCACAACATGGGCTTATCGCGAAGAGGCTATATTAGTCCGTAAGCTACTGTCCACTAGGTGTAATGGATACGCTACGGCGAGAAGTCCTAGAGGTAGAACATAGAGAGCAGTTTGCGTACTAGCGACTAAGGCGATTCGTACGGAATAATGACGACTCCTGGTACGTATGGCAGTGAGAACACCGAATTGGAGGAGACGAACTCATGGCATACAATAGTATATACCAAAAGGCACAGTTTACAGACAGCTTATGGTTACGGTTATAGTTACGGATATAGTTACGGATATAGTTACGGATAGGGGCTACAGACGGTCGGTACGGTCCGTAAAACAGTCTGCAACCTAAAGCCTAGGAGGACGTGTTAACCAATCATGAATTTCGCCATTTTATAACCAATCAATCTGCGGGGGTACCATATCTCCACTTATCGCCGTTCCCCCGCAAAATGTTATAACCCCGCGGAGATGCTCTCCTCGGGATATACGTCTACTATCTCGAACTTTTCTGTTTCACTCTGTTTTCCCTCTCCCTTCTCTGCTTCCACTACTCATTCTCCTCACTATCCTCACTATCCTCACTATCCTCACCATTCTCTCTGTACAAACAACTCCCAGCAAAATGTATTTAACATCCCTCAGGCGCCCCCCAATGTGAGCCTTCAAACCATCCTCCTCCCCAAACTTCCAAGTCCCAGAAAACAAATCTGCAACTGAACCCCGTACACCCTTAACCCCAGTCAACTAAAACATTTTTAGGCGCCTCCCACAACATCTCAACATACTCCTTCGGACCACCCTTCCCGCCCCCGCCCCAATCCGTCACACCTCCCCCCTCCACACCTCAGCCCCCCCCGCCCTCACCCCAGAGCAAACCGCCATCGTGAAATCCACCGCCCCCGTCCTCGAGCAGCACGGCAACGCCATCACCTCCCACTTCTACAAGCGCATCCTTGCCGCCGTCCCCGAGCTACGCAATGTCTTCAACGCCGCCCACCAAGAGTCAGGTGAGCAGCAATCCGCGCTCGCCCGCGCGGTCTGGGGCTACGCTGCACACATCGGCGACCTGGACAAGCTCTCCTCAACCGTCTCGCGCATCGGGCACAAGCATGCCGGTCTCGGCGTGGCGCCAGAGCACTACCCCATCGTAGGCGAGCACCTCCTGGCCTCCATCCAAGAAGTCCTCGGCGACGGCGTAAACGCAACCGTAATGGAGGCCTGGGCAGCCGCCTATGCCCAGCTGGCCGCAATCTTCATCGGATTCGAGAAAGGTCTCTACGATGCCGCTGCCGCTACCCCAGGCGGGTGGAACGGATGGCGCTCATTCGTGGTCGAGCAGAAGACTCTCGAGAGCGGGGAAATCACCTCCTTCCACCTCGCGCCGCAAGATGGGCTTTCCCTCCCCCCCTTCCGCCCGGGCCAATTCGTAACGATCCGCTGCTTTGTGCCAGGTCTGAACCTGTTCCAGCCGCGTCAGTACTCGCTCTCTGCCCCTCCTGGATCCTCACGCTTCCGTATCTCGGTCAAGCGTGAGGGCCCGGGCGCTGATAGGCCTGCGGGTCATATCTCGAGCTTGTTGCATGATGGGACGCCCGAGGGCGCGGTGCTGGATTTGAGTATGCCGTATGGCGATTTCACGCTCAATGCTGAGGCGACCACTCCTGTAGTCCTGCTCAGTGGTGGCGTGGGTCTGACGCCCATGTTATCGATGCTGCAGACTATCACATCCGGTCCATCGGAGCGGAAAGTGCATTTCGTGCACGCAGCGCGAAACCGCGGTGCGCACGCTATGCGCGACGAGCTAGCGGCTGCGGTAGAAAAGAACGGGAACGTGTCGAGGGCGGTGTATTATGACGAGGTGGGGAAGGAGGGTGTGAAGGGCGTGGATTATGATTTCCAGGGCCGCGTGGAGTTTGCGAGGACGGAGGAGCTGGTGGAGGGCGCGGATTATTATATTTGTGGCCCGGTGCCGTTTATGGCGAAGCAGAGGGCGGATTTGGAGAGGTTGGGGGTGGAGCCGGGGAGGATTCATTCGGAGGTGTTTGGGGCTGCGTAGAGGTTTGGGGGGTAGGAGATGTATGGTATGTGTACTGTAGAGAGGTTTCTTTTTGTTTTGGCGTAGGGGTGGCTTTGGGATAGACTCTCCCCTCATTGATTGCGGGTGTGTAGAACTAGGATAAAGGTAGAGAGAGGTACTGATAGATGGGTACTGATAGATGGATATAGAGATAGAGATAGAAAAGTCCACTCTCGTTAGATGAAGGAATTGGCACTGTATATAATTTAGACTGCTTGCTATTACATTTACTGTCACGTTCTTCTTGCTTGGCTTTTTGTTTGTGAGCTCAGCATTGTGGTAACCAGCCTCGACAACGAGATACAAGTGTGCGGCTTGCATCTCCTGGGTATCTACATCAAACAACAGAGGACTAAAGATGCTATGTTCATGATTCTTATAGTGCTATGCTATATACGTTACTGGTATAATGTGTCCTATTTACGCTAGGCTTCGAACAACCTCCTTCCACCTCCATAACAAAGAGCAACAGGCAAAATGCCTCCCACAACAACTCAACATAGTCCAGCCAACTCAGCCAACCAACCCACTCAAGCTCCAGTGGGCGTCGTCGTCCCCTTCCCACTCGACATGCTATACGGCGCCTACGACTCATTAGCTTCACTCACAACGGGAGGGATCGGATCAAACTCACCAGCACTTTCCGCGCATTACAAATTCTCCACGCCAAATTCCTCACATTCCCATCCGCAAGCACCACCCCCGGCGCAAATTCGACTCCAAACACCTCCTTAATAGCAAATACCACGCGGCGTGCATACTTGCTCTCGCGCTCCACCAGCTCTCCGAACCCATCCTCCACTCCATCGGGCGCAACCTCCGGGTCGCGGTCAAAGCAGTTGCGGACCACTGGGAGCAGCGCCTCTTCAATGGCAACGCGCACAGGGCCCGTCGTGTCCTCCTCGTCAAAACGGGCGAGGCACACGGTGAAGGGCCGCGAGATGGCCATGACGTTGTGCTTGCCATCGTGGTGGTACCGGAACTCAAACACGCCGTGCGTCCAGAAGAGTTTGTCACCGCTGAAGACCATCTCACCCTGCACGAGGACGCTATCACCGTCGCCACCGTTGTACGGCTTGTTCGACGACAGGATGCCGGTATCAGCGATGGAGGAGTCGTATTCGTCGCGCGAGGTGGGAATCCAACGTCCGACGGAGGCGATGCGGGTAACGTCGCGCGAGGCGTTGTCGGCCACCATGTAGAGGCCGATCCAGTCCTTGTGGCTGTGGTTGGCAGGGGCAGTCCACTTGACGCGGATGGGTGCACCGTACTCGAAGGTTCGGGATCTGAAGGGGCTGCTTGTGGTGGTCAAGGAGTCTTCGATGTTGATAGAGTAGTCCTTGGGGTTGTAGCCTGCGAGGTCAGGTGCCAGGCGAGTGATGGTCAGTCGTGCAGGGTACTGCTGGAAGAGTGCCGTGGTGTCGCGGACAAAGGTGGAAACACCAGTGGCGAGCTTGGGGCGAGCAGCATCGAGGAAATCCTCGACAAAGTTTCCGGTATCCCCCAGAACCTTGTCGACGCTACCGTGCCATGACTTGAAGTGTGGCGGTAGGGAGTTGCGGAAGGTCTTTGTAAGCCCAGCCTCTTTGCGGAGGCTCTGTCCGTAAAGTTTCTGCATGTGAGGCTTCTCAACGAATTGGATGAATCCGAGTGCGAGCATATGGCTAAGTAAGGCCAGGAAGAATACGGCCTTGCTATTCGTAATGAATACTGCTCCCCACACACCGGCGAGGCCGATGATGCGCTCCGGGTTGTTCAGGTATCTGTAGATGCCGCTGTATGTCAGCTTTGGTGCGTGGTCGAAGAAGAAGTCGCCGTAGAACCACCCAAACTCGCTGAGAGACTCGTAGATGCTCACAGCGGTCCAGAGCTGCAGGGACACAAGGGCGAATCCAACCACATGTCTTAGGAGGACTAGTCCGTAGTCCCAGTCTGGCGGAGATGAGTACGATTTCCATGCTGCTGCAACGAAACTGATCCAGGCCATTGACATGCTGAGGTGGTACATGCCCTTCCATTGACGCCATGCCTCCTCTGCGCTCTCGCCGTACTTGACAAAGTGACGAGTCCACAGTTTCATGTTAGATTGTTGATCGAGGATTATTCCCAATCCAAGGCTGTACCATAATCGCCACGCGGTAGCATGGAGGACAAATAATACCTGCCAAATTGGTGTGCTGGGCGTGAAGAAGGTCAATAGCGCGGTGTACACCACCAGGAGGAGTACAGACACATCCGTGATGCGATATGGGTCAATATTGTCAAATCCCATGACATTGTGCAGGTTGGACGGTAGAGCAGGTGTCACTGGGGACCTGGGTCTGAAGGGTTCCAAGACAGGTTCCTCTGGCACTCCCTCAGCAACAGCTGCTTCGTGGGTTGCTTCCTCAACTTCGGCATGGGTAGGATTCGTATCTCTTCTAGTTCTTGGCGCGGGGGGGTTGTAGATCTTCTCAATATGAGGGTTCTCAACCAAGACAAGAAATGCGAATTGGGCGGCGTGTGCAATAATGGAGATGAAAAGCACCGAGTAGCTGGATGCCATCATAGAGATACCATAGTATCCGGCGTATCCGACGGAGTACATGGGATGAGGCGCCATCTCAAAAACGCCGTCGAATGTCAACTCTTGGTCGATAAGGTAGAAAAAGTCACCCCAGTACCATGCATAATCTTTGACAACACGATGGGCATCAAGCTTGACCCAGACATTAAAACCGAAGAGGATAAGGCCAGTAACCCAGCGGGCCGCGAACATTAGATAACTTTCATTCACTGGTTGGCTTCCACATGCAATCGCGAATAGGCAGTACGTTGAGAAATCGCACATGAGAATGAGATCGACGACACGTCGGAAGACAAGCCAGGTGTTATACTCGATCGGCGCCTTCTCAAAACTGTAATCTTCCGGTATCTTTGCCTCCAGCTCGCGCTTCAGAAGGTCATACAGCCAAGGTCTTGGGTTCTTTCCCGACGCTGGGTTCTCGAAGAGCTTCCATTGCTTCGCCCAAGTCTCCATCTGTCTGTGGTTGGATTGTACGCGTAATAGGTAGCCAATCCCCACATTGTAGCAAGCTCTCCAGAACAGAAATACAACAGCAAAGAGAGGGACCCGAATAAATCGTGGGAGGACGTAGAGGAGCAGGATGTGGCCAGCCATGACGGCCAAAACCGCCACATCGGAAAAGTTCTTTGGCTGTCGAGGGTCGAGGAGCTGCGAGACCATGTCGTGTGTGTGAGGAACTGTGAAGACTACGTGGGGTAAGAGTTAGTCGGGTTCTTGCATTTTACTCATCATTTGGCAACGGCAGCTCAAGATGCGCTGGGCTCTGGGGTGCAGGCCAAAAACTTACTGGTTCCGTCTGGAGTCCGCCCAAACGTCTTCTTCTCCTTCTCCAGCTCCTCCGCAGCGGCGGCATCGCCCGCATCAATGACGTTTGGCGTGTTTTTCTCATCGGAAAGTCGATGCCTCTCTCTAAGGCCCTCCGCCCTGGTGGGCGGCTCATGGGATGTGCTCATGTTTGTAGCGCTCGCAAAGGTAGGAAAAGAAAACTTGCTAAGCACAAGAGCACAGAATAAATGGTTTGCAGTTATCACAAGACCGTGGGAGACGTTGACAGATTGAGCCCGCTCTCGGATAAGATCCAGAGAGGGTCTGGTCCACTTTTTAACGAGGGGAGCTGAGCTGTTGCTTCGATAGAGTTCCAACGAAAGCCAAAGCTTTTTTAATGGTCTTATGGGCGGGTTTCCATGTAGATTTTGGTTGGATTTGGTTCAACGGCGTCTGTATGGTGCAGATCCATGGAGTATAGCAGGGTAGATTAACAAGGAAAGCACAAACCGTGCCTTGTTAGAGAGACGAATAAACGAAAGTCACTGCCCACCCTAACGGTCAGCACCCCAGCGGTCAAGGGCAAAATGACAGTTATCCCCAGCTATCACCAATTTATCCACCATATCACACACAATATATAGTTTCTTAATGTATTTATACTTATATTTCAACATCAAAAAAGAAAAGAAGCCCAATAATGACGTAATATAGAAAGAAAACAATAATAACGTACATGTATGTCATATCGTTAAGATAGCGAAAGCCCTAGACAAGCGAAAGCCTCACTTAGATGTGCCAACGCGACAACTACATAAAACACTACATTTCTCCACCATAAACGATGTCCTAGAAAAATGATGAAAGAGACGTTATTTCAGCCCTCCAAGCTATGAAATCCAACCCAAAACTAAGCGCAAGAGCTGCAGGGGAGCTCTATAAAGTTAACTATAAGAAGCTCTGTCGCTAGAACTGTGGTATACCTACACAACGTGATATTCCAGCTAATTGTTATGGCTACTGTACCGTGACATCATGGTTATGGGGCTAGTAGGGGTTATGGGGCTAGTAGGGCTAGACTATAGTACTATTCTAACTATTCCCTAGGTCACACGTCTAAACCACTTCACTACATCATACACCTGATTGCTGCGTTGTGGAATAGTCTAAGCTACAACCCTTTGGCTCTGTTTCCTAAGACAGTGTGTTGTCTTAGTAAAATCATCCCTTCCTTGGGTGGCTAGATTCTCACATCTGGTGCACCCACATTACAAAACCAACCATAGATGACTTTTGGGTTTTGCACTTAGCCCTCTAGTAGTCATATTTATGCTAGAAGTGTGTCTAGAGCTCTATACACTCTAGAGCTAAGCAGTGTGTAGAGCTGCCTAGAGCTCTACATGCTGCTTAACAAAGTTTAAAGCCTAATGTGACCTAACGTGTGGCGTATTGCATGTTGCAGGTAGTCAATTTGCTATATCTTTAACAACAGACATCTATAGAGGAAATCCTTTAGTAGCTAGGTCGAGTATGTGTTAAACAAGAACTGATTCCTCTAGGTTTGTCAATTTCTGTGAATTGGTATAACACTGCTTCCTATCTAATAGTATGCATAGAGGTTTCTTATGTAAAGTTGACTTAACAGAGGAGGCAGTGGATTAAACACAAAGGCTTCTAAGTAACACGTTATAGTATTATAAAGAATACTATATTAAGTTGAGCACGAATGTTACAGCTACAGTAACATGACGCTAGTTATAGGGCTATCAGGGCTAGGCTCTAGTAACGTGACCTGTTATGAAGCTAGTGAGGCTAGGCGTAGCATGACTAGGCTAGTGGATATTAGATAGTTAAGCTATCTATTAACTATCCAAACTATCTAGCTATCCATTAACTATCCAGACTATCTAACGTGCATGTATAACGAAAGTGCCAAACAAGCGAAAGTGCCAAAATCATGCGGTGACCAACCCCCCCAACTAAATGTTAAATTCCTCCACAACAAAACATGCGCCATAAAAATGATGAAAGCAAATTAGTGCTAGCTATCCAAGCTATGCAAAGCGACCCAAATTTGCGCCTTCGAGTTGCAGCTAGGATCTATTCCGTAGACCACCGCAAGCTACGTCACCGTTTACAAGGTGTACCTTCACGACACGATATCCAAGCCAACTTACAGAAATTAAGTAACCTAGAGGAATCAGTTCTTGTTCAGTATATACTTGACTTAGCTGCTAAAGGGTTCCCTCCTCAGTTGTCTATTGTTGAAGATATGGCAAATCGACTACTTGCAACACGCGACGCGCCACGCGTCGGGTCACGTTGGGCTTCAAACTTTGTTAAGCGCCATGTAGAGCTCTGGACATGCTTCCAGCGAAAATACGACTACCAGAGGGCTAAGTGTGAAGATCCAGAAGTCATTCGTGGCTGGTTTGAGCTTGTAGGAACACAATTCTAAAGTATGGCATCAACAATGCAGATATCTACAACTTTGATGAGACTGGGTTTATGATGGGCGTCATCTCAAGCGCAACGGTAGTAACGAGCTCAGATGGGCGGGCAAAGGCAAAAAAGGTGCAGCCTGGCAATCGGGAATGGGTTACAGTAATCCAAGGCGTTAGTTCTCAAGGTTGGGCAGTGCCGCCATTTGTCATTGTGGCAGGTAAAAACCACCTTGCATCTTGGTATGAGAATAGCGGATTTCCAGCAGATTGGGTAATCGCTGTTACTGCAAATGGCTGGACTACAAACGAGAGAGGTATGGATTGTGTCACGGTTCACCAAGGCATAGGGCGCCAGTTGGGTATTATGAATTAAACTCAATCTAGAGAAGAAAGGAAAGAGAAGAGGAGCACTCGAGCAGTGGCTCGATCTATATACAGCTATTGTGGAGTGAATTCTCTTTAGCGAGACCAGTTCTGAGAATTCACTCCACAACTGAAAACTTCGCTCCAACCCCGGAAAGCTCCCCACACCCCTGAACCCCCACTCGAGCTGCAAGGCGCACTTGATATCGTAACACTACCCCCCCCTACTCCAGAGTTGATCTCCTGATCAAGAAATCCCATTTTCAAAAAAAAACATTGTCTCCAGCTCTCATTTTGGTTTCTGAGGGTATTTTCTGTGATATGCTTGGGTAACTTCTGGAGAATTTTCAAAGCTCTCTGCAGTATACCATGTCTCACTCCGGTGGATAGTTCTTCCAAGCTGCCTTGTAGAAAAGCTTCTTTCGAATAACTTTTGAGTCGAGGATTTCATCCACTTCCCACTCCTCTTCGCCATTGACAATGACTGGAGGCTCTGGCTCCTGTTGCTGCCCTTCGATTGCATCATTCGAGTCAAGTCTTAATAGATTGGCATGAAATACTGGATGAATCTTCATGCTGTTTGGAAGTTTGAGCCGATATGCAACTTGCCCAATTCGCTCTAGAATTTCAAAAGGTCCCACTTGCTTGTGGTCTAGCTTCTTTGATGGCCTCTGTGTCTTTATATTTCGAGTTGAAAGCCATACTCTGTCTCCCACTTGATAGCGTGGTGCAGGTTTCCTTTTCTTGTTCGCGAAATGTTCCATTTTTGCTTGCGAGAGCGTGATTTCATCCTGCAGAAACTCCCAAACCTTTGCCATGGTCTGAGCTATGTTCTTGTGCTCTTGTTTGGCTTCGTGATATGCTTGCTGCTCTGTATCGAAGCTCATTCTTGGTTCATAGCCCTTGTTCACAAAAAACGCACTTGTCTTGGTTGCATCTGATGGCAAACTGTTGGCAGCAAACTCCGCCATGCACAAGTATGAAACCCAATTGTCTTGAAGATAGTTCACATGAGCTCGCAAGTAGCGTTCGAGCTCTGCATTGAATCGCTCAGTCTGTCCATCTGTTTCTGGGTGGAAGGCAGTTGAAAGTTTGGCTGAAATTTTCCAAATTTTGCAGAGCAAACTCCAGACTTCTGCAATGAACTGAGGACCTCTGTCTGATATTATCGAGTTTGGTAGACCATGGTGCTTCCATACATGTCGAAGTAAGAGCTGTGCTGTAGCTTCTGCAGTAGTCCCTTCTTGCCCAGCGAAACACGGAATGAAATGTCTTTCTTTCGTCAACCTGCATGCAACAACCAAGATAGCATTGTTCCCTTCACAGAGTGGTAATCCTGTCACGAAATCCATTGATATATCCATCCATGGTCGACTGTCAATAGGGATTGGTTGTAGAAGTCCATTGTAGGAATCTCGAGATGGTTTCGATCTTCGACAACTATGGCAGTTTTTGATATATCGAATTATTGTTTTGTCCATGTTTGGCCAGTAATAGTGCTGTTTCATGACTCGCAGCATCTTTCCAGCTCCTGGATGTCCCATAGAAGGTTGTTCATGAACTTCTCTCAACAAGTCCACCTGAATGGTTTCTGGCACCCAAACTCGATTTTGATATTCTAGCATGCCGTTTTTGAGTTCGCAATAAGCCAATGCAACCTCTTTGCTTGTTCGATCACCATTCTCAAGCTTCTGTAGTGTAGCCTTGCAGAATTTGTCTTCCAGTTGAGACTTTTGGATTTTCTCAAGAATTGTCATTTCTCTGATATGAGTTTCCACTGGAGCTAGCTGAGCTGTTTGGCCTTGTTCTTTGAGTTTCTGAATGTCTGGATGTAGCCTCGAAGGTGGTAGCAACACCTGAAGCTGTTGCTTTTGTCGATCATCCTCATCATTGCCTTCTGGTCTGTCACCAGGCCTTCGAGTCAAAGCATCTGCTTTTCCATTTTGCTTCCCAGGCCTATAGATGATCTGGAAGTTGTATCGAGAGAGGAATTCAGCCCATCGAGCTTGTCTTCTTGTCAGCTTCTTGGTGGACATGAAGTATTCCAAGCTTTTGTGATCAGACAAGACTTGGACTGGAAAATCTGTCCCTTCAAGTTCTGGTCTCCATGCTTCGAAACATCTGATGATTGCAAGCAATTCCTTGTCATATATCTCGTAATTGCATTCTGCAGGTGCTAGCTTTTTCGAGAAGTATGCCACTGGATGTAGAACCCCTTGATCATCTTTTTGTGACAAGACTCCTGATGAGATGAAGTCTGAGGAATCTGCTTCGACATAGGCTGTCTTGTTTCTATCGAAATGCCTCAAGACAGGAGCTTCTGTGACTGTTTGTTTCAACAGCTCGAATGCAGTTTGGCATGCATGAGTCCATTCGAATATCTGATCCTTTCTGGTAAGGTTCACCAATGGACTCATGATGCTGGAGTAATTTCGGATGAACCTTCGATAGAAATTGCAGAATCCAATGAAAGCTTGCATATCCCTGAGCGATTTTGGAGTTCGCCATTCCAATATAGTAGAAACCTTTGCAGGGTCCATGCGAATGCCATTGACTCCCACGATGAGTCCTAGGAATTTGGTTTCTTGGACGAAAAACTCACATTTTGAGATATCTGCTTGCAGTCCAGCTTCTCGAAGCTTCTGTAGGACTTTCCTTATGTGCTCTGTATGCTCCGCTCGAGTAGCACTGTAGATAAGAATGTCATCCATGTATGCGGTGACGAATTGGTTGAGGTAATCCATGAGGGTTTCATTCATGTACCTCTGGAATGTTGCTGGACCATTTGTGAGTCCGAAGGGCATGACCTTGTATTTGTAGGATCCAAATCGAGTTCTGAATGTAGTGAGGTCTTCATCTTCTTCTGTCTGCATTCGAATTCGATTGAAGGCATGTCGAATGTCCAGTTTGGTGAGATATTTTGCTCCTATGACTTGGGCCAGCGTTTCATCAATGAGTGGTATGGGATATCGATCCTTTTTCGTTATGGCATTTAGCTTCCTGTAGTCAACACAGAATCGAAGACCACCACCTGGCTTTCTCACAAACATAATGGGTGAAGAGTATGGGGCTTTGCTTGCTTCAATGAACCCTTTTGGCAAGTGCTCGAAGACATATTCTTCGACCAAATCAAGTTCTTCCTTTGACATATTCCAGAGTGGTGCATATCCCAGCTTTGCATCACCTTCGAGTTCAATATGATGGTCTGAAGGTCGATGGGGAGGTAGCTTGTCTGCTGCCATTTTTGAAAAAACATCCAAAAATTCATGAAATTCCTTCGGAAGGATCAGTCGAGAGTCAATTTCTTCAGTTTTGGTCTTGTTCTTGTGCTCGATTATGTCCTTCATTGATATAGCAAAGACTTGAGCTCCTNGTACCTTCACGACGCGATATCCAAGCCAACTTACGGAAATTAAGTAACCTAGAGGAATCAGTTCTTGTTCAGTATATACTTGACTTAGCTGCTAAAGGGTTCCCTCCTCAGTTGTCTATTGTTGAAGATATGGCAAATCGACTACTTGCAACACGCGACGCGCCACGCGTCGGGTCACGTTGGGCTTCAAACTTTGTTAAGCGCCATGTAGAGCTCCGGACACGCTTCCAGCGAAAATACGACTACCAGAGGGCTAAGTGCGAAGATCCAGAAGTCATTCGTGGCTGGTTTGAGCTTGTATGGAACACAATTCTAAAGTATGGCATCAACAATGCAGATATCTACAACTTTGATGAGACTGGGTTTATGATGGGCGTCATCTCAAGCGCAACGGTAGTAACGAGCTCAGATGGGCGGGCAAAGGCAAAAAAGGTGCAGCCTGGCAATCGGGAATGGGTTACAGTAATCCAAGGCGTTAGTTCTCAAGGTTGGGCAGTGCCGCCATTTGTCATTGTGGCAGGTAAAAACCACCTTGCATCTTGGTATGAGAATAGCGGATTTCCAGCAGATTGGGTAATCGCTGTTACTGCAAATGGCTGGACTACAAACGAGAGAGGTATGGATTGGATTCAGCATTTTGAGAAGCACACAAAGCCCCGGAGTGTTGGTGGTTATCGCTTGTTAGTCCTTGATGGTCATGAGAGCCACCACTCAGACAAGTTTGAGGAGTACTGCAAAGAACACAACATTATTACGCTTTGTATGCCTGCTCACTCTTCCCATATACTCCAACCACTTGATGTTGGCTGTTTTGGCCCATTAAAGAGAGCTTACGGTCGGCAAATTGAAGATATGATGCGGGCTCATATTATTCACATTACTAAGGATGACTTCTTTCCTCCTTCCACACTGCATTTAACATTGCAATGACAGAAAGCAATATTCAGGGAGGGTTCCGAGGTGCTGGGCTTCTTCCATTTAGCCCTGAGAGTGTAATATCTACACTTGACCTTAGGTTTAAGACGCCAACACCTCCAACCTCTCGCCCAAACACCGCTCAACCATGGGTTTCTCAGACACCAAATAACCCAACTGAAGCTGTATCACAGTCTACTTTCATTAAAAACTGAATTGCGCATCATCAAAATAGCTCTCCAACCTCAATCTATGCAGCTGTTGACCAGTTTACAAAGGGTGCATCGCAAATAATGCATCAATTAGCATTGTTAAAAGCAGAGAACCAAAACCTGCGACAGGCAAATGAAGTGCTAAGCAAGCGCCGGAGAGCTAAAAAAACACGACTACAGCAAGGAGGATCACTTAGTCAACAGGTAGCACAGGAGCTACAGGACGAGAGGGACGTTGTGCAGCAAGTAGAGCAAGAAATAAGGGCAAGTAGTGGTCGGAAGCCAAGGGAAGAAACCCATGCACGTCGCTGTGGCAAGTGTGGTGAGACTGGACACAATGCGCGCACTTGTCAGATTGTAATAGACAGGTCTGAGGAAGAGGACTCCGAGTAGTTTTGATTAATTTATATTGTTGTGGTGGATTTATCGCAATTCTATGGGGTAGTCGCGATATTTTGGCACTTTCGCTTGTTTGGCACTTTCGTTATACATGCACGTTATACTATACTACATTATAAAACGGCAAGACCAATTGATTGGCTATCATTTGTCGAAATTCAGGATTGGCTGGCTTAAGTTTAGGTCCCATTTCTTACTACCCTAGGTTTAGCATATAGAGTTCTCCTTTACGGTTGCAGTCTGTGAGCCCTTAGTGTGCAGAGTTTTCCTTTACGCCCTGTCCGTAATCTGTAATCGCCTTTCATTCTGCCTGTATCCTATTCGGTACCCTATCCTGCTCTGTATTTGCTTAAATGTTAAGGATCTAATGAGTTCGTCCCCTCCTATTCGGTGTGCGTACTGCGGTTCTTACCGCGAGTCATCACTCTTCCGTACCAATCGCTAGGTCGCCGGTACGCAACTTGCAATTTGTGTTCAACCAGTCACTCTTCTCGCTGTAGCCTCCGCACCCAGGAAAGGCTGGTACCAGTGCCTACTCCTAGAACCACAGAAAGCTTACAGCCTGTTACGGACATTGTTCTGCCGCAAAGACGTGGCCGTGGTCGTCCGTCACGCTGGCCACCTGCTCCCTTGCCACTTCGCCCTATTTCACCTCACGTAACTCAATCTACTCAACTATGACCCATGGGCCATGTGGTGAGGACCATCCAAAGGCTCCGTGTATGGCACGTAAAACACCTACCTCACTACTACGATGTACGAAACAGTTCCCGGAGCCTTTTACTGCTACTAGTGTTGTAAATGATGAGGGGTATCCATAATACAGGCGTCGGGATGATGGCCGTACTTTTACAGTACCCGGCCAAGTGTATGGACATAGACTGTTGTCTGTAACAACCGTTGGGTTGTTCCGTATAACCCGTACCTACTTCAGAAATACCGCTGTCATATGAACGTTGAGGTCTGTAGCACAGTACAGGCTGTAAAATATATCCACAAATATATCTATAAGGGCTCCGACCATGCTACCCTTCAGGTTGAGGCTACGGATGATATATTGGGCTGACTGAGGCTATATGGCGTATTATGGAGTACGTAACCCATGGCGAATACCCACCCGTAACACAACTTACAGTACACTTAGAGTACCAGCAATACCGTCTACTTTCCCAGATGGACTTTCAACTCAAGAGCTTACTGCAAGGCTTAGTCGTACAGATACTACTTTAATGGGCTTCTTCCGTTACAATGCTATGTATGAGGATGGCAGGACCTTCTTATATTCTGAGTTTCCTACTCGATTTGTCTGGACTAAGGCTATGCGGAAATGGACTCCCCGTAAAAGGGGCTTAGATCGTAACATTGGGCGTATGTTTCATTGTAGCGCTACTGCTGACGAGAGATTCTAGCTACGGATGTTATTGACTGTCGTCCGTGGACCGACGTCCCTTTACGGATCTCCGTACGTATAACAGTATATGTTATGAGACTTTCCACCAAGCCTGTATTGCGCGAGGGTTAGTAGAGAATGACCAGGAATGGATTGAATGCTTTAATGAAGCTATCATCTTTAACCAGTGGTTATGGCCTACGGACACTGCTTCTTTAACGGGTTTACGGATAGGAATGATCGCTGACCGCTCCTCCTTTGGAACCAGTTTAAGGACCACATCTGCGACGACCTATTACGGGAGCCTAAAACGGAGGAGCATTTCTATTAGCTCCCTTCAAGAACCACATCTTGATTATGGGGCTGTATTTGCTTTCTGTTGGCCTTACGGATATTGGGAAAACTCTACGGACTTCAACCTACCTCTTCCTCAGTATAGCTGGTCTCAACTACCTTTGATCCTATAGTTGAAACAGCTCTTGCGGAAGATTTAGTCTCAAGATTAAATCAGGACCAGCTTTTATGCTTCCGTACAATCTGTACGGCTATTGAGATTGAGCCGCAGACTGCCCACTTCTATCTACAAGGGCCAGGGGGGACTGGCAAGACCTTTCTATATAAGGCTTTATGCCATTTCTTCCGTGCCCAAGGAAAATCAGTTCTCTGCGTGCTTCTACAGGTATTGCAGCCTTACTGTTACCAATGGGTGCATTCTCATAACCCAATTTAAGATTCCAATTGATCTTACGGATAAGACCTCCTGTTCTATTACCCGGAACTCAAGGGTAGGGCGGCAACTTCAAGAGGCAGGTCTAATTATATGGGACGAGGTTCCTATGCAGCATAAATACTCTTTGAGGCTGTCCACCGACTATTAATGCGACCTACGGTCTACTACGGACGACGTGCTATTTGGTTACTCAAGGAAGCAGACTCAACGGGGTTCCCCGTTCATCTTTTTTGTATCCTTCATAGTAGACCTATAGGATAGCATCCGTTTAGCCTCCGACTCGCACTCTCATATGCTATTACTGTGAGCTGGGTGCCCTGTGTCCTTACAATGATGACACTACCCAAAGTGGCAGCAGTCCAGCCCTAGCAGTGGCAGCAGTCCAGCCCTAGCAGTGGCAAGTGGCCCGTTCTATACATGTACACAAGAAGACTAATGTGACGATAGACTCCCTCAAAGGGTAGACGAAAGCGAGTCTCAGCATCACAAGGTCAATCCAAGATGTGTGGTGCAGGTAGCCCGTTACTAAATGACCTATCCGACTCTCTGAGGCGACTGTTGCTGGTTATTTGGGTTACTCAGATGCAGTGCATCTGCGCCAGTTGATGTGGTCATACCCAGTGATGAAAGGGGCAATGGTTTTTGAGACAGTTTTTAAGAAACAGCTCCAGGTGCATGCAACCTCAATACTAGAGGCCTCTATTGAGAATCCAGAAGCGTACGATTACGAGTTGGATCTTAGTACACTCATTGCCAGTTATACTCTCCATAGTGAGGAAGAGAAGGCAGATCAAGAGGCAATAAACCTGGTGCAGAAAATCCTATTTGCAGGTACAATTCACCATACTGCCAATGCTCTTGAAACACTTGAGTACTTAACCATTGAGGACGCTCAACTTCAATCCCGATTTTACCTATCACCGTGTCAATAACACCAAGGTTAAGGCCTTCAAAGTCCCCCAGTTTAACAAGTCAGCTCTGCTTTGCCCGACCCTTGGCCCGCTTTCACATTTGGCGAGCACCCTATGGAGCGATACTGTGCCTACACATGCATCAGATACCTTTTGTACCAGACAACCGCCTCTAAATTTGCTGCTACTACGACAAAGGTCGGGAAGAACACATACTTTGCACCTAGCGAAGTGACTTTAGATAGGCTCCCAGCTTGGATGAGCAAGGACACGGTGTTGGAGACCCCAGGGGCAGAGGCAATTATTGATCTTATGCACCAATACAAGCCTGCGCCCAACCAAATTTCTCTCCGGCTTGTTCGTGAAGATGTCACTGACGATGATGACAAACTCACTGATCATATCAACACCTTCCTCCGGCGCTGCAAGATCCATCTACAAAAAGAGGACACTACCTACCAGCACGATACAAGTGAGTTCAACGTCGGCCCTCAATGGCGTGACCACCTACGACACGTGTTGTTGCTCCCTCGTCTCTGGTGCGATTTCAGTACCTTGACGTTATTCTCACTTAACGAGGCTATAGCAATCGAGCCAGGCCCTGTACATGTTCCAAAGGAGTGTCCGTGGACTATCTACAACAACGACAATCCTGAACAGGTAATTCCCTGGACTGACGTTCAAGAGATCCTACAAGCTGGGGCCAAGTTTCAGATTCAATATGCCCTCAAGGTAATTGATACCAATGAGGACGGTCCATATCCATTTGAGTTTAATGGGGGACCTATCCAGGTGCGCAGTAACATTGCTATTGCTACTACTGTATCTACAGCAATCCGGGATACTATTATGGCAGATGAACCTGACAACACTAGACCTCAACCTATGGAGAGCCTGGCATTAGATGACAAACCCCAGTGTGATGATAAGGGAAAGGGGCCCAAAACCACAGAAGCTGCTACCACCACCCCCTCATATCTAGAGGGAGTCCTGTCTGGGGCAAACACACACGGCATTCGAGGGGCTATAACCCCAGATAAGTTATTTGGCGACAGCCAATTGTAACGCTGACTTCTAAATGATAGAAGACACAGAGGTTCTCTTGCGTAAAGGTTTACTTATCAGAGGAGGCAGGGGATCAGACACAAAGGCTTCAAGTAACACGTTACTAGTATATAACAAATACTGTATTGAGTTGAGCACGAAGCTCCTATCTAAGGAAATACTATCTACTTATATAGTGGCGTCGTGCCTAGTGGACTCTTGGGAACTCACTCGAGTCCTTGGAGTCCTGGACTCTTAGGACTCTTCTCATCATCCTGCGAGTCCATCACGTGCCTAGTGGACTCCTGGGAACTCACTCGAGTCCTCGGAGTCCTGGACTCTTAGGACTCTTCTCATCATCCTGCGAGTCCGTCACGTGATACTTTCGGAACTACTATTCCCCGCTGCCCCTCCAGGTACCAGGGCCGGTCTCATGCGACCTCCCTCCTTCCTGTCCTGTAGTTGGCCAGCCTTCTTGTTCCGTCGTAACACTCGCTCCCTTCCCCTGGGCATTCGTCTCGAATCCTATAAGTACGTCCATGTCCCCGGGACTCTGCTGCTCCTCAGCGAGTCCTTCAATATGCAACATGCCTACTGACACTGCCCGCAAACTCCAGGAACGCAACGATCTTGTCCGTCGAATAAAGAACCACGGATACGAACTACCCGAAATGGATTCTTGCTCGAACTGCGTGAGGCGAAACATTACTTGCGTGTCGTCTCCAAATGATTCACGGCGGTGCGCCGAGTGCGTTCGTCGCAACTTGAAAGAAAAGTGTGACTGTATGGGTCCTGAGCATCCCGACTGGGTGAAGCTCGAATGGGAGGAGGATCGCCTGGATCGCGAAGAGGAAGAAACCCTTTCGAAGTTACTTCGTCTGCGAAAGCAGAAACGCCTCATCCGAACCCGTGGTAAAGATATGCTCCGACGAGGTTTGAAAACCCTCGACGAGCTTGATGCGGCAGAGGAGGCCGAACGTGTGGCTGCTGAGAAGCGTGACGCTGTTGAGGCTGAGGAACAGGCAGTTAGCGCTGCCTCCTCGTCTGTGACCGGGACCTCGCTTCCTCCGATCCACTGGCCTACTCCCCTGCATCTTGGGATCAATGGCTGGCGGATGGCGGCGTCGATATTCCTCCAGCAGTTCTTTGCTGATGTTCCTTGTTGGTTCCCACGAATTATCCGTAGGTTCGTAATTTTCCCATTTTATCAAAAACTCTTCTCGACGTCCTACTAACCTTCTGTCTAGGATCGCTTCGACCTCATATTCGATTATCTCATTCTCGGGTTGGAGTTCGGTGTCGGTCGCAACTGGGGTATTTCCTCTTGCTGGTTCCAGTAGTGAGACATGAAATACCGGGTGTAGTCTAGACTTCCTGGGTAGCTGCAGTCTGTAATTAACTGAGCTGACTTTGTTCAATATTTTGAATGGTCCCAATTTCTTGAAGTCCAACTTTGTGCTTGGTCGTTTCGTTTTGATATGTTTCCGGAGTAGGTATACTTTATCCCCCTCCTTGAAGGCAGGTTCCATACTGCGCTTCTTGTTTGCGTATGCGGCGGATCGTTCATTTAAGAATTGGATGTCCGTCGCAAGTTGTTCGTGGAACGATTTCAGTTGTTCCACCACGATCAGGGCTTGTTCAGCTCGTGATTCATCCGGTCTTGGTTGCCTATATGCTTCTGGCTGGTAGCCATAATTGGCAAAGAACGGTGAGACTTTCGTTGCTTCTGTCATCGCGCTGTTATATGCAAACTGTGCGATGGGTAAGATCTGAACCCAGTTATCCTGTTGATGATTGACATAGCTTCGCAGGTACTGTTCAAGGGTCTGATTTAATCTTTCTGTTTGGCCGTCTGTCTGGGGATGAAAAGCTGTTGATAGCTTATGATTTGTTCCCAGTAGCGCCATCAATGATTTCCAGAATTTCGAAGTAAAGAGCTTGTCTCTATCTGAGATGATTTCTTCTGGCATCCCATGATCGGCTAATATGACTCGAATGAAGGTATATGCGAGCGCCTCGGCGTCGCTAGCTTCTAGATATGGTATAAACTTCCCATATTTCGTGAGTCTTTCCATGATGACGAGGATAGAGTCGTATTCTATTCCTGTTAACGGGTCCTTGGAGGGTAGAAGCTTGACGATGAAGTCCAAAGCTATTGATTTCCACGCTCCTTTTGGTACTGGTGTCGACTTGAGTTGTCCGTATGGCAGATGCCTATTGGATTTTGACTTGCTGCAAATGTCGCACTCTCTTACCACTGTCTCTACCTGCTTCCTCATACCTGGGAAGTAGTAGTGTCGGGTGATTCGTTCGAAGGTTCGTGTTACTCCCTGATGACCGTGTGCTGGTAACGAGTGTTGTTCTTGCACCAGCGGGCGTCTCATTTGACTTGGGACATACACTAACCCTTTGTATCGAATCAATCCTTGTTCGTCGATGGTGAAGTCGCCTTCGACTTTGGACAAGACTCGCTTGGCGCATTCGTCTGTTGCGTAAGCTTTCTTGAGTCTTTCCTCGAGTTCTGTATCTTCGATGACTGAGATCGTCGCTAGTAACTCGTTGTACTGTATTCCTGCATCTGTTTTCTTCAGAATTGCTCTAGGTCTTTCTTCCTTTGGGCCGGCGTAGTCGGTCCGTCTGCTGAGAGCGTCTGCTCTTGCATTCTCGGAGCCCTTGCGATAGGTTATCGTGAAGTTGTAGGCTGCGAGGGTTTCTGCCCAGCGGACTTGTCTGCGGTTTAAAACCTTGGTCGTGGTGAAGTATATGAGGTTCTTGTGATCCGTCCATACCTGCACAGGGTAGGTGGGTCCCTCAAGATATACTCGCCACTGCTCAAAGGCAACGACAATAGCCAGTAGCTCCTTGTCGTGGATGTCGTAATTGAGTTCCGCGGGTGACAGTTTCCTAGAGTAGTACGCGATTGGTTTGAACTTACCGTTCTCGTCTGGTTGATTCAGACATGCTCCAATTGCGAAGTCAGAAGAGTCCGTTTCGAGGATGATCTTCTTTGCAGGGTCAAATGTAGCAAGGATAGGTGCTTCCGTGAACTTCGTCTTAAGTTCCTGGAAAGCAGCCTCTGCCTTGTCCGTCCATTTGAATTCGAGATCCTTTCTGGTAAGCTCCGTGAGTGGTTGAGCTACCTTGGAATATCCCGAGATGAATCTCCGGTAGAAGTTGGCGAAGCCTAGGAAGGCTTGCACTTCCTTGACCGTGGTCGGTGTTGGCCATTCCAACACTGCCGTTACTTTTGCTTGGTCCATCTTGATGCCGTGCGTTCCAATAATGTAACCCAAGAATTCGACTTGGTTTTTATGGAACTCGCACTTCTCTGGTTTGAGGAGTAAGCTGTACTCCTTTAGTTTCTTCAGGACGAGTTTGACATGCTTGACATGCTCCTCCTTGGTTGCTGAATACACCAGGATGTCGTCTAGGTAGACAATGGTAAAGATGTCTAAGTATTCGTGCAAAGCATCATTCATCAGTCGTTGCATGGATGCGGGTGCGTTTGTTAGCCCAAAGGGCATGACTTGATACTCGAATAGGCCATAGCGGGTGCGGAATGCTGTTTTCCACTCTTCCCCAGCCTTGATTCGGATCAGGTTGTATGCTCCTCGCAGATCTAGCTTACTGAAGATCTTTGCTCCTTGAAATCTATCGTGTAGTTCGTTGATTAACGGCAGGGCATACCTGTCCTTGATTGTGATGTTGTTCAACGCTCGATAGTCCACACATAACCGTAGGGAGCTGTCTTTCTTTGGTACGAAAAGCACCGGACTTCCTGCTGGTGATGTGGATGGTCTGATGAATCCTTTCGCTAGGTTATCATCGATGTACTCCTTAAGTACCTTCAGCTCCTTTTCCGATAGCTGATATATTGGTCCGAACGGTGGACTCTTGTCTTTCTCCAAAGGTATCTCGTGATCCCATGGTTGGTGCTTAGGAAGCGCCTCGTTCTTAGGGCCTTCCTGGAATAATCGCTCGTATTCCTTGTACTCCACCGGTATACTCATCGGTGAGGATGCCTGGGCTAGGTCATCGAGCTCGGAGGTTGCACATAACTCCTTCCGGCCCTGGGAGGGTTTCTCCCGTTGTCGCGTGTCCGTCCGTTGTTCACACGCGCACTGGCTCATCACAACTTTCTCGTTCCACCAGTCGATCTGGGGGTTGTGTTTCTTGAGCCATGGCATACCAAGGATGCACGCATGGTTGTCCATGTGCACGATGTCAAACTGAATCGTTTCCTTGTGCCCGTGTAGCATGACCATTTCCAATGGGACCGTTTCGTGGGTCACCATTCCTTCATTAGTCGAGATGGGCTCTCCATCTACGACCATTAATGGGTATGGTTCGGCTTTCATTGTTGTTTTGAAGCCTTGCGTGTCTGCTACTTTCTTTGTCATAAAGTTGCCCGTCGCTCCTGAGTCAATCATTGCTCGGAGGTGTCGCTGTTGTATCTTAGCGACCACATATAGTTGCATGCTGCCCGTCGTGGCGCATAGCTGGTCTGTACTAGGCCTCTTCGTGTCGCTCGCCGGTGGCCTACCGTCGAGGACTCCTAGTTTTTTGACTCGTCCGAGGAAGGATAGTATTCATCCGCTTCCAATGGTGGTCCTTGGGGAGATCGTTTCCCTCGCTCTTCTGCTTCGTCTAGCAGATGTGGGTATTTCTTGTATACCTGTTCGCTTTTGATAGGCAAGTCCCCTTCAGACTGGCTTCGCCTGAGGGCATGAACTTGCTCTGCGTCTCTGAAGTGTATCCTGGGCGAGGATCGGGGAAACAACTGATTCTGGTGTTTCTTTTTCCAGTGGAGCTTGCAGTCATCTTCGCTGCAATACTCCCAGTAGACATACGCGTGCCAGGGATGATCAGTCTCTGTTGCGTCTGTCATTGATAGTTCCCGCTGTCCTCTCACCCATGCACTATCTTCCCTCGGAGGCGTGGAGAACGTGTCTAGTTGCTCCATGGCTCTGCTTTCGATGCGTGGAGTGGGTCTCGCATTTTCCCGTCGGAGCATATCTCTGGCTTTCTCGTCGTACTTCTTCAGGGCTCTCCTGCGGTCCTGGTAGTAAAGTTTGACGCTTTTCATATACTTCAGTTTAGCCATATGCTCGACATCCTTCTCCAGTTCTTCCGCTTCTTGGGCTTCCAACTTAGCTACGTCTTGGGACGTGCCAAGCAGCCTGCGGGTATTCGTTAGTTGGTCGTAGTATCTCCAGAGGTCATCCTTGCAGTCGTCCACCTTGCACTTTAACGGAAGTTCCTGTAACAGGTTCCCGTAGAGGTCTTTAAGCATGGGGATTCTCCTCTGGCCATTGGGCTTGTCTCGTTCGGCCCTAATCTTCGCGTGGGCGTGTTTTGCCATGCGTCTTACTACGCTCTTGCACCGTGGACTCATTGGTTCCGTAGGTGCGAGTTCATCGAAGGTCTCCTGTTCCGAGACGGTGAACGATTCCGCCTCCGACCCTTCATCTGAGCTCTCGTCTTCTGGGGTGCTTTCGCCGTTTATTCCCCAGTCCTGTTTGCTCACAAACGTTGCGTTCAACTGTCCTGTCCAGGTGGCATTGAGTTGTTTGCCGACTTTGCGTCCGCCGTTCCCTTTCTTTGGCTGTCTGCAGTCTCGGGCCATGTGGCCTGGCTTGTCGCAGTTAAAACAGAGTCGTTCCTTGAATTGTCTGTCTTTCTTAGGGTCACGGGGTCGTCCAGGTTTGAACGTGGCATCGAGTTCCATTGGGTCCGACCAACGGTTGTCTCGCGGGTGTTGATCCCGTCGTCTGCCCTCGTTTCCCCGGTAGGGGTAACTTTTCTTGGGCTTGTCATAGGTCCGACGTTCCTTCTGGAATTCGTATAGTCGATTGTCGATTCGGACCGTATGTTCGATTAGCGCTACCATGTCCGTTGGTTGTTGTTCCAAACGGGCAAGTTCCATACGTATATGGCTCTTCAGCCCACGTCGGTAGTGGCTGATGAGTGCGCTGGCGTCCCATCCTGTCTGATTGCCGTATCTCTGGAATTCTGTGGAGTATGTGAGGGCGCTGCCAGTCTGCTTAAGTGCAAACAGATGGTCTTCCGCGGTCTTAATCTCATCGATGTCTCCGAACATGCGTCGGATTTCCTTACAGAATCCATTCCAGCTGCCAAACATAGTCTGCGTAGTTGTCATGCTTCCATTGGTACTTTCATATTTGAAATAGTCCTTGAGGAATGGTTCGATCCATCGCAGGGCTTCCCCCCTAAGGTAGGATGCAGTCCACAGGGCATAGCTCTCCTGGGTGGGAAACTTCTCATCATTGAAGTGCTGGTACAGTTCGACCTGTAGCAAAAACACCTCAAGTTCCTTTCGGTTGCCGGAGTAAGTGTCGGGCAACTTGACGCGTAGAGTTTCCTTGAGTTCGTTGACGGTGGGTGCATCGGGCATCTCTTCATTCTCAGGCTTAGACCTCTGAGACGAAGTTGGCGTGGTGGGGGTTTTCCCCTTCGAACTGACGACAGACATGTTGCTTTGTGTGTAAGCCGGTACCTCGTAGAAGTGGTGCTCAAAGTGTAACGCTGACTTCTAAATGATAGAAGACACAGAGGTTCTCTTGCGTAAAGGTTTACTTATCAGAGGAGGCAGGGGATCAGACACAAAGGCTTCAAGTAACACGTTACTAGTATATAACAAATACTGTATTGAGTTGAGCACGAAGCTCCTATCTAAGGAAATACTATCTACTTATATAGTGGCGTCGTGCCTAGTGGACTCTTGGGAACTCACTCGAGTCCTTGGAGTCCTGGACTCTTAGGACTCTTCTCATCATCCTGCGAGTCCATCACGTGCCTAGTGGACTCCTGGGAACTCACTCGAGTCCTCGGAGTCCTGGACTCTTAGGACTCTTCTCATCATCCTGCGAGTCCGTCACGTGATACTTTCGGAACTACTATTCCCCGCTGCCCCTCCAGGTACCAGGGCCGGTCTCATGCGACCTCCCTCCTTCCTGTCCTGTAGTTGGCCAGCCTTCTTGTTCCGTCGTAACACCAATCTACATCCTCTCTTGCATGGCATTTAGGCGTGGATGTTTCCACGCCTACAGGAATCGATACTTTCATTCACAAGGTCATTGGGACACTTCGGGTTGCAAATGTTACACCCAAAACTGCCCTTAATTAAGCTGGTCTTCCAGGTAATGAGATACAGGCTGGCCTTGCTGCGGCTACAGAGACCACTCTGAATGCAGATGTAAGCTTGCCTCTATACATGTACAGAGACCCTCATAATTAACATCATTCTAGGTTGGTGGAGTTCAAGAGGATTCAAATTTTGAGGACTATTACAAGACGCAAAAGTTGTTTGCTGGCGACGAATCCCATACAGGCCCTCCTCTCGATGCTTGTTTGGAAATATCCCAGGCAGTATTTGACTCCTGGCATGACCAAAACCAGATCCTAGCGTAGTACAAGCTGAACTCGCTCCCAACAGTTAAAATGTGCCCATTAGGACACCAGATTACCAGTTTTCTCTGGATGATTGTGAAGGTTACGGGTATATCTGTGCTCCAACGGAAGAGGCTCAGGCTATTGCTGAAGATTTGCTTACCACACGCACCTATGGCGGCCTCCTCGTTGATAATATGGGAGTGGGGACTGGGAAAGACATTCACAGCTCTGCTATACCTGTCATGGGTATTCGAATATCACACACGAGAAGAACCTGGCAAATATAAGCCTCAGCTTATTCTAGCCCCAGCAGGACCGGTTATTGAGCAATGGCGCCAGGATATCGTCAAACACTTCAAGGGAATCAACCTAATTCTAGGATATGGAGACTCGCCATCAGACGGGGCCTCGTCGTTAAAGTGGATATCATCAAAGGGGATGAGAGATTACCCCAAAATGGCAAGCATTCTCGAGTTCTCCGGTATATCTTTGACATGAACAATAAGTTGGCTGCCAAGATGGTAATCCTCACGTCATACGACACACTGTCTGCAAGAACTCTTCAGAAGCCCTGTCGTCAACCAGGTGACGAAGATAGGCCTATCCAGCCTTCGGAGTGGACAAGTAAATGGAAGGGAGTTTTCCACACCATCATCCTAGATAAAGGGCATAAGGTCCGCAATTCCTTGACGCAGATCCACGTTGCAGTGGCAAGGTTATGCGCGAAACACCACTGGTTTCTAACTGGTACTCCATTCCAGAATCAAAGCCTGGTAAGTGAACACATTCCTATACATGTACAGGGCCCTGCTAACAATGAAGGATATATTGGGACCGTTGAATATCCTCTGGCCCAAGATCAGGAAAGGCGCCCACCTCACCAAAGAACGGATTAGGTGGCTTGGAACTCTAAAAGGCACTTACCAAGACTTCGTCTTCTACTAGAGCCAGATGTCCTACCTACATCATGGAAATGCCTCATTGCGGCTGATCCGTACTGTGTTCGCCAGCTTCTCAACTGTGGCAATAGAAAAACTATCAACAGACTATATAGGTGCATGGAACAGTTATTGGTACTCCGGCGGTCGACTGCCACTTCAATCCCTACAGACAGCAACGGCAGCCGTTTGCAACTGAAGAGCCTTATGCCCCTGCACGAAATAACCACAGCACTGCTTAGGATGACCTCTTTGGAAGCTGAGAATATCAATTCTTCCACCAGGGTTTCATTAAGTAAGTATAATGCATGCATTCTCTACACCCTGCACCTCTAACATACAGAAGGGATTACGAGGAAGGATTGGAGATTTTGTTGAAAGAAAAGGAGCACTGAGTAGATCCAACTGGTGATCTAAAGAGTTTTCCCTGCATCACTGGCCCAATGCGTTCCATGACTATCAATGCCGTCTCGACCTTATTGAGTCGCTTTCACCAAACCCTTACTCACACCAAGGTGCGAGGGCGTTTCCTCGATGATACTGTAGCCACCATTACCATCTTGTGATCTCGGGGTTTCACAGGCCTCCAGCTAGCACATTCAACTTTGAGGAGAGGGGATAGACCTATTACGGACGCTTCAGATCTCCTACAGCACCTGACCTTTGGGAGTCCCAAAATGAGATGGATCATAAAGGATATTATGGAGCACTGCATGAAGCCGGACAAGGATGGAAAGAGGAATAAACTCTTGCGCTCTGAAGAGATACCAGCCTCCGCTTGGTATGTAGAGACAGTTTGTAAGACCTTCTACTCGAGCAGTGGTGTTCCATGCTGGACTGACTGACCCACAATGCATCGCCCTACTCAAAGAGTTCAACGACCCTCACTCTAGCCTTACCGTACTCATCATGATGTATGCGGTGTCGTCCCAAGGCATGAATTTAGATGGTGCATGTCAGCGTGTTTGTTCGATAACAACAGCAATCAACCTCCCAGTTGAACTGCAGGTTCATTATCGTCCAATCAGAGTAAGAGCCCCCCCTGCCTATGGAACATGTACAGAGGAGGGTGCTAATCCATATGCAGGTTTCTCAGAAGAAGAAAGTCACGATAGTTAGACTATCTGTGCTAAACAGCCATGATGCCTGGCGAGAAATTAAGCAGATTGACAAGAACATCATTGATATTCTGACCAAGGTCCATTCTCCCGAGTCAATGGGCCTTGTCACGGTTCACCAAGGCATAGGGCGCCAGTTGGGTATTATGAATTAAACTCAATCTAGAGAAGGAAGGAAAGAGAAGAGGAGCACTCGAGCTGTGACTCGATCTATATACAGCTATGTTGTTGTGGAGTGAATTCTCTTGAGCGAGACCAGTTCTGAGAATTCACTCCACAACTGAAAACTTCGCTCCAACCCCGGAAAGCTCCCCACACCCCTGAACCCCTACTCGAGCTGCAAGGCGCACTTGATATCATAACAGGCCTGAGCTTACACCTACCAATTACATCAAGGATTTCAAGAAGTCATGGACGAAGCTTACCCCTGAGGAGAAAGCTCTTTATGACCAAGATGAACTTGATTTTCTTGTGTTGTTAAGCATGGACCCAAACCATGTGTACACTGGTGTAGAGATCCAGGGTACCCTCGACTCAGCGATTGCAGAGCGTGGATTACGCCTCGTTATTGCTCGACGCTCCGGCCAGTTTAAGGCAGGGGTTAAGGTCTCCCCCCACACTAAATACAATGCCCTTCTTGACCATAACGAAGACAGTGAGGAGCCCTTCTTGTCCCCAGTGTTTTCAACAACTCATGATATTGGAAGGAGCTTGGCTCTGAGGCGCTTTGTGTGGATGCTAGCACCAATCTCTGAGGTTGTGAGCAAGATCGCTACCACCCACCTTAATGCTAGCTCTGTTCCAATGGCTACAGACTCTCCCATACATGTACAGAAGATTGTACTGCCAGACACTGCTCCTACTGTCAAGTCCTACGGTATTAGGATGTCGAATGTAGTAGACCCAGTCAAAAGACATGATCCGGTTCTTAATGAGGTTCTGATGGATACGACTCCTGCCATACCATTGAGTCCTTCTCTTTCGACTGCTCATTCTGAATAAGGCAGTAGCAGCTTTACTTCAGTACCCCTTTTTACAGCAATGTTTTATGGCGTATGGCTAATAGTGGAGGATTTATGGTCATGGATGGATTTTCTACCATCATTGTATAACGTGCATGTATAACGAAAGTGCCAAACAAGCGAAAGTGCCAAAATATCGCGACTACCCCATAAGAATTGCGATAAATCCACCACAACAATATAAATTAATCAAAACTACTCGGAGTCCTCTTCCTCAGACCTGTCTATTACAATCTGACAAGTGCGCGCATTGTGTCCAGTCTCACCACACTTGCCACAGCGACGTGCATGGGTTTCTTCCCTTGGCTTCCGACCACTACTTGCCCTTATTTCTTGCTCTACTTGCTGCACAACGTCCCTCTCGTCCTGTAGCTCCTGTGCTACCTGTTGACTAAGTGATCCTCCTTGCTGTAGTCGTGTTTTTTTAGCTCTCCGGCGCTTGCTTAGCACTTCATTTGCCTGTCGCAGGTTTTGGTTCTCTGCTTTTAACAATGCTAATTGATGCATTATTTGCGATGCACCCTTTGTAAACTGGTCAACAGCTGCATAGATTGAGGTTGGAGAGCTATTTTGATGATGCGCAATTCAGTTTTTAATGAAAGTAGACTGTGATACAGCTTCAGTTGGGTTATTTGGTGTCTGAGAAACCCATGGTTGAGCGGTGTTTGGGCGAGAGGTTGGAGGTGTTGGCGTCTTAAACCTAAGGTCAAGTGTAGATATTACACTCTCAGGGCTAAATGGAAGAAGCCCAGCACCTCGGAACCCTCCCTGAATATTGCTTTCTGTCATTGCAATGTTAAATGCAGTGTGGAAGGCAGGAAAGAAGTCATCCTTAGTAATGTGAATAATATGAGCCCGCATCATATCTTCAATTTGCCGACCGTAAGCTCTCTTTAATGGGCCAAAACAGCCAACATCAAGTGGTTGGAGTATATGGGAAGAGTGAGCAGGCATACAAAGCGTAATAATGTTGTGTTCTTTGCAGTACTCCTCAAACTTGTCTGAGTAGTGGCTCTCATGACCATCAAGGACTAACAAGCGATAACCACCAACACTCCAGGGCTTTGTGTGCTTCTCAAAATGCTGAATCCAATCCATACCTCTCTCGTTTGTAGTCCAGCCATTTGCAGTAACAGCGATTACCCAATCTGCTGGAAATCTGCTATTCTCATACCAAGATGCAAGGTGGTTTTTACCTGTCACAATGACAAATGGCGGCACTGCCCAACCTTGAGAACTAACGCCTTGGATTACTGTAACCCATTCCCGATTGCCAGGTTGCACCTTTTTTGCCTTTGCCCGCCCATCTGAGCTCGTTACTACCGTTGCGCTTGAGATGACGCCCATCATAAACCCAGTCTCATCAAAGTTGTAGATATCTGCATTGTTGATGCCATACTTTAGAATTGTGTTCCATACAAGCTCAAACCAGCCACGAATGACTTCTGGATCTTCGCACTTAGCCCTCTGGTAGTCGTATTTTCGCTGGAAGCGTGTCCGGAGCTCTACATGGCGCTTAACAAAGTTTGAAGCCCAACGTGACCCGACGCGTGGCGCGTCACGTGTTGCAAGTAGTCAATTTGCCATATCTTCAACAATAGACAACTGAGGAGGGAACCCTTTAGCAGCTAAGTCAAGTATATACTGAACAAGAACTGATTCCTCTAGGTTACTTAATTTCCGTAAGTTGGCTTGGATATCGCATCGTGAAGGTACGCCTTGTAAACAGTGACGTAGCTTGCGGTGGTCTACGGAATAGATCCTAGCTGCAACTCGAAGGCGCAAATTTGGGTCGCTTTGCATAGCTTGGATAGCTAGCACTAATTTGCTTTCATCATTTTTATGGCGCATGTTTTGTTGTGGAGGAATTTAACATTTAGTTGGGGGGGTTGGTCACCGCATGATTTGCTTGTTTGGCACTTTCGTTATACATGCACGTTATTAGAAAACCATAAATAGGATAAGTAAAGCATATTTGTCCTGGAATATTATGATTTGTATATGACATGTGTATGTTCGTACATAAGGAATGATATTGTATTGAATTTATATGGAATAGTTTCGAAACAATCCTGTCATAATGACGATACTATTGTACAGCTATTTCCATACTCTCTCATAGAGCACTTAGTTTATTAGCTCGGTTTTGAAGGATATTTGGTGCTATGGATATCGCTTGAGAGGCCTATCATAGTGTTGAATACTGGTACGGTGGAGATATTGTACTGGGCAACTAGTCCTGGACTGGTCTGGTGAGCATCATATGGCCCACAAATCACCCATGTAAAATTAGGCCAGCACCCTATCAAAGAGTGCCACAACCGTCTAAAAAAATGGGCCGTCGCCCGTAAGGTACAGATCAGTCTAGCTCACCCAAAGCTCAGGTTAAAGCAGCAACAGCTCAGTCCAAAGATGGAAGTGGAGATTGACCATGTCGAGAGTACGGTAGTAGATATCCTGCTCTAAGATGCCGTATTTTACAACTGTGTTTCGTACGAGAGAGAACCACCCTTGAATTATCTTTAGATCAGGATTAGGGCCCGTTTTGCCGTAGATCTTGATGGGCTTGATTTGGGATGATATATTTTGTAGTTTAATAGCGGGCTGTATCTGGGTATTGTAGAGGAATAGGGGGCATGACAATCCATTAAATATTCAAACTTTCGAAAATAAATATTAAATCGCACATATCTCCATGCTAACTCCATATTTCCGTGTTAATGATTATCTAACATGAATTTGCAAAAAGTAAAGCAATCTCCGCTTCTTTGGAAGAATTGGGGTGATTGATAATCCTGACCGCTACGGATTTCAGGGACTTTTCTTGACAAAACCGACGAAGTTGAGAAACGATCCGAAGATGAGAACTTTCATTTATCACATGATAACTATGGTATAGCCCTGATGGTTTTGAGGCTCGTTCTATTTCTAACTAATGGCCACGTATTTTAAACAACGCTATTCTAGGCAAACAAAAAATCCAAATTAAAGAAAATGTTGCCTATTTGTGCAAAGTAGGAACTGGCCTAATCCAAAACACAGACATATTGACAACGATGCATATGACACCAATTATCCAAATCGATCTATCGTAATGCGTCCCGTTGTACCGGAAAATTATGCTGAATATGATTCCTCCGAAGTTCCCGGCAGCTCCAACTGTGCCAGAAACGATACCTACACAAATAAAGTTAGCAAACGGACATAAGTTGGTGTAATGAAAACAACGAACCATTTGCTGCTGGGTATACATGAGGCACAAGGGAGAAATTTGCTCCATTGGCCGCCTCCATAAATACAGCCAAGCCTACGAAGAGGCCAAACATGGTGGCTTCGGTTTTGGGATTCGATACCCCGATCGCAATCAGGTGAGTACCTGCTGCCACGCCGAGGAATATAAGCCAAATTTTCTTTGCCCAAACGGATTGGGTCGTCTTGTAAATGAGATCGGATATTATTCCACCCAATGGCCGAAATAGAACATTGAGAAGCCCAAACATGGCTGCCCATTCCCCAGCTTCCGTCTGTCCAAGGTGGGGAAAATTTCTTTCGTAGAATGAACCGAGTATAGAGTTGACGGCGAGCTCAGTCCCAAAGGAGCATGCGTATACTCCAAAGAGGGCGAATGTCTGAGGGCTAATCACAACGTGCATAATCTCCTTAGTGGTCGGGGGAACAATGAACTCGCTCTTGGCAAGGTCAAGGTATGTTGTGCCGTCGCTCTGAGATTCAATATCTGAAATCGTCTGTGGGTGTTTCTCATTGATGTTGTTGATATCCTTAGCAATGGATACTGAAGACGGCGTGTCTATTTCACCTCGGATGCTGCTATCGGATGAGCCTCCTGCCATGGGCATGGCACGGTCGGCCCATTTGCCGCTGGGTGTATCGTCACAAGTGAATAGCATCCCTAGAGCAACAACGACAATAATGATAAACGGGACAATGTATGCCACCCTCCATGCCTTGTGGGGAGCAAGTCCACTGTGCTGGACTAGAGAATCGAAGACCGCAGGCATCACGTAGCTGTAACACCGAGTATTAATAGAAGTGCTTTGTGACAGACTGGACAAACTTACTATGTGATACCTCCTCCTGCATTTCCCCAGCCCGCTGTCAAGGCATTTGCAGAGCCAATGACGTTTTTATCGAAGTACCCAGTTGTCCAAACTTGGCATGGCACGAAGCTGGCACCCAGAATGCCGATGAAAAACCTTAACGCCATGAGGCCATGGATGTTTGTAACCAGACCCGCCATGGCCGTTGGTATGGCGCCGGCCAGCAATATGCCAACAAAAACCAACCGTGGTCCGTAGCGATCGCATAGTGGCCCAGAGAAAAATCGACCAAGAAGACTAGAGAAGTCAGACTAGAAACCTGTCGAAATTGAGCTGATGCTTACGTTGCTAGTAAAGCAATTATATTAGAGTTGGCAATATCGGTCTGGCTTAGGTGAAGGTCTTTTTTAATTGTAACGGCCAACTGAAGGAAATTTATTAGAGATCTGATATCTTTCGAGGGTTCCACCATAACATGCACTTACCAGCGGCGGGAAAGAGTACCACGAGAGAAACGCAACGAAGAATCCCAGCCAGGAGAAAAAGAAGACCCTTCCATATTTATCGAATGGGTTTAATATAGGGATCGATCTTGCTTTTTGGTTGATGGGATTGATTTCCGGCGAGGCTATGAGTAGCCTCAAAAAATTTGGTGCCATGTGTGAGGATTTCAAATCGATAGGATTAAGTTCAAAAGCAAAACAGTTGGTCTAAAAGCACTGGGATAAAGGTAGACCGCGGAAGATATTGATGACTAAATTGAATGGGACTTCTGTATTCGTATAATGAAGCCCATATATGCTTGCCATGAAATTCTAACTTACAGTCCGAGGAGATGTCCATTTTGCATCTGAGAATTTGCCAGCCTTAGATAGATAGCAGCCCATCAATGTCTCAAATATTAAACCAGCTTATCACCCAACGATCATGGCATGTAAACCCCAAACCTATAGCTAGTTGCGATGGTGGCTTGATACGAATTTAGATAGAGGCGCTGATTGTGAAAACAAGATAAGCGCCTCAGCCTAGTTAACACTTACCGATGCTGCCTGAAAGAAAAATAATAAAATATTGGGCAATTCACGAGCATACTCGCTCAATATCGGAAGGGGAATGATGTAACGGGAAGAATTCCCTAGATTGGTTTCTTCATAGTGGCTATCATAGCGGACCCGCTTGCTGACACAAAGATAAGGGGGTGGACGGAACCCCAACATCGATCCTATCTAACCCCCAGGGATAAGAGGCCAGAACATGAGGTAACCAAAGATAAGGCTGCACTAGTATGCATGGCTATATAGATCGTATTTTAGCATCTCCGCGGAGATGGTTTTCTTCGATAAAGTTTTCAGGGGTGGGGCTCCTCCTAGCTAAGACGATAGCGGCCGTTTGGCGGAGGGAAGCACTAACCAGAAGCTAGGCTTTGTGCCCCCACTGTAGTTATATCCCGAAATATTCTCTCTGGATTCATACTGATTGGATTGCTACGGGTTGATATTTCGAGAGGTTTTTGCCTCTCCTACCTCTGTCTCATTGTTCTATCTAGTCACGTTATATCATACAACCATGCCCATTTTGCTCAATTGCCGAGTGTGGAAGTAATACATATGTGAGGGTATAAAATGTAGTGCAGATGAACCAAGAACACCAAATATGCGTACAAAGTTGTTAACTACCAGTCAATCCCACTAGGTGCCGTAGCACGCTTCCCTATTATTTCAACCTTAATATCAGTGACCTTCTTTCCCCTGAAGCTCCTATAGACCCTATCGACTTTCTCAAACGGATCCACTGCTTCTTCCCTCCTCACCTTCCACTTCTCCGTCCCAAGCAACGCATCAAGCTCTTCAACGGGCGGCAGCTTCAAGTATACCCAGCCATCATAGCGTTCCTCAACTGGAAAGGTTGCGACGCTGGTCGTCTCATCGCTTGTGCATCGCCCGGCTTGTTCCCCATTGAGCTCGAAATTTCGTTTACATAATGGGCAAGAGATCCAGTAAGTTCCGGCATCAGTGTCGCCAATGAAACCATCCGAGAGCACGAACGCGCGCTTGTGTGGACACATTTGCTGTGTTGCGTAGTATTTGCCCTTGATCTTGAAGATTGCGAGCTGTGTGTCGCCACGTTTAGCATTGGCAGACGATATCTCTGGCTTTTCTTCAGAGAAGTGATCGCTCTTGAGAATTGGCTGCCAAGAGACATGCGACCATTGGTGCCCCTTGAAATTCTCCGTGACAGAACCTTGTGGCCAGTACGTCGGCCTCTGTTGCCCACGCTCTTCAACGATCTCGACGGTATCCACAGTTTCTGGGGTGTTACTGAATTGCTCAAAGTGTTTGCGTCTTTCCGGATCCTTAATAGTTTCGGCCCACTCGCAGAAATAAGAGCTTACTAGCTCTTCCATTTGCCGCTCTAGTTCCGCACATATACCAAGCTTGTCATTAATAACAACCTCGCGGAGGTAGTCAATCCCGCCTGGAAGATTCTCAATCCACCGGGCGGTGCGTTGTAGTTTATCGGCTGTTCGTATGTAGAATATAAGATAACGGTCGAGAAGAGAAATGACTTCATCAGGTGGAACATCCTTTGCTAGTAGCTCTGAGTGCCGCGGCTTTGCCCCACCATTACCGCCGACAAAGACGTTGAATCCCTTTTCTGTGGCAATCAAACCAAAACTTGAACACGGTCAGTATCTATCGTCAAATAACAATGCAAAAACCTACTCCTTATTCTGCGCTTCCGCACATTCTCTCACACATCCCGAAACTCCGCCCTTGATTTTATGTGGCGACCGAATACTTTTGTAGCGCTGCTCAAGGCGAATTGCCATTCCAACGCTGTCACCAACTCCAAACCGACACCATGTAGTTCCTACACAGCTCTATAAATTTGTTAGTGAGGTGTCAGAATGGCATGGACAATATTTATAGCCACGAACCTTTACTGTTCGGAGAGATTTCGCATAAGCATGGCCGCTTTCCATTCCAGCATTGATAAGTTCGGTCCAAATATCGAGAAGATCTTGCTTCTTGGCACCAAACATGTCGATTCGCTGCCCACCAGTGATTTTGCAGTAAAGGTTGTATTTCTTTGCAACTTGGCCAATGGTTATTAACCTATCGGCCGTAATCTCTCCACCCGCAACGCGAGGGACGACGGAGAATGTTCCATTCCTCTGTATATTCGCAAGAAACCTGTCGTTTGTATCTTGGAGGTCACGGACTGGCTTATCCAGAACATGACGGTTGTACATGCTTGCGAGAATAGATCCGATAGCTGGCTTGCATATCTCACATCCTAGAGAATCTGGAACTTTACCTACTGCCTGCATTATGTCCACAAACGTTTTCAACTGCTTGACGGACACAATATTGTAGAGGTCGGCTCGGGAGTATGGGATGTGAGAACATACTGCATCTAGTTAGCCACATAAAAGGGAAGTACTCTGTAGAAACTTACAATGATTCGAAACTTCCTTGCCCATTTCTTTCATTGTGTTGTTGAAGATATATTGGATGAGAGGCATACAGCCACCGCATCCAGTCCCCGCCTTTGTGCATGATTTGACATCGGCGATTGTTTTGCAGCTCTCCTCCTTTACTTTATCAACCACGTCGCGTTTGGTAACGTTGTGGCATGAGCACACCTGAGTGTCATCGTCCCTGTAGTGATACAATCAGCAATGGCAGTGAGGTTGAGTATATGTTTTCATACAAGTCGTCAGCGTTCTCCTCTCCCCCGTTCTGGGTGCCGAGAATAAACTGGCTCGGTGGAACCTCCAGCTCTTTCTGACTTTTGACCATCTGGTTCAATTTCACATAATCATTGGTATCTCCAATCATCATTCCGCCAAGTAAGTATTTTCCATCCATGGTAAAAAGGTACTTCTTATACACAGCACTGAATGGATCTTTGTAAGTTAGAGCCTTCACCAAGGGACCCTTGGTTGGTGGAGTTGGGCTTCTTCTGCCATTTTCCACGGGTTTAAGCTTTGATGACCGTCTTCCAGGAAGAAACCTTGGTCCATCTCTGTCGGCGAAGAAGTCGCCGAAGCTCGCCACGTTCACGCCTAAGAGCTTGAGTTTTGTGCTCAAGTCAGGTCGATCGAAACCTTTCAGCGCCTTTTCTGGATTCGTGATGTTGAAGGATAATACGTCTGCCATCTCGATTCCAGGGGCTATAATGCCGAATGTTTGGTTCTCCCAAGATGCACACTCTCCGATGGCGTAGATATCAGGGATTGATGTTCGCAAGCTAGATTTAAGTTAGCCAGGTGTTTCTGCATAGCATAGCCGCAAATTATAATCACCCTGAATCGACAATGAAGCCTCCTCGTTCGGTACATCTTATGCCGGCCTTTTGACCAAGATCATCTCTGGGAGTTACACCGATCTGAATGGCAATTTAGTAACAAGCAGGAACAAGAACAGTATGTGAGGAACTTACTGCAAAACATATACATGAACAATCGATAGATTTGCCATCCTCGAATGTGATTCCCTGAACATTGTTGCTGCTGTCTGTATTGATGGTCGCTACACGCTTTCGAAGCATAACTTCCAGACCTAGTTGGCGAATGGTGTCCGTCACCAGGGATCCTGCGTCAGCATCCAATTGCCTTGCCAATACCCACTTGTTGCGGTCGATTAACTTCGCACTTTTGAATGCGTTCAGACTCATCATCGCATGAGCAGCTTCGAGGCCGAGCAAACCACCTCCGATAACAACACCTGTCGTGTCTTTATGCCTCGAGGCAAACTCCATGAGCCTCTGAAGGTCGGAGATTGTCCTGTAAACAAATACTCCATTGGCATTATAGCCGGGAGTATGGCTTGGAAGGATTGCATCGGATCCTGTTGCTAGGACTAAGATGTCGTATGAGACCGAATCACCGGTGGATGTTCTGACCGTCTTTTGGTCGGGAAGGACTTCTTCAACCCTGGTATTCAGGTGATAATTCAAAGAACCATCCTCGAATGACCCATACTTCAGAATGTATTAGCCATCATAAAATATTTGCTTGTACTCTTTTTTACTCACCCATTCTTTCGGGTTCAAATATAATTGCTCGACCACACGATGCTCGAAAAATGATGTGAGCCCGACTCGATTATAGGCCACATGGGGCTCTTCGCCAATAACGACAATATCATACTGTCGCTTTTTGGCATCTAATTTAATAATTTTCTCACTGCTCGGAATCAGTATTGGACAACGGAAATAAATTTACTGCTTCTCGAAATGCAAAGCCCTTGGTTTCGCACAATATATTCGTAGTGGGACAACATACATAAATGAGAGAGCAACCATGCCCAGCCCAACAATTACGATTTTCTTTCGTGGAGTGCATATTTCAATGTTTCCGTCGCTATGCACGGCGTCTCCAGCAATGTTGAAGCCGTTGCCGTTGTAAATGCTGTTTGGAATGTCTGGAAGGGTCGACGATTCCACCCCTGCTCCGCTCGGTAAATGCATTTTTCCGAACTGTGATATTAGCCTTCAGCGAGGCGAGCGACGTCAAATCTCAAAGTCAACTGCACAATATTTGCTAGCAGAACTTTCTATTATATGGTCTACTTTTCTGGTTTTCTTAGTAGAGACGAACATAGGTGACATCTCGGGCAATATTGTGGCAATTGCCCGTACTGGGCTTTCTCCGCGGGTGGACGACGGGACAGACTCTCCACGGGCCAGAGTAGATATCTACTTTGATTATTCTGTGTAAAACTTCCTTTGGATATGGGCGGGCAAAAGCAAAGAAGGTACAGCCTGGCAATCGGGAATGGGCTGCATCTCCGGCGATGGTTTTTTGGTATGGTCTCCCAAAGAATCTCTTATCATGAGCTTATCTGGACGTCAGGGGGCTAGGCCACAACTAATGAAGCCAAAGATAGACACCCGACGCTCCACATTTTCTGTTTTGACCTTATCTGAGTTAAATAAACCCCCACACATCGCTGCAGATAACTGGCCCATTTTTTGGCTGGTGTTTAAGATTTAGGCCAATGATTCCCACGTTGCGACGGCGGCTTCAGCTTATTGAGCCGGCCAATGTCGGGATGCTGATGTGACCCTTGCCGGTTTGACCCTTATCTTTGGTACAACTGAGAGATTGGGGCACAGTAATAGTTGACGACGAGAAATGTATAATTCCGCGGACTTGCCACTGGCTGAACAAGCCATTTACCTGAGTTTTTGCTTTGTATCCAAACCTGCCTGTCGATAGGGGGCTTACGGACTTTGCTGACCTAACTTGCAGCAAATCCCCCATGGTCCGCGGGAAGTCTGCGCTGAGCACGGCTGATGTGGAATACGGGACCGAGTATGACTTGGAGTATGACTTGGAGAATTGCAATGCGTCGTATATATACGTGGACATGATAATAATGGTAGTTGATCCACTACCACAATTTTCCTCAGTATGGCGACCCTCACAGAATCCCTCACTTTTGGGACACCCCTAAATGTGCACTCTCTGAAATCCGCCATTTTCACGATCACACGTGAAAAGGCATCTGCACTCAAACATGAAGATATATCGACAATTGCATTGCCGAATATTCCATTGCCCCCATTATCAAAGCCCCTCAGAGAAATCCTCAGTTTGGATAAGGACACTCCGGACCGCCACGTCCCTCGGGATCCGCGTTTAATCAGGTTGACTGGCGTGCATCCATTCAATGTAGAAGCACCGCTAACAGACCTCTTCAATGATGGTGGGTAAACCTCGAAATGCGGTTTTGTGGATGACGAGGTACTAAACAAGCTTAAGGCTTCCTGACAAGCTCGCAACTTTTCTACGTCAGAAATCATGGGTCGGTTCCAGAAGTCCAGGATTCTGAAATTCCCACCTGGGAGCTGAGTATTGATGGGTACACTACACCCTTCGAGTGCCTTGATTATTGGCAGCTGACGGAATGTACAGGTTGGTTGAGCACCCGATAACACTCACCTTCCGACAAATTTTGCAACAATTCGATCAGATAACTGCACCTGTCACCCTCGTGTGCGCTGGTAATAGGCGCAAGGAGCAGAACCAAGTGCGGAAGTCGAATGGGTTCTCATGGGGAGCGGCCGGCGTGTCGACTGCTCTTTTCACGGGACCTATGATGGCCGATATCATACGGAGGGCAAGACCATTACGAAGGGCTAGATACGTATGCATGGAGGGAGCCGATAAATTGGTACGACAGCTGTTATATGGCTTGGGTGCTAGTGGCTAATTCTCGTGTAGCCCAATGGATATTACGGAACGTCAGTAAAGCTGAATTGGGTGATGGACCCCAATAGAGGTATCATGCTTGCTCACAAAATGAACGGCGAACCGCTGCACCCTGATCACGGGCGTCCTCTAAGGGCAGTAATCCCGGGACAAATTGGCGGAAGGAGCGTCAAGTGGTTGACCAAATTGATCGTCACCGAATCTCCAAGCGATAATTGGTACCATATTTATGATAATCGAGTGCTACCGTGAGTCCGGCCCTATCCCCCGTTTGACTTTTGTAAACAGTAATTAACCACCTCATAGAACTATGGTTAGCCCTGAGATGGCAGCGAAAGACAAGTCCTGGTGGCAAGACGACAGATACGCTATTTACGACCTAAGTGTTAACTCGGCCACTGCATACCCTCAACACAATGAGGAATTGCCAATTACGACACTGGAGGCGACATATAATGCAAGAGGCTATGCATACGGTGGTGGTGGTCGACGAATTACACGGGTTGAGATATCGTTAGATGGTGGAAAATGTATGTCAATCACTCATGTGCATCTTCTCTAGCTGACTCAAGATCGACAGCTTGGAGACTGGCAGATATCGATTATCCGGAAGACAAATGTCGCGATTTTGATTCACAATTATACGGCGGTCGAGTGGATATGTACTCTCGAGAGGCTTGCTTCTGCTGGTGCCAATGGTCTCTCAATATACCAGTTTCCGATCTCGAGGCCAGCGATGCGATTCTCGTCCGGGCGATGGATGAAGCAATGAATATCCAACCTCGAGACATGTACTGGTCCGTTTTAGGGATGATGAACAACCCATGGTTTAGAGTTACTATCACTAAAAGCAACAGGGTCCTGAAGTTCGAACACCCAACACAGCCTGCTTTAATGCCCGGAGGATGGATGGAGCGTGTGAAGAAAGAAGGTGGGGATTTGACGAATGGATCATGGGGACAGAGGCCCAACGGAGAAGTGCGGGAGCCAACGATTGCAGAGGAAATCGATATGAGAGCAAAAGGGTTGAACAAAAGCATTGACATCGAAGAATTAAAGCATCATGGCGGTCCTGGGTCGCCTTGGTTTGTTGTGAATGGTGAAGTATATGACGGCACACGATTCCTGGGTGGCCATCCGGGTGGAGCCCAAAGCATAATATCGGCGGCTGCAATGGATGTTTCGGAGGAATTTCTTGCAATCCGTGAGTTGCCTCTTTATGGACATGGTGGTGTGTTACTGACCTATAAAAATAGACAGCGAGACCGCAAAAGCGATGATGAGCGAGTACCACGTTGGAACGCTAGATAAGGCCTCATTGGCAATCCTTAACAAAGAGCCAGACCAAGAGCTAAGTTCAGGGCCAACTGAGATATTCCTAAGGCCTAAATTTTGGACGAAAGCGAAGCTTTGCAAGAAAGTAGCAGTGTCAAGCGATACACGAATATTTTCCTTTGCATTGGATCATGACGAGCAATCGTTTGGTTTACCAACGGGTCAGCATGTCATGCTAAAAGCTGAAGATGATTCACCCCAGAAAACCAGCATTATCAGAGCATATACGCCAATATCACAGACGGGTAAGAAGGGGATAGTGGATGTACTTGTCAAAATATATTTCAGCACGCCTACTATGGAAGGCGGTAAGATGACAATGGCCCTTGAAAAACTTGCCATCGGGTCGTCTGTGGAGTTTAAAGGGCCTATTGGTAAATTCAAGTACCTCGGAAAGGGCAGAGTTTCCATCAACGATAAGGAACGCTCTGTACGATCATTCAAGATGATATGTGGCGGAAGCGGCATCACGCCCATCTTCCAAGTTTTACGTGCGGTTATTCAAGACCGCGATGATCCAACCACCTGCGTCCTCCTCGATGGAAACAAGAAAGAAGAAGATATCCTCTGCAAGGATGAGCTAGATTCCTTTGCAGCGGCCGACAGCAAGAGGTGTTCGATTATTCACACACTTACAGATGGTTCTAGTTCATGGTCTGGCCAAAGGGGCCGCATCTCGGCGCAGAATCTGAAAGACTATGCCTCTCCGACTGAGACATGTATGGTGCTGATCTGTGGACCGAAGGCGATGGAGCAATCTGTTCACAAGATCTTGCTACAACTTGGGTGGGATGAGTCGGATGTTGTCTTTTTCTAGCATGGGAAATAATGGACCAACAATGTCACATTTGTTTAATAGGCGAATATCCCCGTGGGGCAAAATAATGAATTTTTAATAGGCACACCGAATTGACGCTTGAATATCGGCATACATTTGTGATACAGGCTCTCTAATTGCAGACATGGAGTGGACTAGTGGCCGGGTACCGCTCCCGCAGCCCATCGAAAGCCGAGTGGCTCCGAGTGGCTCCGGCTTTCGATGGGCTGCGGGAGCGGTACCCGGCCACTAGTCCACTCCATGTCTATCCAAGGTCGATGTTGATATAGCAAGGTATAAGAACAGCCCGCCTCATGGGTTCAGAAGGTCATGATTATGTGGCCAGAAATAAACCTTACAGTTATAAAGATGTAGAATCGTTAGACCAAGGCAGATTGTTAAGTTCGGGATAGACTCGAGATAAAATCAACGATTAAATAAACGCTAGGCTGCGTGAAGATATATTCACCTGGAGGCCCTTTCCCTTTGGAGGCCCTGTCTCCGGCCCTCCATACATATTCAGAATGCGGGGAAGGGCGGCGGCCCTATGTCCAGCGGGAGAAGGAAGGAGCGCTCATAGTAGCTCGAGAATTTAGAAAAAGAGGCAGGAGCGACTGCCACAAAACTAAGCCACCCTAAGCCACCTTTGGTAAGCTGATTTCTAGATATTCGTATGACAGTATCAGCTGTACGGAAATTATACATTTGCGAAATACATCTCAGCTTCATCCCTGATCTGATACACGTTTCCATTAGAATGCGCGAACTTTTCATTGTTATAACGCGTCGAGGTCTTTTAAGGTGGCTGGGGTTGGTATAATTTTGGTAGGGCTTAGCGCGCCAAGCCCAGGTACAGTAGCGCAACGAACATCTCTGGGAACACCGTTAGGACTCACGTAAATCAGAGTCTTAATTATCTCAGTTAATTGTAATAAATTTTCACGGATCTTTTACCGTATTTCCACTGAATAGCGCGGTCTGAATACCATAACCCCTGCATTGTGGTGGGGTTTTGACGTTTGTCCAACGCGACGTGAGACCTGGGTGGTTGCGTCCAACGCGACGTGAGACCTGGGTGGTTGGTTATCGCGTCGCCAGCCACCTCGCCAGCGGCTGCCCCAGCCCTTCCCAGCCTTCCAACGCCACATCATAATTTGACGTATATACCTCTGACCTGCAGTAGCTGCGGGAAGATGCGCATCTTGCATCAAGCAATAGCAGCTCGCAGCTACTCACCGATCAATTGAGCAATCATGAATTCTCGAAGAGTTGACGTTCGCTCTGTGCAGTGTAAGTTCGCTGAAGGCTACGGCTGATGGTGGCACAATGGGAGGACCAAGGCTGACAATGACCACGATAGACAAAGAACTTTTAGTCGAAAGAGCGAATGAAAAATATTCTAAGGATAGATACAGTGCTGAGGATTTACATACGGACGACGAAGATGCCTTCGATATATCAAGCAACCCCAGCGCCGAAACAGTTCTTCTACCTGACGCCCCAATCAATCCACGGACGCAGGACCAGGTCAGCCAACGCTCTTATTCTGAGGCCCTGGAAACACTCACCGCGAAATTCCCACGGACTCCACGGACTACACCGCTAGCGAGCCGCTATGTGACCATGCCTCCTGCTGCACGGATGAGTTCGAATATCGGGACGAGAGTGATGAGGCCGTCCATGCAGTCGACGCAACCGCCGCAATTTACCTACTCGGGACCACCAACGCCAACGAACGATGACATGCCTTACCTCCGATATGCAATTGATCAGATTACAAGAGAAGACGATACGAGGAGCTCAACCCTGAGAGGGACAAGCGGGGACAGCAGCTCTTCGTACCCAAGGTTCCCTGAGCGAAGCCTCAAGCAAGACTACGTTAGACCCAAATATGATGACGAGCCCGACTACAATAGTGGACCTGGTCCCGATATTGGGTCGAAAGAAGATGTAAAATCTATGGCCCCGCAACCAACAGCCAAGTACAACCCGAAAGACTCGTTGGCTAGTCTCGCCTTGCCAACATCCGGATCTGAGCTGTACCTCGCCGCTGAACCTCCAGTACACACTGCACGGTACCCAGCACTCAACTTTGTGCCAAAAACTCTACGGACCTACAGTCTTGCCGTTTTGGTGTTGCTATGCATCTCCACAATACTTGGCTTAGGCCTCTGCATCGAATTCGCAGACGGTCTTTGGGCCCACAGTGGTTCCTTCGACGCGAAGTACTTCACATTCCGCTTCCTCCCTCAGATTATCGCCGCCTCTCTATTCCTCTGGCTTGAAGGCGTCATGGCGGCCGTCGGACGCATTGTCCCCTACGTTCAGATGACATCCGAGAACCATCAAGCTCGCCAACAGTCCCTGTTTCTGCCTTTCCAGCCCACGACCCTCCTCAGCCCACGATTCAGCTACTTCTCCTCCGACCAAATCCACCTCGGAGTGTGCAGCGTGCTCATCTGGCCGGCTGTTCTTACCATCCCCCTCGCCAGCTGCCTTTTCACTGTTACAAACATCGACGGACTCTGGAAATACAGCACCGTGACAAGTATCGCCGGTTTCCTCATCGCCATTTACATCTTAATTGTGCTCGGCCTCGTTGGGATCATCCTCAATTTCGTCCGCCGCGAGACCGGCCTGCTCTGGGACCCACGATCTCTCGCTGATGTCATCGCGCTGCTCTCCCGAAGCAACTGCATGGATGACTATGAGGGCGCCGAGGACGCATCAGATCTACCCGAGCTGCGTGAGAAACTTGGGCATCGCGCTGATCGCCTGGGGTACTGGCGCACTACAAACCCTACCCAAGACATTTTCTACTGTATCGGCGAGGAAGGCGCACCGCTCCGCCGACACGGCATGAACCGCGGCCGTGCCGAGCCATCAATTAATGAGAAGACCCGTTACAGCGGCGACACCGAGGCGCAGATGTTGACCACCCGTGCAACCTACATTCCATGGTACTTGAGGCGCTCGGCCCTGTTGCTCTGGCCCGTTATCTTTGGTGTTCTACTTGTCGCTGTCTTCATCGTCAGCTTCCTCCCATTGATAGCCCTCAGCTCCGGATTCCGCCCGCAACTTTCCTCCACTCCTAACAAGGCACACTTCATCCCCTCGTCGTTCTTCTATTCCTTCATCCCATCTACCATTGGTCTCGTTCTTTACGGAGCCCTGAGGCCCATGGCATACTCCATCGCCCGCCTGACACCCTGGTCTGAACTCGCCCGCACCTACGGTACTCGAGCTCTACCCTCGCTCCTCGCAGATTATAGCGCGAGCTCCAGTGTTCCATTTGCTGGTCTCTCGCTAGCGATTGAGAACGGACATTGGCTTGTCGCGCTTCTGGCTGTTGTGCACCCGCTCATGATGCTGCTACCGATACTCGGTGGTGGGATGTTTGCGGCATATACGACGTTCCCATCGCAGACTCTATTGGTTCTCACAGATATGGCAGCGTTCTATGTCATTCTTGCGACCCTGATTGGGTATTTCATCGCGCTGCTGGCTGTGGCGCTTGCGCTCGTACCGTGGGAGGCACAGGAGAAGCTGAAGCTTCCAAGCAGCATGAGCTGCTTGGCAGAGGTAGTTAGCGTGATTGGACAAAGCGGGTTGAGGAGCGATGCCGCATTCCGTGCTGTCCGCGGGCGCACGGATTTACGAACAAGGCTGGTGGGAGCGAGAGAGAGAGGAAGAGGGGAAGTGAAGTATTTCTGTGGGGAGTGGAGGGAAGGCGGGAGAGTCGGGTGGGGAGTGGAGAGAATGGGAAGATCTGAGAGATCTTGAGTGGGGAGCCAGTGGGCTGCCCTTGATGTGTTACGGTATGGAACGACGAGAATCTGCAAGATGTTTGATACGATATGGAGCGACGATACATTGCAAGGTGTGGGTGGGTGCGACTCACCACGGATTTACGGATCACAAAACCGAGGCAGCACATGGCGTTACGATCGACGGAGTTACCAATTTTACGGCGGCATGATTTACGGAGTTGATGATTTACGACACTAATGAGATACGGAGTTACGAGTTACGGCTTTATAATTTATGATTTTACGATTTACGGGGTTATGGTTTAGATGGAGACGGAGTTATGAGATATGGCGTTATGATCAAAAGAGGCACGGAGTTCGGAGGTTTGGACTACTGGAAATATACCTTGCGAGGTAGTGAGTACTGGAGGCGCTGGATATGTTTCTATGAGTAGAGATGAGCATTACTTTAGTGGAGAGCACATGCTATATAGCCACAAGCCATATAGATAATGGATTTGAATGGAAGAGCTATTCTCTCGTATCTCTTGCTCCCCCATAATAATTCTACAATACAGTGAGAACTATGTCGGAAATGTACGGTGCTAAAGTTATATCGAAATAAAGACAGTGCCAACACTTTCTCAATCCCTTCCCCTTGCTCCTATATCCACCCTATTTCCCATTCCCTTGTTATACGCCTCCGCCTGGCAAGACGTGGACGAGGCCGTAAATAATAGTTCCTATCAATTTATACCACAGATCCATCTGGTGATCAACGAAGTAACAACACACTCCCGATTGGGTTGTTGCTTCCGCAGACCACGACCGAACCATGCAGCCGCCTAAATGAGGCGACGAGGTGAAATATGTCCATCTCCCGCTGCAACGCCTCTACATCACGCGTAATCATCCGCAGCGTATCACTTTCGCCTAAACCATTATCACTCTCATTCAGCATCTCTTCATTCCTTAGGCCACTACCAAGAAGTGCACGTTGGGCAATTGCTACGCGCGCATCGAATCGTCGCTCAACTTCTTCCGCAATCATCTTCTCAAACAGCTCTAGGCGTACATTGTCGGCATGCAGGCTTACTTGTACGCTTAGTTTGAGACTTTTCCACGACAGCGGCGTTCGGGTATATGTCCGATGGGGTATCTGTCGTGGGACGGCGGAATACATTGGGAGTGATGTTGGACAAGCGTCTGGGCCGTCAGTAGTGCGGTGAGAAGACTCGTTGGGCGTTGGGGAGTGAATTCGGGGTGGGGTTAAGACGGAGTCATCGAGCATCGAGGTTGGTGTTGAGGGAGCGTCTGAGCTCTCTTCGGAAGAGTAAATGGACTCTTCTAATACTGGGAGCGCGAGCTGGGGAGCATTTGCACTTCTAGCAGCGGAATGGACTGGCTCATTGGATTCCCGGGGTTCAACTGGGTGATTGCTCGTGATTCCATCACTATCGTAGGTGGGCTGATAGGAGTAGCCGCCGTGGTCGTTTTTGTAGCCAAGATCATCGTCATATGGTGCTTGTGAGGTTGTGGGGAGAGACTGTAATGCTTCTGTAGATAAGCCTTCTTGTCTTGAAGAGCCACTAACTGAGTCAGAATAGTCCATGTTGGCTGCCGGGCATATGGCTCGGGCTGGCTCCATTATGTGTTGCAGAAATGCTGATATTGAGGAAGGAGCAACGGCTAAGACAATATATGGAAGGGGCGACGGCTAGGATGATTTTTGGAAGGAGCAACGGTTAAGACCATATATGGAAGGAGCGACGACTACAATGCTATATGGTAACAGCAACGGTGGTATACGGAAGGAGCGAAAGGCTGATATGTGGAAGGAGCACACGTATGATATCTGGAAGGAGCGAACAGGTCATATACAGGCGTAGTGAAGTGAGAAGTGGTCCCACCCGCTACGAAGCACTGGTGTAGTTTTTAAGTTTACGTGGCCTTGAACTAACAGCTAGGCTGATACAAAGATTGGATAACATGGGGATAAGATTATTATTTGGCAGGGGAATAGTCTAAAATATTCTATTGGGGTGTTCACAGAGTAGTGGCTATTTTGGCCCATGGTAATGAGGAGTTCACTACCAAGCTTTAGTTTCGATATAGCACCCATATCACACTATCATACCAAGTTCGAATAAAATGAAAATAAAGCATATCTCTCATACTACTACCGCAATAATAGTAATTTATGAACCTAGAACTCAAGTGACCGCATTGAAACAACCCATCGTACATTCTCCACGACATGGCAGATAGGCCGTCAAACTCCGATCATGCTAGATGAGTCGTGTTGAACAAACGGTTACCTGTATCGGTCTCTCCGCTACCTCTAAACTGGTTTTTAGACAGGCGAAGAGCAACAAGACTGATATTTCCATAGCTGGCTAGATTCGACGCCGTTTCTCCAGAGATGAACTTGTCTTGAACGACATTGGCAACAACAACGATGCGGATAGTGGCATGCAACTTTCGCACGTGTTCTATGAACTCCAAAATAGTTTTACCGGTGTTGATGACCGAGTCGATGAGGATGATGCTATGTTGCTGCTCTACATGATGGAGTTTGAGGTCCTCGGGCTGGCTCGCATGCACCAACATTGCGAGAGGAAAAACTTCGTTGATACCCTCGGCCATAGGTGCTCCGCCGCGCATCAAAGGCACAATTGTCATCCTTTTCTCGCCTTCCAGGCGATGACCCTTCGTATGTCCGCCTTGAACGTGTGGGATCTTGTAGCTCTCGAGTCCAATAACCTTGCTAATGAACTCGACAGCTAAGTACCACCCAATGCGGCGATGAGCTCTCTTGAGGGCCGGGCCTGCAACAGTTGCATCACGCGTCTGAGTTGTGAGCAGGGCGGCTGCGCTGCTATTGGTTGCATGGATGAACTGGAAATCGGAATTGCACAGGATTGCCTCTATATCGGCCTGTGAGAGTTGTATAAGCGGGAGCTTGACCGAATCCAACCGTGGGGTTGCTGTGCTCGGCAACACGAGTTGACTGGCAGTCAAACCCTCGGTTTTTATAGCATCCCTCAAAGCAGCTTCCATGGACTTGCTCCTGGAGTCCTCATCGCCGACAACAACTATGGCCCGGTCTGCCTGGATTAACATTGGCAAATCCAACGGACTGTCTCCAAATGCGCACACTTCTGCCTGGTATGCGTCCCGGATGTGATCAACCAACTCTGCTTTGAGCTCCGCAGTCACCACGAATCCATCTGAAATCTGTCCTCCACCTATAACTGCCACGGAGTCGGCCAGACCTTCTCTCTCAAGAACTTTCTCCCAGACATGTCCTAGACCACAGGTTATGACCACAGCGCCGACATGATCAAGCTCTGCCGCTTGGTGTAACAGAGATACAAACTCGGGATACATAGTCACCCCCAAGGCTACCTCGTCACATATGCCATCGAATGCTCCGTCATTAGCGGCTTCTTCGTAGAGCAACGTGGCCTGCCGAAAGGAATGATACGAGTAGCCACTAGAGCCGCCGAACAATTCTTTCAGAGGGTTTTTTGCCCCTGTCGATGCCCCATGGTTGGAGACTTTTTCCCAGAACATATCGGCAACGTCTTGCGGAGCCAACGTCTTGTCCGCGTCCATAACCAACATTTTCTTGACTCGACCATCGCGAGTGGCGTCACTGTCCATAGCCTCTCCCAGCCTGGTCATCGCGTTGTTCCGGTTAACATGCTCATTGTGACGGCCGAGATCGGAGACCAACCTCATGAGTCTGACTGAGAACATCTCTTCGGACTCCACGTTGTTGCCTCGAGATATTGCACAGAAGTGAATACCATGGACGCGACAAAATGTACGCAGCATGTTTTCCTCCTGTTTCTGCCACTTCTCCAAGTGTTCAAGTGGCACGATATCACGGTTTCTCTCCCAGTCGCCCAAGCGGTGTTGTTGAATAACCTCGGGGTCAATTCTCAAGTACAGTATATGCGAATATATCTCAAGATCTTTCGGTGTAATCACAATGATTTCGGAATCCTCTTTTTCGTCCCAGAACGTGGCATGCCCCGCCACTACCCCATTAGTTCTGCCGATTGTGCATTCGTGTTTAATGGAGCAGATGGCTTTCTCGCGCAACTTCACTTTATGCTCCTCTGGCAACTTCTTGAATGCGAGAAGGCCACCGGGAACGAGAGAGTTAATCACCGAAGATCCCTCAAAAAATTTAAACGGGGTGGTTCCTTGTAACTGAGAGTGAACCTGGAGCATGGAAAGATAATGAGATTTCCCAGCGCCAGGTATACCATACAGTCCAATGATATTCGGGGTGAAACCCTCAAGCGTGCAAATGAATCCATCAGAAGATCCTTCTGTCTCGGCATTCGTGATATCAGCCATGGTGTTGGAAAAGTGCTTGATACAGAGTGAAATCTAACGTCGGTATCGTGGGAACGATACGAGAAAAAGGTTGGTTGAGAAGGACCCAAATAAGGATTTAATCCTTTCTTTATATATGGTTTTAGAGGCATGTATAATGGCGACCAGGAGAAAACGCGGTTTGCTTTGAGCCATTTTGTGTTTGATGAAATGGGGTAACTAGTCTCGATGGAAACATTTTCAGACTGCACGAGGGTAAGGGATTCCTCTTTGATGATGTGAAAAGTAAATCCAACTTAGAAAAGATTGCTCAAAGAAAAACCTACCTAGCAATATCCTTCGCAGGGAAAACAATACTAACAAGCTCCTTCTTCGCCTCTTTTGCGATTTCTAGCTCACGTTTGGCACAAACACAATCACCAGAAGCCTCGAGGCAACAAACCGCTGCTGGTATGAAAAACCTACCTTACGTTGTAATGTCGCTAACTAAGCATATCGTGGAGCTTGTTATCAAGAGACAGTAGACACGGTGATTGCCAGCATCAGCGATGGCGACGATGAAGCTGAGACGATGACGGCGATTGCGGCGGGGCAAGCAACATTGGCGTCTCCGTTGCCCCGTTCACCTTATGGACGTAAACTCAAGAAGGGGCAATCCTTCACAGATAGCTCCTTTACAGCCTTTCGTAGTTGGCTTGGCCATAATAATGGAAAGTATTAACGGCTGCGCATATAGTGTTGAAGGCTTAGCTATCACTCATTGGTATTATTTCCCCGCGACTGACAAACCACAGATGTCCGAGACAGCGATGTCGTGAAAATAAGAGTGATAATGGAAATGTTTGTCAGCTTCGTCGTACCCACTGTCATGCCCAGGCTGCCGCCCAAAATCTCCCCCGTCGTCGTCGTCGCGGACCAACTTCCTTTGGTTATAGGGTATTGTAAGAGCGCCTGGCTGGACAGGGCACTGGGAAGTCAAGTTAAGGATCGGTAGATAGAAGACTCTGTGCTCATTACGAAGACTGACCCTCCCGTGCTGCTCGTGACAGGTATGGCGGCTAAACATCAGCCCCCGTCCCCTTTGAAATCCACATTCCATCACTCGCTATTGCCGTAGTACAATCGTGAATGGATACAGGCTTGACCGATCGATGCGGTCCCATGAAGTCCTCCCATGCCCCATGCCCCATGCCGCCCAGTGTTTCTCTCGCCTATGCCGCACTGTTATTGGAAATCGAGCGATACTGAGACAGTACGACACAATGGTCGTCGGTAGCTGGTAGCTGGCATTTGAGGCATAAAATCCTTTTCAATATCTGTGGAAAATACTCTAGACTGACCCACAGCTACACTACACTTATTTTACGGAATAAATGGAGCAACTACGATAAAGTTACATGGTATACTCCAAGGGCTAGAGAATGCATACGGACGTAGGCCATGAGCCGCGTCGCCTCTTCGTGACCTTGAACCCCCCCCCCAAATCCCCGGGGTGTCATGTCATGTCTCTACTGCAACTCCGCCAAATTTTACTACTTTGGGCTATATCAGATATTTATATCTGTCGTTGTGTCCTCGTCACACACCTTCTATTCGGGGCAACCTTCTTCCAAATATACGCGTCCTCCTTGCTTTCGCACGTCGATTGCTGTATATAAATCTTTCACTTTTGCCATATTCCCTGTTCTCACTATTCTCAACCACAGTTGCATATCCACAAACTAATAAACAACCCCAATCATGGCTGCATCTTCTGAGCACTTCCAAGGGTGGCCAAATGAAGCCGCTGTAAGTTCTATTCTTTTATATCAGAGGATGCAACACCCATCTGATTAAGGCTCCCCATCTAATAAATACCAGTTCCAGGCCGATGGCTACCAACATACTCCAGTTAAACTGTCTGTAAAAGGCTTTATTCCTTCCTACGTTGCCGGTACTCTATACCGAACCGGTCCGTCTCAGTATATTGTCAAAGACACCCCAAAGAGTGATTTTAAAATCGACCACTGGTTTGATGGGTTTTCCTCGGTCCATCGGTTTGAGCTTACCCCTTCAACTGATGGCTCGGTGGAGGCTACCTACAACTCACGCCAAAATGTAGACACCTTGGTCGAGAAAATCCGCTCCACACTGGGAATTACGACCAATTAACCTTCGGCCAGAAGCGGGACCCATGCGATGGCCTCTTTAAAAAGATGAAGAGCGTATTCACAGCAGCAAGGGGCCCGTCTCCTGAAGAGAACAATATTGGAGTCACTATTGCCCCAAATGTGCCCGGGATAAACGGAAAATCAAGTGACGGAAAGTCGCGGTTCAAGACTCTCAGCGCGTTTACTGACAATGCTTCGTACAAGCAATTTGACCCTGAGACTCTTGAGCCCCTTGGAGTCGCCAGCCAGGGCTCCCTTCATCCTGCCCTCGCCGGACCACTTAGCGCAGCCCATGCAAACTACGACCCTGTCAATGGAGATGTGCTAAACCATAACCTGACCTTTGGCCTGAACTCCGTCTACCGCGTCTTCAAAACTATTGGCAGGCTGAAAACCGAGCTCGTTCATGAAACCAACCCTGTGCAACTTGGCGCTTTGAGCTCAAGGTGTCTCCCACTTCGCGCGCTCTTTTATTGCTCCTCTCAACGCGGGAGAGATGTCCCCTCTCTGCAAGATCTAGTTCGTCGGCGGCCCGCTTGCGCAACTCGTCACACATCTGGTTTATATAGGTAGTCTTGATCATACCCACGTCCTGGTGCCGTCCGGCATGTCTTATATAATCCCTGGCTCGTCTTGAAACGTGTTGACAGCACACACATACCTCTTCGCACTGGACGTCTGCATCGAAGTTAACAGCCCCGCTTGAAGGAGGAAGACAAAGGCCTACATTGCTCAAAATGCCTCCGAAGCCTCTGCCGGGTTTTGAAGAATTCGTTTCTATCGCAATCTTTAAGAGGACAATTAAATGTTTTACCACCGCAATCATGCTTCTTCATATACATCTGGGTCGTGGTCGTCGCTATCTTGATCATCGTCATTTGCTTTCGAGTGGGACCCGTATAATTTCAGTTGAGCGGACAAATATCCTTCGAGAGACTCGAGAAAGTCAGTTCTGTACCTACAGGTAACTGAATACTAACTCGATATTCGTCAAGGTGAGCACGAAATGCATCGCTCCTCAGAAAGAAAGCAGAGCAGGGACATTGTAGCCGCATATCGTTCGACATGCTGAGGGCGATGAGACGAGAAAGGGAAGGAAGTGGAGTCCTCTGGGTAATCCGATCTTCAAATCTCAGTCCACCCGTCCAGCCAACTAAAATCCATAAAGATAATAATTAGCCGAAGTTGGCAAATGCGGCAGATTTGAAATTATTTAAGGGCAAAAACTCCATAATCGTCGGTGTTCGCACCGACCATCTTACAGGTGGTCGGCGAAAGCGAAGTGCATCCGGAAAGCGAAATTGCATCCCGCCAGCCAGATATCATCAGTATGTAGAATCTAATATAACCACTATCTAACCCTAACCCTAACCCTTTTAAAGTGAAAATAGCGTCAGTTTTATTTAATAATTTAATCACTTAATTGGTTGTATAACTTAGTTGTTTAGATAGTGGTTATATTAGATTCTACATACTGATGATATCTGGCTGGCGGGATGCAATTTCGCTTTCCGGATGCACTTCGCTTTCGCCGACCACCTGTAAGATGGTCGGTGCGAACACCGACGATTATAACGGTGCTTTACTGTACCATGTCCGAGGTACCCCACCATACGACAAGGATCTCCCCCATCCTCAACCTCACCCCACGACAACGTCAGCTAGAACAATGCAATCCAGTCGTCTAGTCGCCCGCTCTCTCCAGCTCCAGAACCACATTCGGCATGCTCCCTCATCCACTTCACAAGAGCCAATAAACACCACAATGGCGACGCCTACTGCCGCCTCCCCGGCACTCCCAGAAAGACGGGCTCTCAAAATCCTTATGCTCCACGGTACATACTACCCCCCCACCTCTTCGCGCCCTCCTGACACATAGTAGGGTACACCCAATCTGGCGCCTCCTTCCACGCGAAAACACGCGCCCTGGAAAAGGCCCTCGACAAGGCCTTCCCCGCCATCCCCGGCACCCCAAACGCCGGCGCCCCTCCTCCAGGCTCCCTCGCCAAGTACCCCGGCGGAATCCGCCTCATCTACCCCACCGGACCACACCGCCTGCGCCCGTCACAGATCCCGGGATATGTGAGCGCAACTACTACATCCCAGGGCGGGCCGATCGCGGCAGGCGCAGCGGCTGATGACGAGGACGACGTGGATGCGTGGGCGTGGTGGCGCCGCGATGATCGCACAGGGACATATACGGGCCTCGATGAGGGTGTGGACCGGATTGCGGAGACTATATGCGAAGTTGGTGGCGTGGACGCTGTGATGGGATTCTCGCAGGGAGGGGCCGCTGCGGCTATGGTTGCGGCGCTGTTGGAGCCGGGGAGGAAGGAGAAGATGGCAAAGGCTGGGGGGTGGAAGTTCCCTGCTTCGTTTGAAGATCTGGAGTGCGCGCCGTTGAAGTTTGGGGTTGTGTATTCGGGGTTCTTTGCGCCGCATGACGATTATAAGGGGCTTTATGAGGCGTGCGAGGGGATAACGAAGACGCTGCATTATATCGGAGGGTTGGACATAGTTGTCGAGGAGAGTAGGTCGAGGGGCTTGGTGGATAGGGTTGGAGGAGATGTGGTTGTGCATCCAGGAGGTCACTTTGTGCCAATTGGGAAGGAGTGGGTAGCGGCTTTGGTGGGGTTTATCAGGCAGGCTATTGAGGGTGGCGGAGTTTCAAAGAGGGAGGAGGATGCGAACATCGAAGATATGGATGTTCCATTTTGAGAGGGGAATCAGTGGAAGATAGAACCGATTGATGAGAAATATGGGATACATGGAAGACGGCATAGATATAGACGTTCACGCTGACATATACCAAAGATAGATTCCTGGAATCGTAAGAACCGTTTGGTCTGGCTATTATATAGTACACCATATCACGCCTCCCAATTCACCGTCCCAATACCCGTCTAAGTTGACTTCTCCCCTTTCGGTGCAATCCTGGCCATCATCTCCTCCTTCGTGATCAAGTGGTCGATCCTCTCCAGCAGCCCAAGCAAGCTCTTCATGTTCCCACTCCACTCGTTCAGCACATCATCCGCATCCCTCTTCTTCTCAAAGCTGACCAGTCGTGCTGGACGGTCAATCTTGGCAAATACCGTCTTGGCAGTCACGAGCTCGCTGATGTACTGCTCAGTTTCCTCCTCCGTCAGGTCCAGCAACTGGGTCAGTCGGCCCATTTGGATACGCGTATAGTATTTCGCGACGACGCGGACGTTGTGCTCGATAACGCGTTTGCGCAGCTCATTCCAGCGGTATTTCGCATCCTCCGAATTTTGATCAAAGACGTCCGTAGCGCACAGGTGCGGTACGAAGTGCTTCTCTACCTCGGGCCAGCGCATCAGCTCGTGGATCGTGAAGAGCTTGAGGAGCTCGGCCTCGACGGGGATTTGGGTATTGCGGGTGTCGGAATGGATGTGGTGAAGGAGATCGGACTGCTCGTTGTCGTATGGAGCGAGGATCACGTAGTAGATAACGCGCTGGAGGGTCTGGGACAAGTTAGTAATATTTCGCTCAGCAAGTCCGTGGAACTTACTGCGTGCAGCTTCTCTGGGTCGTCCTCTACTGCCTGGGTATCAAGAACCTGTCTATAGTCCTTGCAAGCATCGAGATACTTCTTGTCGTGCTTCGCCAAGATAATCTGTTGCTCGTAATACCTCAACTTCAGGTCTGTGACATCATCCTCCTTAACCCCCGGCACATCCTCGCCCCTGTTTCTCCTCTTCTCGCGCTCCTTGGCCTCCTTATCCAACTGCTCTGGTGTCTTCGGGATCTGTCGCGCAAGGTATTTCGTGCTGATCTTCCTGCTGAGAATACCAGCTTGTGTCCAGTCGTCATTCTCTATGCATAATGCGACCTGTTCGAGGATAAATTCCGTCTTCTCCCTTCGCTCCATTGACCCGAATGTCTCGACCTGCAACTCGCACAGGATGTCCGCCGCAGACTTGAGGTCGCCCTGCTCCTTCTTGATGTCCGAGAGAACCTTTGTGACACGAGCCCGCTCCACCTCGACGAAAATCTTCCCCTCAGTCACCGTCCGGAGTGTCTCGATAACCGATAATTTCGTCTCGAGATCTGGCGTCTCGTCTAGGAAGCTCATCACGACCTGCACCATCTTTGTAATCGCCTGCTTGAGTTGTCCATGCTTCTTCGACAGCAGAGAGACCTGCTCGTTCACCAGGTTCCAGTCCCCCGAATCTTTGCTTAGTGTGACTATCTTGACAATAACTCGCGAGGTGGAAGCAAGATCTGACGACTATATGTTTGTTAGTGAATGGTGCTACAAACGTAAGGCAAGGCTGTCTACCTGTCTCGTTTGCTTCTCCAGCGCCGTCAGCTTTTCAATAGCTGCCTGTATGTTCGTCTATAGAGCAAAGTTAGATACAATCAAGGATATCGTAGATACTGGCGGCATACCTTGGCCAGCTCTTCTGCCTCTGGAAGCTGTTTGTCGACGTCGGCCGAGTGGTCCTTGTCGGGCCTCATAACAGCTTCCCCGGACATCTTTGCGGGTGAGGAGAGTAACCTGAGGTGTCACAAGTACGATTGAGGTGAGGTATCGGAATAAGAGCGATAAATAGATTGGTATATCGCAATGTGTGAGGTTTGGAGAAGCTCTTGTTGATGGTACGTACTCAGAGCGCAACTTGGAATATTGAACGCGGCGAGAGCTTCTCAGCACAGACCATTCGCGACAGTAGTAATTAAGTCACGTGAGTACATTTTGATTACTAAGCATCACCAAAGCATAACGTACTTGACAAGCGAGTCGTATTTGCATGCGAGTCGTATCGCAACACACCAAATCTGCACTTTACGGACACTAATGACTATAATGGCTCACCCACAGAACACTCCGGCTAGTCAGATTGAAGGCCGAATTGATTTAGCTATTCAGGCCTTCCATCAAGGCTATTTTAGCAACCTTAAAGCGGCTTGTACAACCTACGATGTGCCATACACAACTGTCCGCGACCGCGTTAACGGACGCGTTGCTCGACGCGATTTACAACCCGCAAACAAAAAACTTAGCAACACAGAGGAGTCAACACTTGTCGAATGGATATTATCTATGGAGAAACGAGGTCTACCCCTTAGATCTGAATCTGTACGGCAAATGGCAAATCTATTACTCCAAAAATGGTCTGACGCGTGTAATGGTGGGTGCACCAGATGTGAGAATCTAGCCACCCAAGGAAGGGATGATTCTACTAAGACAACACACTGTCTTAGAAAACAGAGCCAAAGGGTCGTAGCTTAGACTATTCCACAACGCAGCAATCAGGTGTGTGATGTAGTGAAGTGGTTCAGACAAGTTGCAACAAATGTTGAGTCTGGGAACTCAGGGGTAAGTCAGAGGTTAACACCTCACTGACTTTTCAGAAACAAGGAGTAACAAGATGAATGCTTGGAAGCTTGTAAAAGACGTGGAAGTATGTGATAGTCTATTTACTGTATTGCCTGCTTGCCCTTTCTTAAGGAAAGGGCAATCCTATTTATGCCAAAGGAGTGTAGTTCTCTCATTTTCCAAGACTTTCCATGACTTACCAGGCTTGGTAACTGTAGTCGACGTAAGAGAATCCCATAGAACCATCTCTTAGGTTCATAGCCTATAGGAAGTAAAAGGAGGTCCAAGGTCAGAGTACCCCTATAGACAAATTATGTCATAGACAAATTATGTCATAACTTAACCAATCTTGTGGGTAACTAAAGAGCGATGACATGTAATGAATCATAGAGGTTCGTAGGAGCTTTTAGAGCTATCGTTCATGCTCCTAGGCCTCTAGTTGGTAGAGATATGTCATGTGGTAGTATGAGTGATGTCATGTAATGAATCATAGAGGGTTGTAGAGATATGCTATGTGGTAATATCGGCCCAGTAACTAAGGAGCGATGACGTGTAATGAATCATAGATGGTTGTAGCAATCGTTGAGTAGTATTGCTCTTGTTGTTGGTGTGATAAGCCAAAATATGTATAGTGACTTGTAGGTTTGAGGAGGAGATTTCCAAGTTTGCTCTTGAGTTTGATCGCAAACTGAGTTCAACGAATGTCAGTATGACAGGTTACTGGGCTAATACTACCACATGACATATCTCTACCAACTAGAGAGGCCTAGGAACATGAACGATAGCTCCAAAAGCTTCTACAACCCTCTATGATTCATTAAATGTCATCACTCCTTAGTTACCCACAAGATTGGTTAAGTTATAACATAATTTGTCTATGACATAATTTGTCTATAGGGGTACTCTGACCTTGGACCTCCTTTTACTTCCTATAGGCTATGAACCTAAGAGATGGTTCTATGGGATTCTCTTACGTCGACTACAGTTACCAAGCCTGGTAAGTCATGGAAAGTCTTGGAAAATGAGAGAACTACACTCCTTTGGCATAAATAGGATTGCCCTTTCCTTAAGAAAGGGCAAGCAGACAATACAGTAAATCGACTATCACATTCTTCCAGATCTTTTCCAAGCTTCCAAGCATTGATCTTGTTACTCCTTGTTTCTGAAAAGTCTGAGGTGCTAACCTCTGACTTATCCCTGAGTTCTCATTTGTTACAGCTTGTCTAAACCACTCCACTACATCATACATGTAAGGATAGTTCGAACCGAGGCTGACCTTCGAGTCTGCAGAAGTATCCGAAGTATAATGTGAAGACTTCAATACTCGAAGCAGTAGGACAAGGTATAGTAGTTCAGGCTCCAAAGCATATACTTTATACCACAGGGGTCAAGTGGTGAGACTAACAGGTTGGCCAAGTGGTTCGACTCGAAGTAAGTGAATGTAAAGTATGTCGAAGCAGGAGGAATTGCAAGAAGGCCAAGTAGTGTATAATTTACTAGCTAAAGATCAATAAGAGACATGAGCAATAAGTGCTTATATAACAGTAAAAATCCCTAGTGCCAAATATGCGAAGGCATTAATTAACCAAACCCTAGCTAAGCGAGCCCTAGTGAAGCAAGCCAATAACAAGAGGGCCTAAGACAGTAGTCAACATTGGGCTGATCTAGGTCAGCAAGTGAAGCGAAGTGAGCGAAGTGAGCGAAGCAGGTGAAGTGAATGACATAGTAAAATAAGTACTAGAGACTAAAGCGAATCAAAGGGTCATGACACAAATATCGAAGGAGTGTCATGACAATACACCTGATTGCTGCATTGTGAAATAGTCTAAGCTACAACCCTTTGGCTCTGTTTCCTAAGACAGTGTGTTGTCTTGGTAAAATCATCCCCTTTCCTTGGGTGGCTAGATTCTCACATCTGGTGCACCCACCATGGATATGAAGCCCTGTGGTGATCAGAGCTTCATATTCAGGATTTATATTGAGTGCCTCTAGGTTGGAAATCCAGTGGGACAAGTAAGACCCAGACGAGCAGTCCTATTCCTTCTCCTATTCTGGCAGCCGAAACAAAATAACTCAATAACCTCCACAGCGATCATTCTCACTTGGATTCAGTGTATGACAAGTACTACATGGTTGTATCAGCTGTCCGCTATCACTTTCTACTCCGGAAACCACAACCCCCATGACCAAATAACCATCTGACCATATTCCGGGCATGTGAAAACTCTTCACTTCCGTTGAGGGGACGTGCACTCTATTGAGGAAAATTCTGAACCGAGGAGATAGTGGATTGCTCCCTCTGGGGCTTCATACAATAGGCTGGAGCAGGGGGGTAAACCCAAACCTAGAGACTGCTCTTTGTGTCTTCTTGGCCCGTGTTGCATATCTAGGGCATTAGACAACCTGTGTTGACCTTTTTGGATGGTATTAGGTGTGGCTTTTAATAGTCTTCAACAACGTAATGGGTCACTTGGTACACAAATTCAAAGGCTTACTAGAATGGCTCCCATACCTTATATACAACAAGCTACTAAGCTTTGAAGAGGCTATAGCAGACAGCGGTGGCTGTAGCCAAGTATGGGGGTTTGTTGATGGTACATTCTAGGGGTTTTGCCAACTCCCTAATGGACTTGTATCATCCTTAATTGGGCCATATAACGGACCAGCTAACAACTGGCGTATTTGGGGGGGATCAGGCTGCGTTGAAAGAATTTGGCATATTATGGATGGTAAACGGGAGTTATACCTATATAGAGACCCAGCTTACCAGTGTACAGAAGGAATTATGGCTCTGTATACTTGCGTGTGTAGCTACTGATATCTTCCTTCTAAGGAGAATCAGTTTAATGCTACTCTATTGTCTGTGAGAATTGCAGTTCAAAATGCCTTTAGATTAACACAACAGTTATGGACCTACACAGCTTTTGATAAAGGGCTAGAGTCACAGTCGCAGCCTGTAGCAGCTCACTTTAAAGCTGCGATACTATTAACGAACTGTTATACTTGTATATGGGGTAACTTGATTGGAACGAGGTTTCTGGTGCCTCCACCAACAGTAGAGGAATACCTTCTTTGTACTAGCTAGGATATATATGTATTACTCGACTCTATCCAACCCTCTACCCTGTCATATTCTTCGCTGTTACCTGTACTTTCGATTGGAATGCTTTGTTAGGTAGGCCTGTGTAAATCCTGCTAAAGCAGAGATATAATTGTAGTCTGGCCTTGCTTTAATTCAGCTTGGCCTTTCTGTAGTTCCTGGATCTGATGATCGACTTGCTAGAACCTCGAAGTAATTCCAGGATTATTGACGTTCCTGTTCTCACTTTCCTACTGCCCTCCCTGCCCTCTTGTATTACTCTGCCTCTACTAATCCTTTAGACTCAAAGAGTCATTTTAGACTCAAAGAGTCATTTTAGACTCAAAGAGTCATTTTAGACTCAATTTCTTCAAGGAGAAATTGAGTCTAAGACGGTGACAAAGTTTGGGGCTGTCTACGAAGGCATCTTCCTCAACGACTTGACCAGCCATGTGTAATGCTGACTTCTAAACGATGAAAGACACAGAGGTTTCTTGCGTAAGGTTGACTTGACAGACGAGGCAGGGGATTAGACACAAAGGCTTTCCAAGTAACATGTTACAATATTGTAAAGAATACTATATTGAGTTGAGCACGAAGCTCCTATCTAAGGAAATACTATCTACTTATATAGTGGCATCGTGCCAAAGGGATATCCATGGATAACATGTGTCATGAAGAGACCACCACGTGACCGAGCAGTGGTCCCTCATTTCGCTTCACTCGAGCTTACGAGCTCGCTTAGGAAAGCTCTTCTCTATAAAGAGGAGCTTTCCCACTGTAAGGATGCCTCCTTACTCGGGGTAGTTACGGCCGTCACGTGGCGTCATCGAGACTCGGGGCCGTTACGGGTCAGTCGCGACTGACAGCCTTAGGCACATAACGTAAGGAAGCCTTAGGCAAACAGGGAGCTAGCTGAGTCGGAGCGGTTTCGGGTATTTTAAGGGAACAGTCATACAGGGTTACACCTTCATCTTTTTTGTATCCTTCGTAGTAGACCTATAGGATTGCACCGACTCATATCCGACTCGCACTCCCATATGCCACTTCTCGTGATACGGTGCCCTGCGTCCTTACATTATACAAAAAAGATCACGCCTGCCAGGGACGGCCGTACTCAAAGAATATCCCACACTGGAACGACTCAGGAGAACTACCGTTACACCACCGACCGCGACTCGGAAACTGCGACGGAGC